AAGGGTTATTTGCTAATTGGTAATATGACGCTGCGGTTAAAACTTTTATTTCTTGATATCAAGGTACACGGTCAGAATCGTCGCGTCTGAGCTTCTTACGGCCCTTCGCCATTTGATTGTTCAGTTGCAGTGAAATTGATCCGCAGCTCTGAAGCCTCGCGAACAGGATCCGCTGAAGCAAGCTACTGTGAGCTACTGTGACTTAGGTTAGCCAAGGAGACTTGCTATACTCAACTCCATGAAGATTGCCAGGTCGGCACATCTTCCATGATCCAATCCGAAAATCACTCAAGTAAGGATTGAAACGAGGTTGATTGTGGCCCTCAGCAGACGGCATCTTGGTTGCCTGATGTCAATGGTTATCGAATGAGGTCAATGCTAAACAAGCAAGAATGTGAATCAGCAGCAGAATTGAGTCGTGGCTCATACGATTTGCACGCTCCCTTCCACATGTGTCTGCCTTCCAATAATCGCTGCTATCCCAACCTACCTAGTAGTCAATGATAGAACATCAACGACGAGAGGTGTCCACTCCGACCTTCTCAAAAACCACCAATGGGTTATCCATAAAGGATCTGGACCGCGCAAGAAAGTTCATTCGAGACAACATTATGCCGTCAAAAGTAAGAATGATTTCATAATTTGTGCCCCCATTGCTTTTATAAGAAGCCATTTGCGATTTTAATATATGGTTAACTTTAGGGTTACTGTTCTTACCTCTTTTGGTTAGGTGGTATCTGAGTCTGCCGGCAGGTGGGGGCATAGCTGTTTGGAACAGTAGTAAAGTCAACTTAGACCTGACCGAGCCATTGGCGACAGGCAGCTTACTACTACGCACATTTTTTATTCACCATTTATACTTTACGTAGACCGGCTCGTCGTTTAAACCCGTTTTGGGACATCGGTCACTGGGTACGGCCAGGTATTTCAAATGCTTTGGTTGGTCAGCATAGTTTGGACCCGGGCACGGAATCACATAAAGTTCATCTCCTCTCCAGCCTAATTTACCCGCCAATCCTCTATTCGTTCTCATAAACACTGTTAGCGTTCGAGGTAAGCCTCACTTTCAATTAAACAAGACTGAATGATGATCGTGGCATTACCTGATTAACTTGAACTGCCACTTCCTCTCCCAGTGAGTCGTTTCATTTTGCTCCGCCAGCTACAGCTGACCGCACTTACGCTGAGCCCAAGCCTTTCAAAATCGGCTGGTTCAGAGAGAACAACAATGTTGGAACTCAAACCTCGTTTGAATGAATCTGGTGAGAAACAATAGCCGATGTCAGGGCAAAGCTTGTCTTGATCGACACCTTTGATCGACTAACTGAGAATAGAGTTAACTGGGCAGTGCCACGCGAAACAGAATGAAATAACTAGCTGTCGTAATCGCATAGAGTTAACGTGAGTCACTTTCAATTAGATTAATGTATGATACATGGATCTAAACCGCATTTCGCAAGGCCCCCACATCCTGCAAGTCAAGTGTCATTCACCAAGCTCATCGCAGGTAACACAGAAAGGGTCTTCGTTAAGAACGCTCAATGAGCTGCTATCCTTCCCATTGGAAATAAGCAGAGTTTCAACTGCTCTGCATAACGAGAGCAGATACAACTTTGTCGATTCAAAACCACAATCTTTCTCCTATGATCCGGCAAGATTTTCGACCAAGATGAGACAGCGAAAGGCGGAACGGCATTCAGAAGTCTTATTGGGTGCGCTGCCAATGCCAACCTTCTAATAAGCTTCACCGCATCTGAATCTTCATGACGGATCTTAAGGGTTGTAGATCATCCTGACGCGTGGACCAACAGTTGATGCCATGGCCCCATATGGCTTTTGGAACTCCTTTCCTACCATAAGTCCTGTCTAATGATACTTCTTATTAAAAGCTTTTTGATAAAGTCTATGCAATACCAGGCACGATATTAATTCACCATAGATCCACATAAACTATAGTAAACGATACCTTCGTAAGTTCGGGCCGTAGAACCATTTCAAAGTTAATAGAAACACTCTGGTATAAATATCAGCTGACAAGCCCCCCTTCTCAGAACGTTTGAACCGGCTTCAGCGCTCCAGACTTTCACAGTCACAAAACATAGTCGACATATTTACTTCGAACTTGTCAAGATGATCATTCCGTGTGTCAAAACAATTGTCACTGTCGGCGTTGCCTTCTACGCCACCGTAGCTTTGGCCATTCCCAATTTTCGGCCTGATGTTAATCCACAGGACTTGGTTGAGGTTGGTGACTCTAAGTTTAAGACCCCAAGGTGGATAACAGTCGGTACTAATATGAAAATGTGATGCAGAGGCCTGACGATCTTGTAAGTTAATCGGCTGGAGAAATGAAAACAATAGCATTGTTGTGTGCAGCCCATGGGAAAATAAAATAAAATAGAATAAATTCACCCATCAGTTTCTATGGATTATGTCGAGATGTCTTACTAATTCATCATCTCATAGGAGCAAGCTGATGTTCAAGCTTTTGTCGTAAGTTCTGAACAAACCTCCAAATACAACTACGATTAAGATAGCTGATATTATATTTAAAGAAGGCGCTGGGAGACAAGCTGCAGGAGCCGGCTAAACTTGTGGCCCGAAAACGTAACGGACGTCCTAATACCAATCAAGGTGTTAAAGGCCGCCCTCCGGGAGCAGCTAGAGGCCGTGGCACTGGCAACGGAAGACCTCCCAATATCCAACAGGTTCCGCCCGGAGTAGCTGGAGGCCGTGGCACTGGCAACGGAAGACCCCCTAACACCCAACAGATTCCACCTGGAATCATTGGGGCCCCACCAGCACTCCCTGTTAGCCAACCACCGCCTCCTGGACTGGCTGCTCTCCTAGGCAACTGAGGCCATCTTCCTCTCGGCAGTGGCAACTCACGAAGGTATCATACCCCTTGAACATCACATGAAAGAAATGTTGGAGGAATGAAGGAGGTTGGTTATGGTGTGGACAACGGAGATCGACGATTTGGCTGGGTAGTCAGTCACTGGCTGAGGTGGACTTTGCCTCCAAGATGTACGCCAAACATTATCGCTGTTATGCTGACTTGTGTCTGTTTACGGTCATCTGCTGGAAAAGACAATCTGTGTGCATAACCAGTGTCTCAGTTAACCTTGTCTCGTGATTTGAATGATATGATTCACTGGACCCATTCCATGATTTCTTAACACAATCTTTCTTAGGATAACATATGCCCGTGGGCCGACAGCTAAGTTGATGACAATCTTCTTATTTGTCTTCCACGAGGCGACAAAAGCTGGGAATGTTTTCAGTGGATGGGCGTGATAATACACAATGTTGTAGTTAACTTGAAGTTTTGACAAGGATTCAGTTCGCAACTATTAAAATCCAAACCTCCCTGGCTCTCTGGAGAGAATGATACCGGCAAGTCCAGAAATTTAAGTGTATGGGCGTGGAACATGAGGACGAGTGTTCAATACTAGTCACATCAAGCATGTGGTGAGGTAGCCTTTGCGCTGAATTGTGAGGCATGGCGGTTTGTACACTTTTCCAACCACAATGCAACCTAAAGCCAATCACTTCGACCGTCGTCACCATCCTTACCATCACTACCATCGTCCGACTAGATTGTAATTTCGCTGAGAGCCTCCAGTCCTTGGTTCGTTTCCTCTGAGAACTCATGACCGGTCGCATACCGCCACCGAACTCGGATTATCTCGATAGCAGCACTCGTTCGAACCAGGACCTCGCTGGCATACGGGCTGGTGATTGCCGCATCCGTAACAGCCGAGACCATTGACACACTGGCCTCTCCCAGGCTCGCAGGGGTCGCCTTTTCCTCTGGCTCGTTTCCTTAACCACGGCTTCTATTATGCTCTAGATCAGAAACTGACAGTTTGCTTGAAGTGGATCGGAAGAGATTTCCAGGTAAGAAAACTAACGGTACCATCTTCAACCCAAGATGTATGATACTCGGACCTCATGCTTGAATCCGCGATGACAATATTGGCATCAGCTGCAGGCGCTGCGAAGACCTCTGTCATCGCCGCCAGCAAGACAAGAACTATTTGAATCGGCTTCATCTCTGCGTTGGTTAGGACTGAGATACCCTGCAGTAGTAATGGAGGGCCGCGAGATCAATACAAGTGCCAGAACCAAAGATCGAAAGCGCTGAGCCCTGGGCTGAGATGGCAATCATCTGAGCACCCAAACGGCTGACGGTCAAGTTTTATAACCAGACAAGCGCTCAAGCCTCGAGCATCGTCGCTCGCATTTTCGAGTCACAGCGTGCATCATCTGAACAACTCTCTAAGGTTCTCGGCTTGGCAGTGAAGCAATGATGACTTGCCGCTCATAGCGGTTGTAGTTCACACTGATTCCTTGGTTATACCATATGGACAACTGTCTTTGACAAGAACCCTCAAGTCTGTGCTATGCTCCCTAATTTATATAACTAACGAGCAAGAGATTTATCCTACCAGTGCGGTGAAAAGAACATCGTTTCTAGACTCGACATGCAACGAACCATGTAAAGTACCACGCTGTATGAGGATGTGGAGAACGCCGTCATGAAAACGAGTGCTCTTGTTTAGGCACACATGAGGCACGAGACTGTCTGTTCAACTTGCAATGTCTAACTGCCTCAACTCATGTTCTCGTTAAGAGACAACTCTGAAACAATAGACACGCCGAGGACAAAACCCTACTGGGCAGATGAATGGCCGCCTTGAGACTGCAGGCGAATCAATAGGGCTCGTATGCGTCATGTTCGCTGCGAAAAAAATGTCATCGGCGTTCGATACATCAGACGAGTTGCACTTCAGCCGAAAAATAAGTGCAATTCTCGCCCTGTACGATAACGACCAACCTAATCCGTACGGTCATAGCGACGACGCTCGGTCCAACGCACCCAAGGCCGCGTGGAAGGAGGGCTCAAATGGGCAATTTGTTAGGGCGAAGCCAGACATTTGCGGCTCAGGACCTGCTCTCAAGTCTTTGCAGACCTTCTGTCCGCAAATCGTGGATTCCTAGAGCGCCCTGCCAAGGTATCTTCGCTTTCTCTGTCGTCGGCTCACGGGGACACGTGGTTCGTCAGGAGGCAGACCGACCAAACGGCGCCAGTGGAAGTGTATAGGATTCTCTTGCACCGGAGGTATCCTGTCGTACTCGAACGGAGCTGCCTCCAAAGAGTCGACGGGGCCAGTATCGGGCGTGGGAGGATCCTGGAACCATCTAAACGAGATGTGGAACTTGGACACCTTTTCGAACTGATGCAGCGGCTTCAACCACTCTTCGTGGGGCATTGGGTATCGGGCGTAATATGGATAGGTCCAGATCTGGAGCTCTTTCAAGCGAGGCATTTTGAGCGCCACCTCCGCCCACAACTCATTCCACTTGATCCTCTCAGCGACGGCCTCTTCGACATCCAGCGCCATGTAAGTCTCTATTGGGGCCCGCCATGTGAGATGGACCTTGTTTATCCGAACCAGATATTCGGATGCCGTAGTTTTCATGAAGCGAGAAAGAGCATCTGTGCCGATGAACGAGAATGTCGTGGTATCATAAATAGAGTCGATTGCCTCGTCGTGCATCCGCTTGCAGGTGAGAGGGATTGCCAGGAATGGGCTAAACTCTTGAACAAGCAGTCGGTGCTGGTTCTTCTGACTCGTTAGAGAGGTCTGTTTCTCCTCGCTTCCCTCGTCCGATGAGCTGTCATCGACGGGGCGTAGGACTGGCGGTTCCTCCTCACATTGCCAGTGGTGGCACCACGTTGATACGATGCGGTATCGCCATTCAATGATCGCGTCTCTTTCGTCCGTTGACCCCGGGCCCACGCCGCCTTCGAATGTCGTTGGATCGGCCGGCGGAGCGTTCAGCACACGGCTGAGCTCAATCTCGCGGTTATCCTCGGCGTCCAGGTCCGCAATGCATTGGCAATGAGAAAGAGGCGCCAAGGCAGATGCGCTAGATTTGTACACGTGTTGAGTTGATCCAGCGGACAGCCAGAGATAGCCGTAAATGCTCTGGCGGATTTCAAGGGGAAGGGTAGAGAAGAAGCTTGACTGCAGCTGTGAGTTCGGCATACTAGCGGGCGAACTAGGCTCGTCGGTGATTGTCAGCTGAGCATCCGCGTCAGCTTCATGCGACTCTTTCTGAACATTCTGTATCACTGCCATCGTCACGAGGAAGCCGTATGCAATGATTCAAGAGACAAAATGAGATGATGGTATATAAGAAAACATTGACGGTAGGTAAATTGCTGCCTGGCACCACACATGGGGGATTCCCCTCTTGTGCTGTGCCACCTCCTCAAACAGGCTTAACGCGGTTTACGAATTCAGTTGGTCCAATGATGATACCGCTGGTCCTGAAAGGACGTCGTTGTGCATGAAGTTTCCTCCATCTTAACCAACACCAAGAGCACATGCCCTCTCGACTCTGCATCTTGTGATGAACCCATCGCCCAATGTTGTCGCTCGGCAATGCCAGCAAGGTTTTTCCAACAAGCGAACAACAACAAACCATTACGTACCCCGGCGTCTGTTGGTGGGGTTTGCAAACATAAGCTCAATGATTGGTCAATGCGAGTGTATCTGGGGCCGTTTGTCTTACCCCAGAGATTCAGATCCAGGGAGGATGAGACGGCTCTCTGATCTGTGCTTATCTCTGAGGGCTACCCTAGACCGCACTGTCCGACCAGACGCGCAAAGTTTACCCATCAACAAAAAATCTAGCAGTTTTCCAACTTGCGTGAGATAAGCTCCTATCGTCATTCAACTGACCGGCGTTGCTCGTTTTCGCGGCAGCCATGAGCCGTCCTTCGATCCAGCGGCTCGCCCAGCTCCGTGGGGCATCGGTTCGGCGCGCTTCAACGCGGCTTGTCTGCCCCAGATACCAGACCATCTCGGCGGCTAGCCCGACACCTCGGCAGGAGACCCGATACCCAACCCTGGCGACTTTCACGGGTCTGCAGTCGCGGAGGCTGTTCAGCAGTACGGCACGGAGACTCAATGAGGCTGAAGATGAGGAGGATACGGGGAGCTACAGTGAAGCCGACCACGAGCATGCTGTCATCTCGACGTTTGACCTGTTCTCTATCGGGATTGGTCCGTCTTCGTCTCATACCGTTGGGCCCATGCGCGCCGGCAACATTTTTGTTGCCGATTTGGCGGAGGCGAATCTGCTTCACAAAGTCAACAAGATCCGGGTTTCCATCTATGGCAGTTTAGCATTGACGGGCGAGGGCCACATGACGCCTTCTGCTCTCCTCCTTGGTCTTGAGAGCGCCGATGTGGAGACCGTCGACACCGCGTATGTGCCGGAGAGATTCACCGAAATCAAGAACTCGAAGAAGCTGTTCCTAGGCCAGGGACTGCCAGATGGCAAGGGGAAGGAGGTTGCATTCGATTATGAACGCGACTTCGTCTGGGAATGGGGCCGGAAGTTGCCGATGCACAGCAATGGCATGCGCTTCACCGTCTTTGACGAGGATGGTTACGTGTTGGCAACCAACGACATGTTCAGTGTCGGTGGCGGTTTTGTCGTCAACGGTGCTCTGTCCATCAACCCGGATGCGACGCCGTCTTCATCGTCCTCGGTGACCCAATTGGAATCTCCGGACGGATCCGCGGAGAGTACCGGAAGACACCCGGCCGATCTGGCAGAAAACATGTTTTACAAGGAGATCAGACGATCTGATGCCGCTGGTGACCGTCGGACTGGTGCCGAGGTCAAGCCTCTTGAAGAGGCAAAAGACGACACCATGCTGCTGGAGGGTACACAGGCCGGTCTCTCAGCAATAACGTCGACGTCAACTGGAACCGGCCTCGGTGAGTCCGAAGGCAGCGAAACGTCAGAAAGTGGGACTTCAGGCCCTCGCTACCCCTTTCGAGATGCCACGAGTCTGCTGGCTTTATGCCGCAAGCATAACCTAACCATTGCTCAACTCGTGTACGAGAACGAAAAGAGCCACGGCTACACGGATGAGGAGATCTATCACAAGCTCTTCAAGATCTGGCAAGTCATGGACACGAGTATCTTAGAGAGCGTACAGGCGCCACTGGACACGAAACTCCCTGGGTCGCTCAAGCTTCATCGACGTGCCCCGGCTCTGTACCGGAGGTTGACTCGAGGGCTGTACTCCACAGCCGGACACACGTCTCCGAACCCTCTCGACAATGGAACCAGTGACAAGGCTTCTCTGCCGGGCGCAACCTCTGGATCAGGAGCGACTTCTGGAGCACTAAGCAAGTCTAAGGGTCAGGGCCTCAGCATCGGCCGCCGCCAACCGCCTCGGATCCTCGGCTCCCTTGACCATCCCATCACACCCTCCCCCTCGCGACGCACCACGTTCCCTACAATGGATTACCTGACAGTCTACGCCATCGCGGTCAACGAGACAAACGCGGCCGGCGGGCGCATCGTAACAGCCCCTACCAACGGCGCGGCAGGCATCATTCCCGCCGTGCTGAAGTACACCATCGAGTTCATCAGCGACGACCCGGAACGTGATATTCCAACCTTCTTGCTCACGGCTGCCGCCATCGGCATGTTGTACAAGCGTGGCGCAACCATCTCCGCTGCCGAGGGCGGTTGCATGGCCGAGGTGGGCGTTGCCTGCTCCATGGCCGCTGGTGCCTTTGCGGCATGTATGGGTGCCAGTCCTGAGGCTATCGAGCAGGCTGCCGAAATCGGCATCGAGCACAACCTTGGCTTGACCTGTGACCCGATCGGAGGTCTCGTTCAGGCTCCCTGCATCGAGAGGAATGCGTTGGGTGCTATCAAGGCGATTTCGAGTGCCAATCTGGCTCTGAGCAGTGAGACGGGCACGCAGAAGGTTAGGCTAGACGACGCTATCCGGGCCATGCGTCTGACGGCGAAGGGAATGAGGAACGAGTTCAAGGAAACGAGTTTGAGCGGACTGGCGACCAGCGTGCCTTTCAATATTCCCGTCAGTGTTCCTGACTGCTGAGCATTTATTTCATAGGGCTTGTCCTGGGTTTTGGCCGGGTTTCAAATTAAAATAGACTGGGAAGACATAATCGATATTTCTTTTTGCTCGTTGAGTGAATACTAGCATAGAAGCATAGTCCTGTTGCAACGGCGGTCCTGCCCTTATCGAGATGTCCATCTGCCGCATGAGACGTGTCGTTGGGGTGTCACAGGTTGACGAGTACCTTGTGTCGATCTAGATATGCCGCTTTATACTCGAGATGGTTGGATCACGCAGATTTGAATCACGACCGACTTGTTTGACTCCGTTAGTTCCTGTTGCTTGAAGAAAATAGATTTGAAATTTGCGCAAATGAAATCTAGATACATTAAACCCCATCTATATGTTGCCGCTCGATCTTTTGTCCACCTCACTAAAAAATAGAATTATGAATGCGTTGGGCGTATTTCTCGTCACTCCGATATGGTGAAGCGTTGACGCATTCCGCTGTTCCTGGTGATAGCTCCCGGCTCCCTTCCGCTCAGACACCGGGCGGGGGTTGCCAAACAGAAGAGACAGACTCTCCGGAACATCATCGGCTTGACCAGAGATCGGGCTACTCAGGAGGGGACTGATTGGACGACCTTGCCTGAGTCCTGGACCGAGAGAGTGTAGCCGTAGCTCTGCGAGACCGAGTAGTAGTCTTCACCTCTGTACTGGCCGTAGTTGGTGCTGTAGCTCTTGTCCCAAGACTTGGTGTACATGGAGCAGTAGGTTCCCTGAGGGATGTTGTTCTCGCTCAGGACGTAAGCGTTGAAGAAGTTGCACGCATCGTAGGTGCCGTCGCTGTTGGGGTGGTCGTGGTCGTACTGGGTCGTCGCCTGGCAAGCGCTGGCACACAGGCTAGGGTCGTAGGGGCCAGGGTAGTACTTGGAGCCCATGTATGAGTTGGGAGCCTGAGTAGCACCGCCAAAAGCGAAGGGACCGTCAAAGTCGGCAATCGGAGGGGGGGGCGCGAGCTTGTTGTAGCCTTTCAATAACATGTTAGCTATCATCATGAATGGGAGGAGAGTCTGGGGAGTAAAAAAGAAGGCGCATACCATTCGATGCGGTGATGCCGACGTGGAAGTCGTTTCTCCACTGTCCCACGTTCGTGGCAGCTGCATCAGTGACTCCAGCGCCCCAGAGCGTGCACTTGTAGTTGGTAATGCTCTCTGGGTCGACGCAGGTATCGCTCGGGGTGAACTTGGGATTCCTCTCCAGGAACACGTTGAAGCCGTAGCAAGCAGGGGCAGCGTCGCAGTACTAGGCAGGTTTAGTCATTGCTGCCTCTCGTGGCAGGGTTGGAACATACCTGTTGGCACTGGATAGTGTTGTAAGTCTTCAAAGTGTAGAGTCCCTGGTAGCCAGGCCCCTCAACCGAGGCTTTCTTTCCCTGGAAAGACAAGCTGTACCCTTGGGGGACCGGCGCGTCGCTTGAAATTTGGTCAAGCGCAGACGACGACATGAAGGAGTCGTAGGTGTCCGGCGAGGGTACAGGTCCATAGCCGTCAGGCTCTTGGTTGGAGCCGGTGCATGTCGAGCTGCGACCCTCCAGTTCTCGCTTTGTGACTGCGACAGGGTTCTCAACAGCATCTTTAGCAGCATCAGCTTGCGCCTTTGCTTTGTCGTACGTTGGCTTTTCGGAGCTAACACCAACGGCTGGGCCAATCTTGGTCGGCTTGGGCTCAGCCTGCGAGTCATGTCAGCCTTCCAAGTGAAGAGAGAGTCGTCGGCAAGGAGGCTACTTACATCAAAGACGCTCAAGTCGATGCCATCCTGAGCAGCGGTGTCACGGGGAGCAACAGGGGTAGCAGCGGTGAAGCCGGCGACAGCGGCAAGAATAAGAGCGGAACGCATGTTGAAGTCGAGATGTGAAGATGTGAAACGTTGAGACGATCGAGTTGATGAGGTTGAGCGAGCTCAGAGACTGATTGTCAGTTGATGGCGAGTGTGATGATGAATCGAGATGAGTGGAAATGAGGGAATTGGGAAGGCTTTATATCTCGGCCAAGTCATGTCAACACGTAGATCTGAAGTGCCGCGCGGATACCCTCACTTGGGAGAGACCCGTATTTCCTTTGGGCGTCCCACACCGACAACTTCACGAGGAGAGGTTAGAACGAAGGCCCAAACGGTTTGTTGTTCGGCTCAACTTAACATCGCTTGATCGAAGCGGCGACGTGCGTGGTTGGTGTCAACTAGACTGGCCGTCCTTGTCTGTGCGGGCGCCCAGGCACCTCCAGCCGGTGATGGGGCGCCTTCAGCTCACGGCAGGCAAGCCTCTCTGCTTCTTTTCTCCTCAACCGTCAGCCTCTCCCTGGGCTGACCGCTGTCAAATGAGCCGTATCAGCCATCTTCTTGGCATTCGTGAAGCAACAGATCGGGATTGCAGCTACCAACGTAGTCATGTTGAGCCGATAGGGATATACGATCATGGACCGATTAACTGACCCCAAATGGGTCATGATCTCTGCATTGATCAGCATCGGAAACCATGTAAATGTGATTTAGGAAGGCAAAGATCTCCGATTACCAGTCCAAGCGACATCAACAGTTAGCAAGGTGCCGAATTCCCGGGACCGTTCCAAAGCCTCGGGACGGGATTCCCAGACTGTCAACCTGGGTGGGAGACCCCCGATCTTGCGGTTTGTTGATTCATCCCACGTGGCTCAAAGTCCCCTCGCTCAGACAAGCACTAGCGAAACCTGTTGTGCTAGCAGAAGCTTAGCCTTAAGCTGTCTCAGGGGAGAAGCATGCAAGGGCGCCTTTGGGCTCGCCGACACCCATCAACTGTTACTTATCAGCCTGAATAGAAGCAAAGCTAAGACGAGCATTCGTATGCAGCTTAACTAGCTTTTCACCTAGTGCGGCACGGAGTGCAAGCCTCGATCAAGTAAGACCGCACACTAACACCACTAACTCGGACAATTTGCAGCGGGTCTCTTCCCGAAAAGATTCTTCCGGGAGGACACTGGTAAACAACGACGCTGAAATGGGGTTTTTAGACCAACAACAATCCTAGCTTGGTCTCCCAAAATGGATCCCTTGCGCAAAGCTGGACTTACTGACCCTTGACCTGCAAGCGCCCCTCGAACAAACTATTGATGCCTTGAGCCATGCGGACGTGTCTCAGCTGCGTACTGCAGCCAATAGAATTGGTATCGGGCCCGGTCAGCTGTGCGCTGGCGCAGGCAGTACCGGCGGCAGCCTGGTCGTCGACGCGCGCGTCTAGCTCCTCTCTATCGGTAAGGACACACTAGGAAAGCTGTTCGTGGGTAGACGTCCATCAGCCGCACGAGGGGCCGGAGTTCAAATCGGGGCCGGCGCTGACGAAGCTGGCATCAGACCAGGCCTGACCATCGTCCCACGTGTTTTTCTTTGCCTTGACACCGTAAATGTAATAACATTGGTTGTCGCGTCGGTGGTGCCGATGTTTTCAGCTGCCAAGTTGCTGGTGTACGTGGCACACGAGGATTGTGTGTTGCACCCTCCGTCGCCGTTCTCGTAGACTGTATTGCGCTCGAATTTGATGTCGCCCGGCATGCTGTTATCGGCCAAAACGTAACGCTTGTTACCAAAAGAGATGACACTCTTGACAACATGGGATAATGGGTTGCGGTCAGAGGCGGAGCTGCCGCCGCCAAGTTTGACGCTGTAGTTGTCGACCACATGCTTGAAGCCACGATACCAGCGGCCGAAGTTGTTCTCCAAGACGATGCAGTCCGAAATGTTGATAGGGGAGCCAACTTACCTAGGGTTAATGCCGGTCAACGTGACCAAGCGGGAGGAATGCTGATGCTGGGCATGTGGTTAGGGTCGCCAGAAACCGATACCATCGTTGAGTTGAGTGAGATACTCGAAACACAGATGCTATTACCATTTCCCGAACCTTGCTTTAAAGACATGCCATTAGTGCTACAGCCTGCTGTAACCACGAGGAAATTAGACGTGGACAATTTCATCAAGGTTAGTATTAGTGAAAGTATTCAAAGCATCTAGCTTTCAAGTCTCGACGTCAATGCAAGCCATGACTTATCAAGTTGTGAAACGACCTTTCGGCGAGTGTTGGTGCATGGGTTTTGAGGTTATTGAGTGGCTGGAGATCTCCCACCACAAAGGTTCTTGCATGAATCGCTTGAGTTATCCATGCTTGATGAACTCGTAGGTGTATGCCTATTCCGGAGGCGGGATCCTGCGGACTACCTGGTCGATTCCTTTTAGTCTGGTGAGCCCAAAGATGCTGGTTTCCGAATCGTCCGCTATTTGCCTCCTATAGAAGCCAGCCATTTATGCCAAAACTCGTGCTCCTCTGCCTTAGCACACTTGGAGGGAACAGGTGGAAGACCTTTACGGTGGAATGGCTCTCATGGTTCCGCCTCCTGTACAGAATTCTGCAAATATTTGATAGAATTCAAGGCCTTTAATTCTTGAGAGATCATTACGGACATGTAAGCCTGTTCCCGAGTCCACGATAACGCTGTTTCTGAGAGGGGAAGTATCCTGGGGACTGACTGTAGAAGCTTTGGATGCAGCGTTGAAGGACGGGGAGTTGGTGCTTTAGTCGATCTCTCTATCAAAGTCTAACTCTTCCTGATTCAAGTAAGAAGAACGCTGACTCTTCTTCGTGGCAGATGACGGCGAATTCGCTGGAGTCGCGTTGCCTTAAGAGGCTGAGACCTGAGAGGTATAGGCTTCACCTAGAGGCTGCATCTAGGAGGCAATTCTAGACTAACATAGTATTCCTAGAAACCAGCGGCTGCAGGGATGTTGTTCCCAGGAATCACTCTGCAGTGTCACTCTACAGACTGCTGTTCCCTGGAACCATCTCTAGGTGCTGCAAACTTCGGCCAAAGCACGAGGCAAGTTTGCAATGAAGGAGGCGCTTATTCTATTGATTCGTCTCAACTAACTCGATTATTTCAGTGCCGCTTGTTTTATCCCGAAGTCAGCCGAAAAGATTTTGCAGATGGATTCAAAGCGCGTGAGGTAGGGTTGAAAAGTTATAGCAACGTCGCCCTCTAACCGGTGCTATTATTTTCTCTGCCATAACAGGCACCAAGAATATCAAACATTAAGCATAGAGGCCTAGAGGTAAAAGATTGAGAAGCTTCCAACTGAGCGTCAGATTCCAGCTATGCTCTAAGATGGTTCAAGATGTTTCTTGACCTCTTCCCACATCTTCCTCTAGCTGGTCCGGAAGAGGCACGCACGCAGTATACTCCGTGTAAGTCTCCTCTAGAATAACCCCTGAAAGATACTAATGGTAGAGAAAAGATTATGATGCAGGGGGGGGGGGGTTGGGTTGCCAGCTCAGTCCGCGCCTGCAAATATCTCGAATCACTGGGCCACAGGCTCGCTCCAAGGCCCTGGCTTGGCGGATCTGCTAGACCCCAACAAAGAAACTGCATATCACGAAACTATTGCGGATGACGTTGATACTTATTGTGATGTCAGCTCACTAAATCTGTTTGGGGTTGAGTTCGGTGCTGCAAGCTTTGATCTTGGCCTAATACCAACATTATCAGGAACAAGTCTTTTCGAAGTTCCAGGAGCGGCCCTCGGCCCCAATACAGAATCATCTACAACGAGAAATGGTCTGGAAACCACAAAGAATTATGACCCAGAGGCCGAAAACCAGCAACTGAAGAACAAAAGCAATACGAGTAGCATGCCAGCAACTCTCGATGGTTCGTGTGGTCTACAAGTCAGAAGTCCCTGCTGTGTGGAGTTGCAGCTCATCCTACTGAATGTTCGGAAAGAGCTTCAGCGTCAGAGGAACAAAGCTGATCGATGTTTGACCGCCTGTTCCTTGGTGTCTCGGCATCTTGATGATTTGTCAAGAGTTCATGAGAATTTTGCTGTGGACCTCGCCAGCAATCCAGGGAATGTGACCAAGGTTCGTCAACTAGGAGCACAAATTGAGAGGTTGAGGGAGCAGTTGGAGAGTGTTGGTTGATTGCTGTGGAAATTGAAGTTTATCTATGGCAAGGCGTTGAATTCTACATGGCGTTCTTAGGTATTTCCACATGTACAGTATCAGTTGGTCTTTGACAAGCTACTGGATACGTATCTCTTAGCAAGACAGAAATTCACTAAAAAATTCAAACAAGCGGCAGGGCAGGCGTGAGGGTGCGGCGCAGATTTCCTCGCAACTCGGAGTGCCCACCCTCTTACAATATTGTAAACCTGCGTATCTTGAACTCTTTGTTTTATATATTTACATGGCTACATTCATTGCCAGAACCATGATGCATTCGGAGGCGTAATGCCAGTGCCCGCTTAGCAATAGTCACTGGATATTTCACCAAGACAATCTCACAACTGACTGTGATCTACTCAAAGTCCAGACCCAGACAATAGAAAGGCAAGATGTCGATTCTGGAGTTCACGAACGAATCTTGCTGGGTTTCAAGTGAATTGGTCATGGTTCAGCCCCCTAAATTCTAATCAATCGTCCTGGCAACTTGGCCGAGCGGTCTAAGGCGCCAGACTCAAGAAAAGAGGTTCCACCTTCGAATCTTCCCCATAGCGGGGTGTATTCTGGTCTCGAAAGAGGCGTGAGTTCGAATCTCACAGTTGTCACGTTTCCTTTTTGTTTGCAGATTGTCTGATTGCACCACAGGTGCTGTGGCATACTCCAATGCGTTGGGCCAGTGAGTACAGTGCAGTGAATCGACCTCAGAGTCGATGGGTCGACAAGAGATTGGATTTTTGATCTGGCCGGGCCCCACAGATGAATTCGTTGTGGGAGTCAACAGCTCACATCCTGGTCCTCGGCGGCCGCTGCTTGTTGATTCTGCACCACGGGACGTAGTTGCAAGTGAGACTGCCTGAGCCAGTTCCAAGTCCTGGAAAACGACTCGCTTGCAATCCCGTTCTCAACGCCGCCCCCAAAGATGAGAGGCATGATTGCTTCATAGACCTGACTATCAGCGGTTGGTTATCCGCTTGACCCGCTTTTCCGGCCTTCTCTCCGTCGGACCTGATGCCTTTTCCGACTTAAGGTTTGCGCGGCCTGACGTGACAACAAGATTCTTGTCAGCACCCACACCGCCTGAGCTTGAGGATTCGAAATGTTCCATTTGAGGATTGCAATTGGTGTGTTGGTGTTCTTTGGCCCAAGCATATGGAGATTAAATAAGCTTAAAGCGCCGAATAGTACGTAGAAGTCACCAGAAAAGAGAAGCGGCTTCCTGCCCATATCTTAAAGTAGCTGGCAATGGAGTCTCTCGACGTCTGAACTAGCGATCGGCAATATGTACGCTCCTCGGGCTTCCGTCGCACTCAGTCACCCCGAACTGGACTGGGGACCTAACGCCATACGGACAACATTGCAGCGCAATCAACACCATGGCTGCGCGGTAGGCAAAGAGTTTGTTGAATCCTTCCGGCTTCTCAAGCTGTTCCCCGCACCCCGCACCCCCGGAGTTCCACTCTGCACCTTGGCTTCTGTTTCTTAGCCTACCAAGTACACAATGCAACTTTCAAGGGTTTGATGACGATAATCCTGTTTCCCATGTCGTTACACAGCAGATAGTTACCGCGATTCAGGTAACAACAGCTGCATCGAGGGCCAACTGCCGCTCATTGACTCAGACAGTCTCCGCCTCAATATGGGGCCGTGGCCTCCCCCGATCCCCGGTTGCTCGACCCAATTGCCCAGCATTTCGGTTCGCAAAATCGCCCAGAGAGGCTAGTTTACAATCTGCTACCCCTCATATCGTATCAACAATGGAGAATCGACGAGGAATAGTCGGGCTTGGCGTTGAGATATAAGTGTGGGCTAGATGCAACACAGCTCGTCTCCTCAGGTGAGAAGTTGCAGTCTTCGCTCTACGACCCGCCATGGCCTTTGCAGTAGTTGCCGCCGGTCTGTTTCTCTCGGGCGTTCAGGCACAGTCTTCGGCTCTGTCTGAGAGGCCTCTGCCCGAAAAGGCTCAGATCATTGACCAGAAGAGCTTCAATGTCTTGGAGGTTGTGCCACCGCCTTATGAGTTCAACGCCACGTCGGTAAGTCACGCATACAAGTATGCTCCTTCACATGCCATAGACCGAGGAAAAACTGATCCAGAAGCAGGAGTTCCTCTGGCCGGGGGTTACTCATGAATCTCTCACCGAGAAGCCTTTCCACATCTACGATGCTGAATTCTTCGACATTATTGGCAGCGATCCGTCGCTAACTCTGGTTGCCACTTCTGAAACAGACCCCATTTTCCACGAGGCCGTTGTCTGGTAAGCTCAAGGAAAGCTTTGGCGTATAAGTCTTGGTGACTAAGATCAACATAGGTACCCTCCGACGGAGGAAGTCTTCTTCGTTCAAAACGCAGGACCTATCGCTGCGGGGACGGGCCTCAACAAGTCATCGATTGTTCAGAAGATCTCGCTGGCTGACGCCGAGGCCCTTCGCACCGGTTCTCTTGGTACTCCCGAGGTCGAGGTTGTTACTGTGCCGTCAAGCCCTCAGGTCATCAACCCCAACGGTAATGCACGCCCTTAACCAAACAAAGTTATTATTCATGGGTTTCCGCTAACGTAGCGCAGGCGGAACGAACTACCAAGGCCAAATCATCTTTGCTGGTGAGGGTCAGGGTGACCATGTCCCATCGGCACTCTACCTGATGAACCCACTCGAACCATACAACACGACCAGTGAGTGGCATTCCTTCCACATCTTGCAAGAAATTCGAAAATTGAACGTTCATGATTCTAGTCCTTGTCAACAACTACTTCGGCCGACAGTTCAACTCGCTCAACGACGTGGTTGTTAACCGCCGCAATGGGGACATCTACTTCACCGACACCCAGTACGGATACTGGCAGTACTTCCGGCCCGAGCCGGGTCTAAGGAACCAGGTATATCGTTTAAACCCCAAGACTGGCGCGCTGACTGTGGTTTCTGACGACTTCGTGTCGCCGAACGGTATGTTACAGCCCTATACACCATATTGCAAGAGCCAGAAATGTGGCACATGGCAAAATTCTCGTCACGACTGGAGCTAAATTGCAATCTCCGACTAGGAATCACTTTCTCACCCGACGGCACATACGCGTATGTAACCGACACGGGAATCAGTCGGGGTCGTATGGGTCAAAATTTTACTCGGCCAGCCACAGTGTAAGACCCCTCTTCAACCTTTCCTCCTTGATGCCTGCTTATTTATATTCCAGTTACCGTTACGAGGTCAAAGAGGATGGAACGTGGGAGAACCGCAAGACATTTGCCCACACCCACGCGCGTCTGCCAGACGGTGAGCAACCTCCTTCTGAGATAACAAAGACTGTACAAATACTGTCGCTAGTGGGATTAGTGACTGATTTGCCTGGTAAATAGGCGTTCACACCGACTCCAATGGTAACGTGTATGCCGGGTGCAACGATGGGGTTCATGTTTGGAACCCATCGGGTAAGCTTATTGGCAAGATTTACACCGGCACTGTCGCTGCCAACTTCCAGTTCGCTGGGGATGGACGTATGGTTATTACCGGCCAGACCAAGTTGTTCTACGCAACCCTTGCGGCTTCTGGGGTTGCTTTGACGTAGTAATACATAAGTCGGAAGGGGGCTTGAATACGTGCGGAGCCAAAGCCATTGCTGAAAAGCTTAATCGAGACAGAGAAGCTAATGAACTGAAGAGTAACGTTTCTTTGAGACTCTCAGATTCGGCTCACCGGACTTGAGGTTATGAGGCACATTCTAAGCCAATTCATTGTCGGTTCCAGCGCCAATAGGTTTGTGAAATCAGGTCTTCCTAGCAAGTAGGTGCTGCAATACGAGCGCCGCATTCAGCTTTACAGTTGAACCCTACCTTACACAAGGGCTAGTTTTGAAAAATATGACTTTCTTTTCATTTAATGTGGTTCAATGGCAGATCGTAAGAGGTACAAGAAGAGAGCGAGTTTCAACGACTCCAACTCTAGGTTGTCTAAAATGGTCGCGGCATGGTAAGAGAATGTCGAGCGGGCAACTCTGCAGGAGACTCGACGGAGAAGCCCTCGAGATAATACAGACGTCAACTCGTCTGCCAGTGGCACACAGGTGTGGAAAGGCCGTGCGCTTCCTGGTGACATTCCGTGGGGGTTGGGATGCCATATTATGGGCCTCGTGGAAGCCCCAGCCAATGACATAGTGCCATGTTGAATGACGTAGGCAGCCATGCCCCACACCATTTGCGCGCTCTCAGCAAAAACGCCTTTGCGGTCGTCGCATTACGAGCTCACGATCTCCAACTCAAATTTGACGACTTCCTCTTCACCGCCGCCTCTTCTGCTTCCCTGCGACGAGCAGCAGCAGCAGCAGCAGCAGCACCAGATGTCGGAATCACAGCCTTCAGCGTGGTCATCCCGCGCAGACCTTCTACTACGGCCCGTCGAGCGGCCTGTCGGGTACCTGAAGCGTGCCGGCATCGCGGCGTCGTACCCCCTCCGCGGCATCTGGTACTTCTTACGGAACAAGGAGTTCTACCCGCTGTTCCTGAGCCGCCTGCTGCCCCTATCCATCATTTCGTTCCTCGTCTATTTTATCCTGTTCACCTTTGCATTCTTGCCCCAATTCGCGCTCCTGGCCATCTTTCATGGCTGGGGCGCTTGGGTCAATACCGTGGTGCTGGTCCTCGGAGAGGGGCTCGTGGTGATCCAGGGTCTTTTTGAAGGCTTCTTTGTCGACGAGTGTCGAGTGGATGTCTTTGATGTGAGTCTTCTATGTTTCACCTATCCTGTTGTGCAGTGTACTGATGGTGCTCCCCAGGCCACCCTCATCAAGGAGTCGCATACAGACCTCGTCGCTCCCCACAGGCTCCTCTTCCATGATGCCCCCACCGCAGTCAAGATGCTCGGCAAACCGACAACCCCTGCCGTCTTCACCCCCTGGTCCATGATCCAGATCATCGAACTCATCGTCTTCCTCCCGCTAAACTTCGTCCCGGTGATCGGCACCCCGGCCTTCATCATCATCACAGGCACGCGGTTGGGCAAGCTGGCACATTACAGATGGTTCCACCTGCGGGGGTTGAGCAAGAAGGAAGCTAAGAAGGAGATCAAGTCAAGGACTTGGGAATATATCTGGTTCGGCACGGCTGCCATGATCCTTGAGCTGATCCCCGTGCTTTCGTTCTTCTTCTTGCTCACCACGTCGGCGGGAGCCGGTCTTTGGGCGGCCAGAATTGAGGATGAAAAGAGACGGCAGGCCACGGAGAGCTTGGTGGGAGAGCCCCTTCCGCCACCGCCGCCCTATGAGGATGATCCGGTCTAGATATGAGATTTTTGGCCTATATTTCAGTAGCAAAGCAAGCAAATCAATTGCCCATTCGCTCCATTCCTCTATTCTTGGCCTGAAACTCCCATTGCGGCATACGCTTTCTGCTCTTCGCCAACCATTCAGTGCTGAGGTTGAGGTCGAGCTGCCCTGCCAAGGCGCTCCCTGAGTAACTGTGCCTTACATTGTGGTGCTGGAGATGATCCAACAGCCTGGCTCCTTCCGGCTGGTATCAGGTTCAAAGGGTCAGCGGAAAAGTGACCTGGGTACCTAACTGCATGGCGTGATGACCCCTGGGAGCCTGGGAGCCTTGTGAAAGGTGTACCTTCCTCGATGAATTTGCCTGTCTTAACTCTCATCAGATCATCTGTATGGGTCTGTTTCTTTCTGTGTCACAACCACAGGTTTCGGCCGGAAATATCGACGAGGGAAGGATCATCTTGGGGGGAAACGTGCATGAAATCACTGATTACCTTAACTGTGATGTGGGCTTGTATGTCGTTGGATAGCTCAAGCATGTCACGAAGCCTTGGAGATATGCTCTCTTACATGTTCAAAACTTCCAGCTTGCTTGACTAGCGGACAGAATTGTTGATGCTATCTTGAAAAAGTTGGGTAAAGTGCTTGGTTGAGCACCACGATGTGCCGGTGTTCGTTCCTGCCCAGCAATGACTGGGCGAGATGGTTCTTGCTCTTCACGAGGTGACCCACCCGTCTCTTTCCTCCACCGGAAAGCACGCAAGTGCGTGAGTGCCTCAGCTTCATCGGTCCTCTGTCTTATCTCGATGGTGAGAGGGAAGGAGGCAACAGCTTCCTGCTGCCATCGAACTTCACAGCTGTTCCGCAAGGTTCTCTCTTCATCCCCTCTCTTATCCTATATAATCCTTACCTATTCCCTTCTTCCCACTCTGATTCTTCTCCTCTGCATTCTCTCTTCCAATCTCATCACTCTTTTTCTTCTTCTTCTTTCAATCGTCACACTCTCTCCCTCACTTGTCTTCGTTCCCTGCGTATTCAACCTGCTGTCCTGTGTCCCCTACGTATTTTACGTATTCCACGTGTTTTTCCTGCACCTAGATCAACCGACATCACCGACCGCCCGAGATGTGGATCTCCCTCATGGCCATGATGGCCTTGGTGTAAGTCGTCTTTCTTCTCATGATGACGTCCAATCAGTCGAGACAAGGCAATTCTGACATCCGACAACAGAGCTGGCGTCTTCGCCCAACCAACCTGTCCTGCGGCGGCTACCGCCACGGTCTTCGTCACGGTCGACTCAGCCAACGACGCTGGTGCCTCGATCGTCGTCCAGACTGTGACTGCCACCGTTCTGCCCTCTGCCCAGTTTCCTTGGTCTCCTGCCTCTCCCAGCATCCCGGCCACTCTCACCGTCACTATTGACAGCTATGACCCACCTGCCGGCAGTTCCCAGTTCACCGGTCCGAAGCCTTGGGAGTCATCCCCTGCCCAATCCACCGCGTTCACTGTTGTCACTGCCACTGTCGCCCCTCCCAGCCCCAATCCCCCCGTTGGCATGCCTCCTGCTTCCGCTGGCAACGATGGCACTGGTGGCCAACAGTCTGCCACCACGAACTGCCCGTCTGTCACCACCAACCCTGATTCTGGTGGCAACGCTGATGGCGTCACGGTCATCACCACGACCCTGCTCAGGACCAATGCCAACTTGGATCAAGCTACGCCCTCTGTTGACACCGTCGTCGCAACTTTCACAGTTACTTTTCCACGGCCTGCCGCCACTGGCTCTGTTCCAGGTTCTGCCTCGACGACCGGCACCGTCGACCCTGCTTCTGGCGAACTGTTCACATACACTGTCACTGCACCTGCTGCTACTGGTTCTCCCTCTGTTCCTGGAAATGACGGTGCCGCTACCTCATTCACCACCACGCTGTACCGCACGCGTCCTGGATCTGCTCAAGGCACACTTGCCGTTGACACACTTGTGACTTGCTTCACAGTAACTTTTCCTTCAGCAACTGGCACTGCGCCTGCTATCACGGGCGTTCCTGTACATTCAGCCAATGTTCCAGGAGGTGTCCCTGGAGGTGGTATCCCCGGAGGTTCGGTTGGCACAACGACTCGCTACATTCCCACCATGGTTCCTGGCCCTGATGGTTCGCTGAGCTACTCTATTGATACTGTGGTATCAACGTTCACAGCGCCCACCGCCGGTTATCCGCCTATCGCTGGCTCTAGTGTGATCACTACGGTCATTCCTGCGTACCCGTCTGATAGGCCCTCGGACGGAGTTGCAACCGTTGTCACCACGACTTTGTACGCTTCCCCTGCCAGTGCCAGCACTGACAGTCAGCCGATGGACCACTCGAATCCTTCCGTTGTCGTTCTCACACTTACAATTCCTCAGCCATCGGGCGGCGGTCCTGCTACTTACACCACTGTGCTAGCAAGCAACTCTGGGGACATTGGCATTGGCGGCGCGAGCACTCCGGCGGCTTCCACTGCTACAATCATCCAGGTGGTGCCAGGTTCTGGCTCTCCCACGTCTGCGCTTAGCGTAATTACCCCAACCTTGATTCCCGGCGGCTACGGCGATCCCTTTCTTCCTGGTGCATCCGGTGTCCCCGCCTCAGGTGTTCCCGCCTCTGGCATACCGGCTTCCGGTGGTCCAATTTCTGGTGTTGTTCCTCCTTCTGGACAGACTCCTGCGTTCCCGTGGGCCGGATCTGGAGCTTCTCAGGGCACTTTGGAAGCACCCGTAACAGTCAGTGTTCCTGCATCTGGCGTTGATACCACAGCTGCCAACGACTTCCCGGGTGGCTACGGTGACTCGGGCCAGACCGGTGTTCCTCCTTTTGTCCCTGGTCCTGCAGTCATCTTGACTGTTACCCAAGCAACTCCTGTCGCCGGTTTCTCAACGCCCCTTGCAGGTGTGCCTACTTCTCTTGTTGGCGTCCCAGCATCCAACTTCGATGGTCCCACATCTATCATGGGTGGCTATGGCTCTGTTGTCGTCGTCAACCCCGCAACTCTTGTCTCATTCCCCCAGGCCACGCCCTCTGTCGTAACCCTTTGGCCAGTCACCTCAGGTATCAACTCTGCTCTTCCCGCCGCTACGACCAAGACTTCTTGCTCAAGCACACTGTCTTCTGAGGTTGCATCCACGGCCGTGCTTACCAGAACTCTGGTCAACGTTGTTGCTGATGCAACAACGACGTACACGTTCCCCTACGAGTCGCTAGGCACCACTGTTGACGCTGCGGGCGGTGCTGCTACCACTGGGACTGCTGTGTCCGACGCCACTGTCACTGCTTCCACCATCACTGGCTCTGCTGCCGTCACCGGTACTGCTGTTGTCACCGGGTCTGCTGTTATCACTGGCTCTGCAGTCACCTCCTCTGCAGTAGCTATGTCCACTTGGCAGAGTGTCATCATTCAGAGCTCCGTCGTGCAGGTATTCACCACTGGAGTCTTCACCAGCATCATCCAGTCCACCGCTATTCACAAGCGCTACGTGAACACAACCGCGACAGTAGTAACACCAGTACCGACGCCAATCTGCACCGGCACCACGGAGGTCGGCAACCTCAACCTGGATGTGGGTATCTTCCTCCTTGTTTACGCTTCCTGGCACTGACCTTTTTTCTAGTTCGACGATGTATCAACCGGTCCCTTCTTTAACCCTTACCACCGCTTCTGGTTCTCAAAAGGATTCTTGGTTGGCCCGCCCCCGCTGATGCCATTCCTTCCGTCATCTGGCGGCCGCCTGATTGAGTTCGTTCCTCCCATTCTTTCGAATACTTCTGCGGACAATGCGTCTGGCGACACGGCACAGATTGGCATGGGAAAACTCGCTTCGTCTCCGTGTTTCCAGTTCGACTTCCTCGGCATGAATTTGGGCTGCCACTCCGACTCCGCTGTCCCCAATCAGATTTGTACGTTCACTTTCACAGGGTACAGGTGGGATGCCAGCGCCACCAAGGAGATCGAGGCCATTAGTCAAGATGCCTGGGTCAATGCCTGCAACAAGCCCACCGATTGCCCTCTCACCCCCTTCTCGGCCGTGGAATTCACCGGTCTCAGCTCTATCCTGGTCACCTTGCGTGTCGATGGCCGCCCCCAGGTATGGTGGGCCGATGACCTCCGAGTTGGCTGGAGCAAGAACGATTGCGTGACTGCAAGCTGCAGACGACAGACCCAGCCAACCGTCTCCCAGCACCACGGTCCTATCTGGTACTGGACTCCGACTGGCTTGAGGGCGTTTTCGTCTTCTAGAATCAACCGCGTTTTCTGAGCAGAGTACAGAAGTATTGAAGTTGATGTCAAGGATCGTCACGAGGATGACGGAAGATTGCTGTGCTGCCACACCATTTGATCCAATTTTCTTGGAGACTCACCGCGAGTCGTAATGTGTGTTCGAGATGACGATGGGGAGAAAGGACCAACTGCACCTATGTATGCTACTGCAAGTATTCTACATGAATGATTTTGGAGGTCCAAAATGATTACCTTGTTCGGTTTTACTGACATTTGTTCGATTGATGCCCACTTGAAGTTGTCTCATGTGGCCCCATGCCTTGAGATTGGATCTATCTATGTCATTTGAAATTGAGTGTCTCAATGACCAACCATGAAGTTGGGCATGAGCCTTGAGTGAGAGACTTAGCCTCTTAGTTCCAATGACAACTTCCCTCGTTAATGACTTCACATATTGTTTGACGTATCAAACAGCCTCGTACTAAAGACATGGAACATTGATCAACACTCAATATCAGTGGCGATTGCTGCGGACGAGGATCGCGCGGAAGAGGCAGTTCGACATCGTCAACCAACAACACCAAACCAAGATCGTTGATCTTGGGTTGCCGCTCAATCATCAGAAGAAGTCAGACCAGATGTACAGGGTAATGCGGCCTGGAAGCTATAATCGCGGCGGTTTTTTAAGACTGTTCTCGGGCCGCTACCCGAAAGAACGCCGGGGCCGGAATCGGCCGATGGCCGCCGAAGGTTCACGTCACCTGGCGGTGGCTCCGCAGCAAGTTCTGAAGGGCACTGAGATCGTGCAGCCATTTGCGGGAATGATGGCACGGACGGCAACCCGGCTAATCTATTCGAGCCTCCTGCAGGCCATTTCAAACCTTCGGGCAAAGATTGCCCGTGCTGTTGGCAATGTAACAGGGCACCGTTGCCCAAGGGCGTGCAATTGGGCTCTCGCTTAGCCGATGCAACCCCTTACTGCGTGTGGTTTCTAGTGGAGGCCATTCCCCGCCGTCCAGCAGGCCAAAAGTGAATGTTGCCGTGGCCGGGGTCGGCATCGGGGTTATGGATAATTGCGCGCGCTGCCATGACTCAGGTGATCTGATTAAATACTGTCTCAAGAGGACGTTCGCATGAACCTGTTTGGCGTCTCGACCGAACTGCTCGACATAAGAAGAGCAGACTGCGGAATGAACCTGGGTTGAACGGTCTCTGATCACCGCATTGGCTATTGAAACTCGCGACACTGCCTAAGAGTTCCCACGCTTGCATGAGCCGATAAAGCATGACGACATTGACAAACTCAGTAGAGAGATCGCTCAAGCCGTTAAGGATCTCGCTTGGCGTCCCCAGATTGGCGCCGCTTTTCCGAAATAGGGAACCATGAGCACGACTCTAGACCACGCCCAAGATGCAGAGAAGAGGCATGCGCAGATGACAGATGTGTCAGTTCGCGCAGACTCCGATCTGGAGAAGAGCCGGAGCGATGGAGCGAAGGAGGACCCGTCGTCCATCTTGCAGCCGTCGTCGACATCAGACGAGGATCGATCCGGGGTGGCGCAGGACGCAGACACGGACCCAAATGCCGGACACGGGGCCGAGACCTCTAGCATCGCGGGCCGGGTGCTCAGTCGAGTAACATCAAGGTCGAGTATCACGCCAAGTCTACCTCCCGATGGAGGCGTGACCGCATGGATGGCCAGTGAGTTGGACTGAGATGACCCGATGAGCCCGCCAGTCTAACTTCCCAACAGTTTTCAGCGCCCACTTGGTCATTATGAATACCTGGTGAGTCTGACCCCTTTGAACATCCATCATATATGAACCGAGCTGACAACCACAGGGGCGTCGTCAACTCCTTCGGTGTCTTCCAGTCCTACTACACCACCCTGCTCTCCCGGCCGCCCTCCGACATCGCCTGGATCGGCTCCTTCGAGGTCTTCCTCCTCTTCTTCATCAGCACCTTCAGCGGCCGCTTGACCGACGCCGGCTACTTCCGCCCGCTTTTCGTCATTGGTTTTCTCCTTGTGTCCCTCGGCATGCTCACCACCTCCTTCTGCACGCAGTACTGGCAAATCTTCCTCGCACAGGGCATTTGCCTTGGGATCGGCAACGGGTTCCTGTTCTGCCCGGCGCTGTCGACAGCGTCCACCTACTTTGACAAAAGGAGAGGTTTGGCGCTGGGGTTCGTGTCAATTGGCAGCTCAACGGGCGGGTTAATATATCCGAGCATGGTGAGGCAGTTGCTTCCGTCCGTTGGGTTCGGGTGGACGATTCGCTCCATTGCCTTTGTGCAAATGGGCACACTGGTCATTGCATTCATGTTCCTGAGACCCCGGGTGAAGCCGAGGAAAGCGGGTAGCATTGTCGAGTGGGCGGCATTCCGAGAGTTGGAGTACACTTTCTATGCCGTCGGGTCTTTCTTGGTAAGCGAGAGTATTCCTCTTTCATCTGGTTTTGTTATTGACGTGACTTTGGTACAGAACTACCTCGGCGTTTTCTTTGCCTTCTACTATCTAGCCTCTTACACCCGCGACATCATTGGGTTGAGCTACGACTCGTCCCTTAACCTCTTACTCGTCCTCAACGGCGTGGGTGTGCCAGGCCGCATCCTGCCAGGCTACATCGCCGACCGTGTCGGCTCGATCAACACCCTCATCCCCATGTCCCTTGCTTCCGGCCTGCTCATGTACTGCTGGGTCGCAGTTTCGTCTACTGCAGGCCTCTACACCTGGACGCCCTTCTACGGTATCGCAGCCAGTGGGATTCAGAGCCTGTTTCCCGCTGCGCTGAGCCAGCTGACAAACGATCCAAGGAAACAGGGCACGCGGATGGGTATGACGTTTACAATCGTCAGCTTTGCAGTATTAACGGGGCCCCCGATTGCTGGCGCCATCATTTCCGCTGAAGGCAGCAAGTACACCGGGGCGCAGGTCTATGCGGGGACTTGTTTGCTTGCGGGTATGTGTTTCTGGGTTGCTGCGAGGATGGTGAAGACGAGAAAAGCAGGCGGGGGACTATGGTTCAAGACCTGACGAAAGGGCAGATGATCCTTAACTTTTATTAATGAATAGTGTTATATATTCATTAGACATTACATGTTAATATTTTTAAGTGTAATGATCTACAAAAACTGATGCTGCACTTGCTTAATGTGTTCAAATTCACGTAATATCAACTTACGTAGGTTTTCGTTTTTTTCTTGGTTTGTCATTGACGAGCCAGTTTAAGATCCGTACCAAGTTTGCTCACTATATGCCAAATATCGTCCATGTTCCGATATAGATGCAGCAACCGCTTTCTCTGGCGTATTCATGAGATTGGTGTGGGATAAGACGAGAATCTATCGCATCATCTTCCCGAGCATCGCGTCGATATCCTGCCTTACAACCAGATCTAAGAGGCCCTCCAGGGATACATCCTCCTTCAGACCCAAGTACACGTACCCCGGAGTGAGAAGATACCAAGCCTCGGCCTTGCCATGCGCCGCCCCAACGTGCTCTCTCGCCCAATCCCGATGAAGGTGCGCATGGATCGGCAGTCTCTGACCCGCATCCAAAAGCTTGACCAGAAGCTTCATATCTTCGCCGATTGCCCTCACATGCTGGGACCGAGCCAGTGCTCTGGCGCTTGCGCGACGGCGTCCGTGAGGAGGCGGCCGTCGAGGAGGATCGTCATCCCGAGCTTCGAGCCCGCGCAGCCGTGGCAGCACGTCGTCGAGGCGACCCAGTCTTCGGGCTCATTGGGTCCTGAGGGTGTGTATGAGCGGAAAGCGAATATTCTGGGTCCCCCTAGGTAGAAGCGTGATGGTTGCCGGTTGGCTGGGAGGAGAATGGGGGCCATTGTGTCTGGAACTAATAAGTGCGACGCTGGGGTTAGAATTGTCCAGAAGGTTGTAGTGATGAGCAGATCAGTCGTTCGTCACGTTGAGTGATTCATGTGTGTCAGTTATTGCGGATGAATGGAGGTGTGTAAACCTGATATTGGTTTTGAGTCTGATGAAGTTTAGTGGATAGAGAGAATTGAGGTGAATTCAAAAACCTGAAACGAGACGGCCTTTTTGAGCACAGTCGTGTTCAAGCTCGGTCCACAAGGAAGTCGGTCAATACATTCACTCTGCACCGAGGGGATTGGCATCTAAAAGAATAAGGATGGCTTTCTGGTCTGATCACAACTGGTGTAGTCGCACAGCTTGGGAAAGCCGATATTGGTATTCGAGCTACGGCGGGAAGTCTGAAAGACCCCTCTCTGCAGACGTCTGAAGATCCAAGTCATTATCTAGAGATACGAGTGACCCGCTCTACCCCTCAATACCCGGCCCCTCGCTCCACGTGCCGGGGTGCTTTTCAACGTCAGCTCATTGCTACTTGACATACACTTCATGGAATTGAACTGTTTTGACCCTGTACTGAGGTTCAGCTACAGAGCTGTTTTGCTTCTCTCGTTAATCCATCGATATCCTATTGCCCCAACAAACCTTGCCATAAGATTGTCACACTGATACAAGAGTTCCAACGTCAACCAGAGCGAACTGAGTTGTTGATTCAGTGCCAAAACATACAATCTTGGGTAAACAGAGAAAGAATACGAAAAGAAACAGCTGGGCCTCGTAGTTCTATGTTGTAAGTTTGTCACACATTGGCCAATATCGCTATCGTCCCCAAGCTCCGAATAATGGGTTATTAACGGCGATGGTGGACAAGACCACGCAGCCACTATCACATTTGACGCCATCTGTCACCTTTCACTCAAAGTTTGGACAGAATCAAAGCGACAGGCTGATATCTTCCCTGCAACTAAGATACACACAGTAGAACACGCGAAAACTGGGGGTTACATGCATCACGTTTCTGCACAGTTCAACGTCCAATTCACGCCATGTTCGGCGTTCTTCTCACGCATGCGCAAACTTGATATGTCGACGGTTTAGTAGTGATCTTGCATGCCCAAGAGCTCTAGGCGGACTTTTCCTTGGTGCAAACAAACGTACAGATGTCAAAAGGAGCAGTGTGGCATAATGGGGTGAAGGACTTGGGTCTCTCAGCAGCGTTTGGGCCCTCTGTGGATGTCGAATGCATGGGTCTTCTGCAGTTATCCGTGACAGACTTCGGCCTTCTCAGTCATTAGCAGTGTCATTTTGGGCCAGCAGCTTCCCCGCTTGTAGTGAAACTCGACCTTTGCCCATTCAAGACTTCCTGTGCTAACGTTCCGTCTCTGTCTACTCACCAACCATTGCCGTTCTTTCTATCCGTCTGCCGCATCCGATTTCGCCGGCAGTTCTCGGATATCAAAATCACCATACTTCGCATAGATGTTGTGCAGATGAAATGAAAAGATTCATCTGGCGATAAACTAGACGAGGCAGAAATCAAAGTCCAGAATGGGACGGCACAGTCACCGGCCTCACCTCGTGACTTTTCCAACTGTCAATTTCACTTCCCTCTCACCCAGGCAGAGGGACCCACCCTTCTTTGGTCATTCTTTCCGTCCCTATACGTGCTTCCATTCTCACTTTCACCTTGAAAAGACTGTTGTCTTATTTTTTACATTTTCTTTTCCCTCCCTTCACGACCAGAAACGTCCGAAATTAGCCAGCAGCAAGGTGAGGGAGGTATCCATTCCCCGCGATTCCATTGTTTACCCCCTCCCACTTGCGCCTCGCCATCGTGGCCTTCTTCGCGTCCTCACCTGCAGTGCCACAACTCAACCCATCACTGTGACTTTGACAGCAAGTGATTTCCCTGTCATTGAGGTAAAAATTCCCCTTTCATTCTTATCTCTTTTCTCCTTTTCCTTTTCTGGCTTTCACAGCGTTCGTTAGTTTTGTATCTCTTCTTTCTTTGTCGCCCTGTCCCGTTGTTTGGCTCTTTGTTTTCTGACACAACGTGTATGGTAACAAGCGACCCAGTTAAACAACCACAATGAACGCCAACAGTTACCCGGCTGAGCGCAGCATGAACTTGTCGGCCTTATCGCCTAAGCGCAGCACCAGCTCGTTTCTTGACAGCAACCACGAGGAAGATGTTGACACCCTGTCGCCCAACGGCCTTGGTCGCAACCCGTCCGGCCTAGCCCGCATTACCAAGAAGCCCCAGCCCAGGCTCCTCTATTCCGAGACAATAGTGCGAGGTGCTATGAGAGGAGAGCTTGTCTACACCCCCGCCCTTGAACCTCTCATGGGCTCCATTGCCCGCGATATGCGATTGACCAACCAAGTTGCGGGACGTCACTTGGGATCCAACATCCACTACTCAAAAATGAAAGGCATCTTGAAGCAGTGTCAGGACGAGATGGTTACCCTGGAGCGATACCTCTTGTCTGAGGCCTTCATCCGAACCGACATCTGGAACACTGTCCGTCTGCAAGAGTTCTTTGAGCTGGTGCACTCCTATGGCCTGGAGAGGCAGTTCCGAGATGAGTACTGGGAGAAAAACCAATCGTCTCACTCGCCCAAGGTCCAGAAGCTTTACGACTGCATCAAGCGGCCTCTGACACATCCCGCCTTCGACGACGCTCATGCTGACCAGATTGAGAGCTGGGCAAAGGACATTATGAGCCGTTCCGTTTTCGTTCCTCGAGCCGACCACCCCGTCATCCGCAGCGCTGTGGCCATCATGAACATTGCCGAGCAGCAGCCAATGGATGACCTGAAAGCCTGGGACAAGCTCCAAGAGGGACCTAAGCGCGTCGCCCAGATTTGGGCTGCGTGGTGTCTTGCACGCGACAAAAACTGGGTCGAGACCACATACCTTGCTGTCATCATCCTGGAGCGTGGAAGCAAGAACAAGATGGTTGCCAAATGCTTCCGTCGCGAAAACAGTGCCTTGCTCAGGCTGGTCGACAACGGCTACGATAAGGAGGCTTGCCGCCATTGGCAAGACATGCACGGCAAGTGTCACGTCATCTCCATGCAGGAGCTGCTATCACGGCCCGTTGTTGTCAACCTTGCCGGTACCTCCGTCGCATCCTCAACTCAGCAGAAGACGTGTTCCTCCACGGCTTCGTTGCAGAAGACCACCCACACCGCTAAAAAGACTGGCAACAACCTCCCTAAAGTGGTCCCTTCCAAAGGCAAGGAGCTTGCCTCGTCTTCTCGGTACCAACTCGACCCCATCCGTCAAGCTTCTACCCAGCAGAGCCCGGGCATCCAAATTTCGAGCGTTTCCAGACCCACCGGACGAGATCGCACCCCAGAAGATCTGGTTTGGAATCTTCAACCATTGGACACTTCTCGTCTTGAGAAGGGTCGCACTGACGAGATGGAACAGCGTCTGGCGACGCAGAGCGAAAAGACGAATCCCTCCCAGATTGATCAACCTCGAGTCAAAAAGCGCAAGACTGTTTCCTTCGGCCTCGACAACCCCCGTCAAGCACAGTCCGAAGTCCAGCGTTGCCCGAGTGCTGCTCCATCTCCAGCAACCTTCACCGTTCCGGCGACTGCCACCCATCCTGTCACTTCCGCTCCCCTTGTTGCGGCCAGTCCCGCTCACAATGCTTCTTTGGCCCCTGCTTCCGTGGCCCCCACTACTTTACCCCCTGCTTCTGTAGCTGCGATGCCTTCACCTCCCCCCACGCCTACGGATATACTCAGCCAATGGATGAATCAGTTGGTCAACCCTACTGATCTCGCTACCATGGTCGCCATGAGGCTCTTCGGCGGCACCTCCGACTTCCCTTGTAATTCCCAGCCCGTCTTCTCCAAGACGGAGCGTGAAGTCTCAGAGGAAGTCTGGACTAAACTCGAAGCGAATCTTGATAAAAAGCTTTCGCTTTTTCTTCGACACCTCGAAACCTTGTCTGACAATGTCAAGACTCTCGGCGACAAGCAGACTGCCTTTGAGCAGACTATAATGAAGATCAAAGACCAGACGACAGCTCAGGGAGACAAGCATATTGCTCACGAGGAGACCGTTATGAAGAAGATGGAAAACCTCACCAAGCTCGTCGAGAACCAACAGACTGCTCTCAAGCAGGCTGTTGCTAAGATGGATCACCAGCATACTGTCGTCGGAGATAAACACACTGCCTTTGAGCTCACTATTATGACAAAGATGGACAACCTGACCCAGTTGGTCCACATGCTACAGAAGGATCAGAAAGAGCTCAAGGCCAGGATCGACGGGGGAGTGAAGAAGCGGGCCAAGTCCACGGCCAACGACAAGACAGCAGACTCCATCACTTGCGCTCCCTTGGAGACTATGTCTCCCTCAACCAGAGGAAAGTATTAGTGGAATGTCTACTGTTTGTTTGCCTGTTTACTCCATCCAGCCTTTACGCTATCAGGTGCAGAACATTGTTTACCAGACGGGAAAAGAGGTGAAAACGGACTCCCACAGGACGACGAGAACGAATTAGGTGACTATTCCACACGCTAATAACGATAGACGGAAGTATTCAAGTGAGGACGAGTGGCACAAGTGTTGATACGACGATCGTGGAGGGCTGCTGCGAAGACGACTCTTACAGCGGCTCAGAAGGCGTTGGCTGCCACACTACCATCGAGGAAGACGAGTGGTGGATACACCCAAACGGATGGATATACCCCGACTGGACAAAACTTTGCGAGGGCCGCAAAGAAAAACGGTGAAAAGAAAAGAAACCAAAAACAAAGCATGATGATCGGGTGCCGGCTGGAGCACGTTGGGGATTTGGAACGTGGTCGGCGGGCCAATGGCAATTGGAAGGAATAGTCTCTGGTGTATGAAAACAGGGAACGTAGCCTTCGGTCCTGGCAGAAATGTAGAGTATAACAGACCTCGTGGGGCGGACGGACAGATAGACAGTCTCTCTCAACTAAGTGCTTCGCCCGTAACATCATGTTAAAAGTCGGTCCAACCACGATCCCAGCATCTTACACTGGTCAACTACCCCCAGTTGCTCTGGACGAATTCTCCCTACGTGCCCATTTGGTCTGAACAGATAGGTCCATGACCTCTAAGACTCTTCTTACTTTGAGGACAGGAGCCACTCGGCTGTCATTCGAGGAAGGGCAATCCTGGAGGCCTGTTGAGTGTTTGAAGCATCAATAGCCGAGATCGGCCTCAACTGATGAAAGAAGCTGGACCACCTATTGTCTGATGCAGACTCAGGCAAAACTACCTTCAAACATTGCATCCGACCACCAGATGCATCAGAACAAATGGAACACCGTCCCGTCGGCTGCTCACATCATCCCCCGGCCGCGCGACGGCCCCGGTGGGATGGCCCTCCACCCCATTCTCTGGCAAACCACAACCATCTCATCAACCCGTCATGACGACACACACACCACGTCTACAACCCCCTTTAGAAACCTCGAGACAGACATTATCAGATTCCAGTCTGAGCATCTGAAGTAGAACAACGCTCTTGATACTCGAAATCCGCCCTCGTCTCTCGCCATGGGAGGCCGTCAGGCAGACCAACTTCCACCGCCACCCGCTCCCCATCAGCCAAGATCAGAATAACCGCTAGCAGAGCAATAGTGCCCAACCAGCAAAAATGTGCCCCCTCGAGATCCCCTCCCGGCCCTGCCCCTCGGCTTCAGAATCGTCGTCACCGGCGCAAACGACTTCATCGCGAGCCACACCATCGACCAGCTCCTCGCGCGGGGCTACCTCGTCCGCGGCACAGTCCGCAACCCCGCCCGGACCCGCTGGCTGGCCGAGGACTTTGACAAGACCTACCATCCAGGAGTATTCGCCCTCCACGAAGTCGCCGAGGTCACCAGAGACGGGGTTTTCGACTCAGTCGTCGATGGCTAGTCTCCCCTCATCCCTCCCCCTTTTCTTTTCTTTATCACCTCAGGCCTCAGACACGATACAAGCAGCGGACTCAGTATGGAACAGTATGCTGCGGCGCAGGCTGGCTCCGATTGATGGCGGGGCCAGTCACTCCTCTCTCTCCTCTCTTGAGACCAGGAATCATACGCTCGAAGCTTCACTCAAAGGATCTGGAGCGTGTGCTCAAAATGGTTCAATTGTCCCTCGGGTGCTGTTGTACTCCCGCTTGGCCTTCCTATGGGCCCAACTGGATGTCTATCTACATAAAACGCTCCAGCCACCCCGATATCAAAGTTGGAAAGCATCATGTCATCAAGTGGAATTGGTATCAGAGAGAATTTTACATCACGATCTGTACACCTCGTCAGCAACATCTTCGTCGGCAGCGAAACCAATGTACTTACGCAGTCCGAATCATCCTTGCCCTTGGGAATGCCCATCTCCTCAAACGTCGCAGGTCCTTGGCCTGTTGCTTGTTTCTTCGGAGGAGGCATCGTTTGGGCACTGGGAGCAGGGCTAGGCTTCTGCTGGGGTCGCGGCTGCGATGACGGCGGCGCGCTGCCTGTGCGACCAGGCTGATGATCAGCAAGGTCTGGCCGGTTGGGGAAAGGCCTGGGCGCGCCAGCCGGCCCGGGACCAGCTTGAGGACGCGGGTGGCCTGAGGAACTTAGCGGCGGGTGACCCGAGGGACTTAGCGGCAACGAATCGACACGCAGAGGTTCGCCGCCGCCGCCGCCGCCGCCTCTGCCGTATCCTCCATACTGCTCGGGAGGGATGGACGACGTTCTCGGGCCGTAGCCTCCAGGCTGTGCCGGCAGTGGTGCAGGCTGGCCGTAGTCGCCCGGTCCGTAATTTCCTTGCTGAAACGGCGGTGAAGGTTGGGGTTGGGGTCTGGCATAAGGGTTCTGTTTTGCGAGCTTGTTTGCGGCAGGGTTGGCAGGAAGGCCACCCGCGACAGGGTAAGGCTGTGTTGTGGGTGGTCGGGGTGCGGGCCCTGGGCTAGGCTGGCGGTACCCGGAAGGCGGCCCGACTGGTACACGACCGCGCGGGTCGGACCCGGCGGGAGGGATCATGTTGCCCATGGACTGCGAAGCACGAATGTTGCCTGCGGGTCCCGGAGGGCCGCCAGGGCCGGTGCGGATCCCAAATGCGCTACCGGGGCGATCGGAGTGAGGGCCGGCAGGAGGACGGCCGCCAGTGTTGTAGTGAGGAGAGAGCTGAGGGCCAGGTCCGCGGCCATGGAGGTCGTCGTCGGGGTAAGGAGCCGTCGACTTGGGTCTGTTAAGGTTAAGGGGCGCGGGCCTGTCGTCTTCGGGGTAGGGAGCCGCCGATTTGGGACGGATTGCCAAATTGGCATCGAGGTTGACAGTGAATGCCGATGGTCTGTTGCCCATACTACTGGGCCGCGACGGGTCGGGATAATCAGCGTGGTCTTGCCCAGGGGAAGGGTGTACTCTCGGAGACGGATGAGGTGACGTCTTGGCTGAACCACTCGCATATCCGTGGTGTGCGTCGGTGGGAGTGGCCGGCGCGCTCTCCGAAACAGTCGGCATGGCACTTGGCGCCTTGAAGCGGTCGGGTCGCTTGCCGCGCTGGGATCCATGTTGCGACTTGATTCTCGTGAGCGTTGTGGTCTCGTGGTCGGCCTTGGTCAGACTCTTCTCGTGATCCAAGGCGTCGAGTCGGCCTCTGGCATCCTTGTTGCCGTGGTCGGCAGCGGCCTCGTACCAGAATCTGGCTTGACGCAAGTCCTTAGGTACGTAAACGCCGATCTCATAGTAGTAGCCCATTGCGAACTCGCCAGTCGGCAACTTGGCGTTGGCCGCATCCTGCGCGTACTTGAACGCAAGCTGCTCGTTCTTGTTGAAGATACCCTCGTATCCAAACAGAAACCATCTGCTAACACCAAGTGACGCCTCGGGCTGGCCTTGCTGGGCGGCAAGGCCGTAGTAGTGGAGCGAGTAAGCGGGGTTGAAGTCGCATCCAAGCTGGCAGAGCTCGTAAGCTTGGCCGATCTTCAGCTGGGCCTTGGCGAAACCGAGGTAAGCAGCCTTTTCGATGTACATTTTGGCCAGCGTCAAGTCTGCGGGGAGTAAGGCCTCAGGGACGTCAATGTCAGGAAGGTCCTTGGCAAGGAGCATTCCATAGACGTAGGACCCCTGAGGCGCATCCTCATCCGAAAGATCTGCAGCTTCCCTGATCAGGTCCAGACCGCGCTGGTAATCTTTCGGATGGCCGTGCTGGCCGAGCAGATTCATCATACCCAAGCGGTACATGGCCGCCGAGTCCTTGAGTCGCACGCCAAGGTAGTAGTGCTCTACCGCTTTGTTGTAGTCGTTCGAGTTCTCGAACAGCATGCCCAGACGATACTCTGCACGCGCATAGCCGAGCTCTGCCGCGCGCTGGTACTTTGTGTACGCATCCCGCTTGTCCGGGCGGCACCCGAATTTGCCAAACTCGAGCCATTTCGCCTTCATAAAGAGGGCCTCGGGGTGCTCTTGGCCTACAAGGTAGTTGACGATGTTGATTGCGTCGGTACGCAGCTCGTGCTCGACCTTCGGCGTTTGGCGGCCGCTGTCCGGGTCTCTGGCTCTGGCTTCCATGACAATCTCAGCCCAGGCCAAGGTGTCACGGGCCCATGACAGCTGCATGGAGACATTGTTGGAGTGCAGGACATGTTCGCGGGCATTCCACAGGATCTCCTCCTTTTCCTCGTCTGTCGGGGGTATGTTGTCGCCTTTGACTTTAGGGAAGGGGGAGAATGACGGCGCCGCACTGGGCCGCATCTTGTGGTGGTTGCCGCTCGAGCTGCTCTCTTGGAAGGGTTTGTAGGAGTCGGACGAGAATGCGCCGCCGGTGGGTGGGTTGGTGTCGCCTTTCGGTGGCAAGGCGGGCGCGCCAGGGACGGCGGGCTTGAGGACCGAGGACAGCGACGGTTCTCGGCCGTGACGGTTGGTAATGTTGGAGGCAGTTCGGCTCGGGTCGACTTCGCGGGCTTCAAGTTCCATGCGCTGCAGGTCGTTTTGCATGTTCTGGGGGACCTGGGGCGTCACACTGAAGAAAAATGCGCAGTCAGCAAAGGGTGTCGGGCTGGGGCAAAGGGCAGAACAAAGAGAGGATGGGCGCCAAAAATGGCCCCATCTCCAGTTGCAGCGAGGGGGAAACGAGGACCCATGAACGATCCGCCCGAATTAAAATGAGGGAATACGCGTACCGCTGAGGCGAAGGTGCAACGACCTCGGGCATGTAATAGTCGTCGAACCCTCCAGGAACGAATGTTGCGCCGAATTGTGGCATCTCGTCAGTTGTGATTTTGGGCTGAGGTGCAGCTGCATAAATAGGAGGTTATCAGTCAGCGGGGGTTGAGTCGAATGACGTTTAGGTTGGAGCCACGGGCAGCTTTGTTTTTTTGAGTGCGGTGCTAAGTTAGAAATGCTTTGGCTGATGCTGCTGACAGGGCGCTGGCCGCCTTCTGAAGCCCCCGAAAGGCGCTGCTGCTAGGTGTTGGAGCTGCTTGTCGTCTGACTTGTCTTCTCTGAACACACCGGGCAAGGATGACAGTATTGTCCAGGGTGGGGGAAATTTGGCGCGGAGAAAAAGTAAAATACGAACGGCTGAGCTCAGGTCGGAAAGGACTTGGGGATTTCCAGCGTTCCGTCTCTCGTTCTTGTGCTGTTGTCTCTGCTTTCTGTCTCGAACCGACGAGCGAGGGCGGCCGGAAGCGGGGTGGAGAGTCCAGGTAGAAGCTCAACGCATCTGGGATTCTCGACGGCGGGCCCTGTCTTTTTAGCGTACAGAAGAGGTTGCCCGTCCCCTTTTTTTCATGTGTGCCCAAGCCGGCTAGTGAAACATGGGAACAGCTCCAGGCGAGTGTGCCGAGTGCCAGAGTTGCATTTCTCTTTTGGATCAGGAGCGAGGGGGGAGGATCCTTCTCCTCCCTCCCCATCGCCCAGAAGCGGGACTGGGTAGGGAAGTTATAGAGAAGGAGGGGTCGTTGGTGTCGCTGTCGGAAATGCTGCTCCACCACCCCAAGCCGCAGCACCGGCGCTAGCACGCTGCAGCCCAGCTGACGAGCTGGACAACAAGCCTTTGTCCTTTTTTTTTTTTTTGGTGTTGAGTCGAAGTTGGGTGGTGCTGCGGACCTTGCTGCGGACCCGAAGTGAAAGGGTGCTGAGCAGTACTTCGTCTGTACTTTGATGGTGGGCAGAGCAGGGGGCAGGCTGGACTCGAAGGACAGGTACCGAAAGGTAATCGAGGGGGTGTCCCAGGATGAAGCATGTAAGACAACATTCAGTAAGCGTTAGAGACCTCGATTTTCCATCTTTCGATGGTGGTCCATTTCATCAGTGGGCCAGGATAGCTTAGCCGATAAGAACAGGTAGATAGCATGCTCGCGGCAGCGGGAGACCATCATCCATTCAGGCGGCGGTCGAAAACAGGTCGAGAGTGCGAGAGTGCGAGCGATGGGCGCGTGGTTGGAGGCACAACAGCCATGATCGTCCAGATAGGGTTGGCATGTGCACATGGCATCCAGCATATCCGGCGAGACAGCCCCTGTGTGCTTCGAGCGCACTTATTTCGCTTGCCACATGCCACCCACGGCCAAGGCATGCAGGCGGGACATTGGTTGGCGGAGAAGGGCCGGACGGTTCAGAGAAGACAGGCGCGGCAGCAGCAGCACGGTAGCAGCGGTAGCAGCAGCCATTCCGATTCGGGGGTCCGTCGGGCTTGATGGAAATGAGGCGGTCCCCACGAAAGGGATTTGGAGAGAGGGATGGGCAATACACAAACGAGATATCTCACTTACCAGCTGCTAGCGCCCGACAACGACCCTCATCAGCTTGTGCCGGTGTCCGCAGTTGTGCCTGGTTCTCGGAGATGGGACGCAGTCCAGGTGCAGTGGCAGTTCTATCACTAGAGGCGCTTCTCGTGCCGTTGCCGTTGTGAAGTGGACCGCTCGCGGCATCCGGCGCAGGCCCCTGGCCAAGCCGCGCGTACGGCGCCGAGTTATGCTTCTTCATCTTTTATTTGCTAGTCCAACGTGCTATTGGGAGCATGGGTTCGAAGGGGTCTTGAGGAAATGATAGTCGAGCCGAGTTCAAAGCGAGGTAGGCGAGATAGACTTGCGAGGCATCCGCGGAATGGGATGTCGCATGCCAGGTCGCGTGAACGGAGGTCGGGACTTTGTTAGCGATGATGGCTTGTAGGGGTTGGTCGCAAGACAAGGCCCGAGGCAGACAGAAGGGGGTCTTAATCGGGGTCGGTTAGGTATAAAGACTAATATGCTTATGGGTGAAGTCGACGATGCCGTCCAGGCCGGAACCGAAAGAAGAGGAGGGAAACGGAAAGAGAAAAGGGCCCCGACCGCACCTTCCCAGAGCTTCCTTGGAGAGCAGATTCGTCCTTCTTTCTATCCGTGCATCTTTCCTTCCTTCGGGTCTCTGGCAAACAGGCAGGCATCCCTCCTCCCTCGTCGTCCCTTCCTTCTCCTGCCACCAGAAGCAGCAAACGGCAAGTGAACGGATGACAGCCATGGCATTCGCCTCGGCGGCCAACCGTGCCGAACCAGCCCATCGGTTTCAAGTATGCACTTGGGGGGTTAGCAGCTGCAAAACGCGCAGTCGCGACGGCACAATCATGACACAGCGGCGGATTGCGCTGCGTTGCAGCAGCTCTCTGACCACGGGGCTGCTGCGTGTCAAGTAACTGAACCCCGCCACTGGAAGGGAACGGACATCCAATTACGCTTTCCCCCCACCATTACCTCTCACCTGCTCGTGTATTGCTGTTTGTCTTGCTGTTTGTAAGGTCGCTCACTCATCGCACTCGTGCCAACCACATCTCTGCAACTACTACTTTTCAACACCGTCACTCTTACCCGCCTTCTTCTCGCATCACCAATCGCAGAGTTTCCATTTGGAAGAATGCAAACCATTGCCAGCGACGGCTGTTACTCTCACAAACAGACAGACAACAGGGTCTGCGTGCATGCATATGCCGTCCCAATTAACCAAATGCACTCTCCACTCGGGCATCTCGCCTTCCATGCGCAGCCCGCTTGCTCAGCCACAACGTCGACGAGACTCTCGTTTCCAAACATAGAAACATCCTTCAATGGCGACCAATGGGTGGCATGCAGTCTCGTCTCGCAGCTACCCGTCCCGCCCCATTGGGGGCCGACCGATCGCAATCGGAATCGCCCCCTTCTTTTTCGCTTCTCTTGCATCCATTCCGCGCGACCTTTGACAGGCGACAGGGGACCGCGAGAGGATCGATCCCATTGCCTGCCCACCCGCCACCGGGGTGCAAACGCGGGAGCCTACCACAGCACCCGAGTACCTGCATAGTTGGGCCTATTTCGAGCCAGCGAGGCCTGGAACCATGGCCATCGTATGGGGTTGGAGTTCCTCGCCTGGCCCGTTTTGATGTCTGCTCAACGACTGATGAGAGAAATCGACAGGCTCAGCATTGCTGTTGGTGAATAAACATGGAGCGCGTCTCGACTCCAGGCCGCATGACAACGTCATGTTCCATGAGCTTCTGCCGCATCCCTGACTGCTGATCCCCACGGCCGGCATCCGATCCAAACGATCCCAACCCATCCCAACTCTGTTCAGCTCAACTTGACTCGGCCTACCAGGCTATGCCCTGTTCTCATGGCCACCACGGCGAGCCCGCAGCTTCCGATGTCTAAACCCTATTCCGGAGACTGGACGAACGTCCTTTGGTGTTGAGGCGACGCACTGAACTCGACTGCTTATTCTTCGAGTCGCGTCCGGCCTGTGACGCAGTGCCCTCTCACGTTGCAAGCGCCTTCGCAGTACCTCGCGGCAGATCGACAGAGCCTTACAGCCTTGCCAAGTTCGTCTGCTGTGTCCCCGTCCTCGTTTCTGCTGTTATTTCCCGTCCTTTGCTGCATTTTCATTCCATTTCCTGACAGCCCAACCCCCATCAACCCTGAGTACCTATCGAATACTTTTATCCGTGTAGTTGCTTGACAAATTCCTACTTATTGGTCAACTTGCCGAACTGACTATCGTGTACGTCTTTGCACACACGAACCAAGTAGTGTTGCCTTGGTTCAACCCGACGACATGCATTTTGGTCCCAGAGTTTTTCATGCCCTTAACCCATCCGTCGCACTTATATCACTCCCTGACTGGTGCGAGCATCGACCATTGCGAATTCAGCACGAGTGTGGCTTCGCGACAACGACGCTAGGGTAGTCACAATCTCAACAACCACTGACTAAGGTGCTTCTTCGAACACAGATTGAGTCCTCCCAACCGGTCGCATCAGGAATTGCCTGCAAATTTTGTCAAACAATGCCTGCTTTCGAAACCCCAAGAGGTTTCTTTTGTGTCGAACGCACTGTTTTTGCAACGCTTCAACTTAGATCTTTGCCCGCAACTACTGTGAAGTGTGTTTCGTAGTCAGTCTGGTGTGTCGTGTCTTCCACTATGTAAACCTCTCGAAACACAACGCCACATGTCTCAATAACAGACATGGTTGTATTTCAAGCTACATTCTTGTCTACACTGCATATTTATCACGTGACGTGCTTATAAAGTAACCTCATGCTTTCTCAGTCCATCAGGGTTCCATGGCTTCCTCGGTCCTCCTTGTCCTCTCCTGTAGTCTATGGGCAGTCGATAATGTTCCTGTTTGCTAGCAGCTTGCCTTGTATCCTTCTGTAGGAAATGGCTATCGTCGAAGTCGACTTTCTAGTCTGGAGTTCAAATATCCTCAGGGCGTTGACAGATATTAGTACGCTAATCAGTTACGACTAACGAAATGGGTCTCGACAAGCACGCCAGGGGTGGCCATACCTCTACTCAAGATTCACACGACAGTGCTAGAGAAGTATGCATTTTTCGACACAAGGACTTTGCCAATGAGTATGATGATGTCTCCATTATATTGATACAGTCTTACCAAACAGAAGATACTGCGGGCTGAATCTATATTGCCGTTCCCTAGAGCCTGAGTCTCCAAGGCTTGTTGGCATGGGTGTCAAGTTACTGTGTAAGGGATCCTAGTTTGCGGAGAACAGTACAAACAACGGCAATAGAGGCCAGTTCTAGACTTGAACCACCTGATCAACTCATTTAGCAATAGCTTGTTAGAGAGGTGATCAGGCCAGCTGTACAACGAAGCGTAAGTCCCTAAAGAAAGGGAAAGGATTGCGAAGATGAAGGGAGGGTAAGGGTCAGCATTTGTCTCGTTCCCACAGGCTCCTCGGACTTGCCGGGTTTCACATCTTGATATGCAATGCTCTAGGTGGCGGCTTGGTTGTTGCAACCAGCAGAGACTTTACTGATCTCATAGGATTCTGCTATGTTGTTCTCCCGATGCTCAAGGCTGAAGGATGGAAGACAACTCGGATACACAGTTGTCTGCGAAGGAGGTGATCAAGTCTATATATCTCGGAAGTCACCGACTCCAAGGTCTCTACCAAGTTGGCGACTAGTTTATGCGACCCCCGCCAGATTTCCACAAGAGGTTCTGCGAGAGTTCGCAATTGCATTGAGCGGCAGCCAACCCAAGCAAAGGAGGAAGATTGACCGGAAGTCTTCCAGCTACGGGCAGTCTAGATGACAGACATCCAAAGTTACGCTTCTCGAATACATCAGGCCACCAGTCTGTGCTCATTTGGGCGTCTTGAAACCTTATGAGACGATCATATTGACTGGGCGCACCTAGATACCTGTAGCTAACTTTACCACACTCGGTGATCGCTGCCACTAAAGATAATATGCCGCGGTCACTTCCGTATGGCAAAATGTGAGGAACTCGAGATCTACCGTATTCTTGCGTGTCGCAGCGGTTAATCAATTCGAAACCCTATACACAGCAGCATAGAGCTAGGAACTGATGATTGGTGATCAGTCGGCTTGCCCTGACTCGAGATGCACGGCCGGGAGTGGGTCGCCAAATTGGTCATATATAGATTCATGGAAGAGCTTTAGACGGGTAACGAAGACCTCAAAGTGACAGCAAAAGGCTACTATCGGTAGAGTTCAACTTAGAGTTTAGACTCGGGTTCACTTGGCGGCTTTGTTGTCTCAATGGAACATGTGTGCCCTCAGGGTATACGGCGAAGATCGCAATACGCAACGCCGGGATTCATATTCTGATGTTGAATAATCATCTATCGGAAGGTTTATTAAACAGCCGGTTCGAGAACCACTTGTCAGAGACCGCGAGACCGACCAAGACACTGTATCTGATCAGCGCTGTCTAGGGATGGCCCCCGTAGTATCCGAACTTAGAAAGTGGCCTGGTGAATGCCTGGGGGCCTAAAGGGAACAGAATAAGTAGATATCTATCGGCACTGATGAATAAGTCGTCCTGGCCATACCGAACCGATTCTGCTATCCTCTTAAGCAGTCCCTTCTGCCTTTCCAAATAGTCTAGACCTCCAACCGGACACTCGCCCACTATCACCCTAAAACGAAAACAACCAAAATCCAGACGACCAAGTGAACAACCAGAAGCAAAATGCGCCGGGTTCCTGTGAAGAAGAGGGGCAACGCCACGCGTCTTGTACAGAGCCAAGGTCTGGTCTTTGCCGACCTTGGCACGCACAACGCCTCGGAGCCCTACTGGCCGGATGACCGATACTACTCGTTCACCCTTGAAGAAATCACGCTCCTCGAGAACGCCGCTAAGGACGTCTTTGCAATGTGCTGCGAGGCGGCTGAATACCTCGTCGAGCACCCGGATATTATCACCAAGAAGATGGCGGTCCCTGCCTTTGCGCTTAAGCAGATCAAGGAATCATGGGACCGCGAGCCCGCCTGGGGCAGCATCTACGGACGTTTCGATGTCTGCTTTGGGGGTCTGGACCACCCAGATCCAAGGTTGCGTGTGCCAAAGTTCTACGAGTTCAATGCGGACACGCCAACAACGTTAGTTGAGGCTGCTTCAATCCAATGGCTGTGGCTTGAGCAGACCGGCCACGGCAACGACCAATTTAACGGCATAACCGAGGCGTTAGTCGAAGGCTGGAAGCGCAACATGACGCTTATCGAGGAAAAGCTCGGCCATAAGCCCACGGTTTACTTTGCTGTTGGCCAGGGCGATCCCATAGGCGAAGATGCAATGAACACCATGCTCCTGATGGACACCTGTCAACAAGCCGGCTGGTCTACCAAGGCCCTGACCATGGAGGAGATTTGTCTGTCTAAGAAGGATGGGCGCTTTTACGATATGGAGAGTAACCATATCGACGTCATCTTTAAACTCTACCCCTGGGAATATATGATGGAACAGCAGTTTGCGGAGCCGTCCTTCAAGGATATGGATAACATTGGTAAGCGCGATAAAGAGGGCAACTATATCGGCGGTACCGTCTGGATTGAGGCGCCGTACAAGATGCTATGGAGCAACAAATCGCTGTTTGCGATACTATGGGAGCTTTTCAAGAACGATCCGCGGTCTAAGTGGTTACTCCCGACGTACTTTGACGACGAGGTGCCTGCATCGTTGACCAGCTATGCGCGCAAGCCAATTTTTGCACGTGAGGGTGTTGACATTGTGCTGAAGGAGAACGGCAAGGTGATCCAGGATGCGTCAATGGGATGGTACGGAGCAGAGGGATACGTGGTGCAGGAGCTTGCCTTGCTACCAGAGTTTAAGGATGCTCAGGATAAGCCGCATTACCCCGTGCTTGGTCTCTGGTTTGTGGACGGCGATCCGGTGGGATTGGGCATCCGAGAAGATGGGACGCCAGTGACCTCCAATGCCTCGGTGTTTCTGCCACACTCCATCGAGGATGGACCCCTCAATTACCGGCGGCAAAAGGTCCCAGATGATGAGGAGATTGAGCAGGCGTTAAGAGTCGATACCTTCCATGATCAGTTTGACAAAGGAGGAGTGGAGAATGAGATGGTTCGCTACATCAAGAAGATTGTAATTTAGTAAGACACGAAAAGATAACTTGACATGAAGAACGTGATGAACTCCTGGCTGCATGCACAACAAGATCAAAACCAAGCTCTTTGCAGGTTGGGAAACCAGTTTCGCACTTCGCAAATTCTGATTGGCGTGAGTCTTGCGAGCGGAACAGAGGGGAAAGCTGATTCCCGGGCCTTATAAGTCAAGATATTGAGGAAAATGGTTGCAAGTACCAGTGTGTTTATTCGAGTTACCCGTATGTAAGGGCCTAATAGGTGCGAGAACGGCAGCTCCATAGCAACGAGACGGTACCTGAGCCGAAGTGGAGCTAGCAAGAGTCCGGGCCTGGCGACATCGGAGTCTGCTAATACCGTGACACGTGATGCTTTCTTACTCATCAACCGCATCCGACCACAATGACCAGCTCTTCAGGCAGCTCCAGACAGGCTAGGCCCAGAAAATGCTAGCGCAGCAATGCAAAGTACCCCGGCACGGACCTTGCCAGCTTGACGGCACCTTTCGTCAGCCTCTCTCAGCCTGCTGCGCCAAACACCAAAGCGACGAACCCAGCACATCTGGACACTCACGATCAACATCACACCCATCAACCTCGCGGTACCTACCCATAACAACATCCCATTCTGTTCTTCTCCAGCAGAGTAAACCACACAAGCGATAACCTCTGACTGTCTACGATAACTGTCGACGCCCATCCCGCCACCAGAGCTACCACGTACACCCCGCAGTCGGCTTCCCCAGCAGCAAGCCCAAAATGGCCGAACGCAACCTCCAACAAGTCCTCACCCAGCTCCGCGGAAAGGGCTCCTCCCTCCCCTACGCTGAGTCCTCCGCCCTCCTCTCCAAAGCCAAGCTCCACCTCCTCCAGCTCAACGCCCTTACTCCGTCCTCCGGCGCCGCCCAGCAGCAGACATCCCCCCAGCTCCTCGCCCTCGCCCGCGAGACGTACGAGCACGGCGCCCTCGCCTCCATCCGCGCAAAGAACCCAGACGCCTTCACCCGCTACGTCCAGCAGCTCCAGCCCTTCTACGAGCTTCCTTCCAACCTGCTCCCGCCCAACGTGCCCGACCGCAACAAGGTCACTGGCCTGTACCTGCTCCTCCTCCTCACCCAGGGCCGCTACGCAGAGTTCCACTCGGAGCTCGAGAGCCTCGCCAACCGTGAGGGCGGTGGTGACAGCAGCGCCGTCGAGGGTGACAAGTACCTCGGCTACCCCATTCGTCTTGAGAGGTGGTTGATGGAGGGAAGCTACGACCGCGTCTGGAACGCCCTCAAGAGCCGTGAGGTGCCGAGCGAGGAATACGGTGTCTTTTCAGAGGTATGCTCATCGCTTCGTTATACGCGCGGGACAATTGGAAGCTAAACAAAACACCTACCACTAGATTCTCACCTTCCAAATTCGCTCCGAGATCGCCTCGAGCAGCGAGCGCGCCTACCCAAGCCTCCCCATTAGCTCCGCAAAGTCCCTCCTCTTCCTCGACTCAGAGGGCGACGTCATCTCCTTTGCTCAGCAGCGCGGCTGGATTCTGAAGGATGGCCAAATCTTCTTCCCCGATACCGCCGAGGGCGTCGCTGCGGAGGACGGCACCACCGATAAGGAGATGAGCCAGATGGTGATAGAAAACACGCTCGGCTACGCAAGGGAACTGGAGACCATCGTGTAGAGAGAGGCAGGGCGGCGAAAGCGGTGTCTTTACTGTATTAATATCATGCGATAGACCATGAAAGACGGCCATGGAATAAGGAATCCAGGCTAGACGTTTACGATCTCATGAGCGGTGCCTATCACAGGAACAGTGAGTGAGTGGCTTTGAGACGTTTTGGGTCAAGAATGCCACACATTTCTGGCCAGTACAAGCCTAATCAGGTAAAGACGCACAACACCGAGTAAGGAACCATGACATTCAAATGCGCGCCATAATGCTTGATCAAGTGATGCCATATATTCGTCTCCCACTAACTATTGCTAACAATCAAAAGCCTGGGATTTTCATCAGGCACTCCAGCCTGTCTACTGTAAACTTTTCCCAAGACCAACCCCGTCTGACCGAGCGCACTGCAACATCCTGCAGCATTTCCATCATGGGTCGATAACCATTATCCTGACTCTTTACGCGAAGAGTTTCAGGCCACTGCCGTGCTTGCCAACTTCGCACACCTCGCAGACCTTGCAGACGGTGCCCTTGTACTTGCTGTGGTACTTGGAACCGTCGAAGGCGCACTCCTCGTATGAAGTACCGCTGTAGATAGGTGTGTGGCTTGCCGCGCAGATGTCAAACTCGGCAAACTGATCAAACTCAATCTCGATCGCATCTGAGGGGTTGCGTTCGCACTGAGCCTTTGCCTTCTTGGCCTGCGTTGAAAGTCAGTGGCTGGTATATTGGACTAGGGAATAGTTCGATACTTACGTTTTCAGTCAGCTTGCTTGAGCCACCGTTGGCAATGATGCGGTTGGCGAAGCTGAGAGCCGATCCGTAGTTCTTGTTCCTTATCGCTAGCTGCATCGCGTTGTGCAGGGCAAGCTGCCGATGAGGAACCTCGATCTTGGGGATGGTGAAGTAGGCAGAGAGCTCCAAGCCGCGCTTGAGCTGCTCGCCAGTGGTGCCAAGCTGGCGACGACTGAGCTCAATCTCCATGGCCACAGCATACTCACTGGCGGATGTGATAAGCTTCTTTGCTTCGGCCACCTCACTTTCGCTGGACACGGCGTTGATGAGGATGGCGTGGAGGATGCCCTTGAAGACCTTGAGACCGTCCTCGAGCTTGTTAGTCTTCATGGAGTTATAACCCTGTTGGAGGTCGTTGGTGGCCAAGAACTCGAGGTCACGGGGCACAATTGGCAGCACCTTCCTAGGGTCCGTCTCTTCAATCGTGCGCCGCACGTAGTTGACCAACGGAGGAAGATTAGCGGAAGCCGGGAGATATGTTTTTGATGCCTGGTAGACCTCGAGGAAACGAGGCTTCAGCGGCGCAAAGTTGACGGCTCCCACTTGTCTGTTGAGCAGCTGCATTGCTGACTCGAATGAGCCGCCTGCAACGTGATCCACGGCGAGAGGAGAGTTGCGAGCCCAAAGGTCGGCCTCACTGCTGCCAGCGCCACCAGCCTCTGCGCTGTCAACGTTCACGAAATCGCCTTCAATCTCGGGAACGACATCGTCGCCAAGATCCCAGCCCGCGGCATCCTCCTCATCGTCGGCATCGACGAGGGTACCGTTCTTCTTGGCAGCACCATCGTCTTCAGCGGCATCGTCGAAGCCGTTGGCAGCTGCGGGCTCGTCCTCCAATGACAGACCTTCAACCTGACCAAGCAGAGCCTTCTCAAAGACTGATTGCGAAGTCGCCTTTGTAGGCCAGTTGGCCTTGTATGTGGGCACAACAGGCTTCGGCGGCGTCAGAGCCTCTCCGATCGTGGGAGTCTCCAGCTGCTCCTCAGTGAGGCCAGTAGCCTCGAGAATAGCTTGGCACTCCTCTTCCAGGCCGTGAGACTTGGCGGTCATGTATGCCAACGGGTCTGAATGCGTTAGTAGAGTAAAAAAATAATACTGGGTGGCTTGAACTTACAGAGGTCAATCTCCTTGAACATCTGGATTCGGTCCTCAACCTCACCGAGGTAAAGCGCATTCTGGAATCGTGCAGTGAAATCGCCGCGGTGCTCGGCGATCTTGGCCATACGAGCAAGCTTGGAGTGATCGCCAGTAGACAGGTACAAGAAGGAAAGCTTGTCGAACTGCTTCAGCTTCTGATAGGCCATCTCCACAACTTGGTGGTTGCCATGGGCCAGGGCTTCCGCGCTCAGTCTTTGCCACAGCTTGGGGCGGTCCAGCTCCTTGGCCATCTCAACGGCAACATCAAGGTTTCCGCACTCAATGGCGAGTTCAAATCGAGTCGTGGGATCTTGCACGAATTGCAGAGCAATTTCGGGGTAGCCCTTCTTCTGGAGGTAAGAGATGATGGATTGGCCGACGAGACTGGAGTTCTGGATGATGTGAAGCATCTCCTCGTAGTTTCGCTTGACGAGCGCAAGCTTGAATCGGTACTCAGTTGGGTCTACGTGAAGAACCTTGGGCTTCGCCGCTCGGTCAAGGCAGTACACGTTGCGGCCCTTGACACGGACCAAGTAAACAGTCTGGTCAAGGGTACGAACGATACCATTGTCGCCGTTGAGAAGCGTGTACTTGATGTGGTTGAGAGTCGAGTACAGCAGGACACCAGCGTCATCCCAAGTTGCGCTCTTGATGCGAATAGTCTCATGCAGAGTGCTGACCTGCTCAAGAGTCTTTGTCACAATAGTGACATTGTGCTTGCTCAGGAGTGCCGCGTATAGACCATCGTTGGACCATACCACGTACTTGACACCGTTGACCGCGAGCTCGGCGACGCTCTTTTTCTGCTGGATGTCGTAGAGGTGGACAGCTGTCGGAGTAATGATGAGGAGGTTTCCAGTACCACCGAAGTAGATGTCGCTTGTTCCGACAGGAGGCTTGAAAGACCGGGTCGTGTTGTTGGACAGGTCCTTGATGTCGATGGTCTGGCTCGAGGTGTTCAAAACGGCAAATCGATTGCGGGCGACGAAAATGGCCGAGTTTCCTTGGCCACGTTTCGACTCAGTGGGCTCAATCGCGCCAGATCCATCACGAGGAAGGTTGATCAACTCATACGATCCACTGTCGGAGGGGGACGTGACAAGCACGGAGCGCTCAGCAGGGTTGTAGGAAAGAGTTCGCGGAGGGGTCCAGGGGCTACCAAGCTTCTTGAGCGACAGGAGGGTCGGGCTCTCAATACTCTTCTGGAAGTCGTACGACTTGACGTGCTTCTCCTTGGTGATGTAGAAGAGATTGTTCTGGTACACCGAAGACGCCGGTCTCTCTCTCTCCAGCTTAAAGACCATGACACCGTTGTCATGACCAGCAGCGAACAGGTTGATTTCGGGATGGGCGGCAATGACCCAGAACCGGTCATTCTCGCGCTTAAAGGATTGCACGGCGGTGCGCTTGTTGAGATCCCAGACACGGATGGTCTTATCTTCACCGACAGAGAGGATCAGGTCCTGGTGAGGGTGAAACAAGCAGCCAGAAGAGTTCTGGAAGTGCCCTCTGCAAGTGTCAACCTCCCAGGCCTTGGTTTCGCTCATACGCCAAAGCTTGACGAGTCGGTCATCGCCAGCTGAGACAATAAGAGGCATGGTCGGATGGAACGCAACCCAGTTGACACCGCGGTCATGGCCTTCCAAAACGAATTTGACAACAGCGTCGGTGTTACCAAACATATCGGCCTGGTTTTGGTTCGCCCGCGCAACCTGGTCTTCGAAGGTCATCGATGTCGGTGCCGAGTGCTTCTTGCGCAAGCCGGAAATGTCCCAGACGCGGACTGACTGGTCGAGGGAGGCGGAGACGACGAGATCTTCCTTGGGATGAAACTGGGCGCACATGGCGTAGTGGTTGTGTCCTGTCATTGTGCAGACTGGAAGGCAAGGTCAGTTAGTCCTTGTGCGCATTCACGGGTTCACAGGGATTGGACGCACTCAGGGAGCGATTTTGCCAGTTCCATATCCTGATGGTCTGGTCGTCGGAAGCAGACAGGATCCATGGAAGCTCGTGATGGAAGAAGACGGTACGGACGTAGTCGAGATGCCCGTTCAAGGTGAACAAGCATCGGCGGGTCTGGTAGGACCAGACCTTGATCTTGTAGTCGTCGCCTCCCGACACGAAGAGGGGTTGCGTCTTGTGGAAGTCAATTCCTCTAACCGGGCCATCGTGTTCTTCGAATCGATCGATCAGGGTTCCCATGCGGTAGTCCCAGAGCTGAATGGTGGAGGAGTGAAGGGCGACGAGGATCCATGGTCTGGTAGGTGCGTGTCAGCAAGGGGTCACATTTGGAGATGGAAGCTGTTGGTTGGACGGCCGCTCACCTCTTGGGATGGAACGCGATGCCCTTCGCGCGCGAGGACTTGGACTCGAACTGTATCCTGCGTGAGCAATCGAGTGCATGCGACGAGAGACTCGACTCAATGCGCCGAGGACGGGACGGAAGCGTACCTTGGTCAACATGCCCGAGGAGGCCTGCATTTTGGCGGGGAGGTGAAGCCGGAGCTTCGAGCAACCAGCAATGGGAAAACAGGCGGCACCTCTGGAGGGGACGGAATTCAAGTGCAGGCCAGCTTACCGACCAAGAAAGGTTGCAGCTGGAATCGGGGAGGATGGTGACATTCACGGGTCACAAAAGAGGGCGCGATGAAGGGGTTGGATGCGTAGAAGTATCCGAAGCGGCAAGGTAGAGAGATACGTAAAGGCCACTTCCTCGTCTCAGAGCCCCTAGTAACAATTCCGCTTCGTGGCCATCTGTAAAGTGTGGGTTGCGTTGTGGGTCCCAATGGCGCTGATTGACAGGAGCCCACGCATCAGAGTTCCGCCGGGCTCCGGACTCTCACCGCCCGAGCTCCCATTCCCCTGTCCAGTCCTCCCTTGTAATGCCTGACGGAGTCCAGTTCCTGAGGTCCAGGGAAACGAGGAACTGCTCAAGCTGACATAAGCAGCTGCCCCTCCAGTAGGCCCGTTTTCTGCCGTCCTTCCCCGTGGACCTAAGACCCCTGACGTGGGTGACGCTAGTCCTCTTTGATACAGCTCTTTTGTCAATGTGTTCAGAAGGCGGCGCGCACTTACACCTGCCCCCCGGACTAAGGCACGCCTGAACGGTAATCGACTTCTGGAACCCCTCCAAGCATTACTACAACAACCATGCGACAGAGGCGATAAAACACCACAGATACCCAGGCGCCCCTGCCTCTTTTTCGACCTCAAGAAAATTCCAGAAGCAGCCTACTTGCTCTGCTTCTCGAAACACTTCATTCGCACTCAAGAATAACAAGCCACCACTCTTTCTCTCTCTCACACCCTCATTCATTGACTGAAAGCAACCGCAAATTTGGAGGACAGCCCCTGCGCCGGTCGTCGCAAATCCTCCTTCGCAATGTTGCGCCTGTCTCAACTGCCGATGGGCCTTGGCCTGACGCTGTTGGCGGCCGTCAATGTCGTCGCTGTCCCTTCCGTTACGGTGGATATGAGGGCCGCCTTCCCATCTGGGCCCTACCTCCTCGAGCTGCTGTAAGCTACCTTGTCCTCGAATCAACGCTGCTTGCTTGTCCAGACCAGCTAATTACTGTCCCCTAGTGAGACTGCTGCGGGCGAAAACACAACATCATACTTTCCAATCCTCGATCGCATCGCCGGCGGATACTTCAGCGAAGCCAAGACCGATAAAGAAGTCTACGACAAGTTTCTCCACGTCCTGAACGAGGATGGACACATTACTTCTCCTGAGGCCCTCTCTACTTTCAAGCTGGCACTTTCTCTTCGAACTGCCGCTCCCCGGATCGAGGCTCACTACCAATATTACCGAACTGCTGTTGAGCCCCAGCTCGAATCCAACGCCCGGGATGGTTGTGAAGTCTGGGCAGAGCTGGCAGGAAAGCAATACTGCACTCCAACTCTAGACACTCCGAAGGAATCGGCCTTGGACGGGTCAAAGGCTTTGCCCTTCGACCGGATCCTAGGATCAGGCAGTGAGGCTATCCTGTACGCCGACCCAACTTCGTCTGCTTTTGGTCCATTCCACAGCACCTTGGTAGAGAAAGCACGTAATGGGGAGATTGAATACCGTCTTCGCTACACGAAGCCTGCTGGCAGCTACGAGGAGGCTCTACCTGTCAGCGGGTACGGAGTTGAGCTGGCCCTAAAGCGAACTGACTACATCGTTATTGATGATCGGGAGGCACACCATGACGACTCAGAGAAGGTTGTCAACGCCGAGGAGGTTCTTGATGCCGCCGAGGATGTGGCTGATTTGAAACCTTTGGCAAAGTCTGAGCTTCAGGAGCTTGGTCTCAAGGCCGCATCTTTCATCATGCAGAGCCAGAATCCCTTTGAAGCTCTGCTTCGACTGACGCAGGACTTCCCCAAGTTCTCGACCTCAATCGCCGCACATAATGTCTCTGCGGAATTCCTTGCTGAGCACCAGCTAAACCGCCAGCAACTGGTTCCCAGCGGTATGAACGTGCTCTGGATGAACGGAGTGCAACTCATCGAGCGCCAGATTGAGGCTTTCACAATCATCGACCTCCTTCGACGCGAACGAAAGCTCATTGACGGCGTGCGTGATCTCGGTTTCACTGGTGGTCAAGCAGTGTCTCTCCTTGGTCATCCCAAGGTTGCTGAGTCCAAAGCCGACGAGGAGCCTCCGCGCTTCGACTGGACAGACGACCTTGAGGAGGATCAGGTCATCATGTTCCTCAACGATCTTGAGAAGGATGAGCGATACAAGGATTTCCCCGATCAGTTGATGTCGGTAAGTATTGCAGAGTTTGTTTACTCATGGTCGGTCTACTAATCCATCCCAGCTTCTCCAGCGTGTTTACCCCGGTCAGCTGCCTCCGATCAAGCGCGACATTTTCAATCTTATCGTTCCCGTTGATTTCTCCAAGATGGAGGATCTTAACGTGGTGGCTCAACTCAACTCTTTCATACAGCGAAAGCTTCCGATTCGTTTCGGTCTGGTCCCTTTGACGCCCACCGAGGATGCTTTCAAGATCAGCAAGGTTCTTTACTACCTTCTCGACAATTACGGCTTGGATGTGTTCATCGAGTATCTGGATGCGGCCATGCAGGACTCAAAGACGGAGAAGCCGGATCAGAGCGTCTTTGAGAAGGCAATCAAGGATCGGGAGCCGCTTCCGGATGCCATCCTACGCCCCTTCAACGATGTTTTGCAATCCGAAGAGCTCGACAACGTGGTAAAGCTTGCCCAGAGGTGGGCAAAGAGACTAAATGCAAACACCCCTGTCCCCCCTGTGTTCATCAACGGCATTCCCGTTCCTCGAGAGAACAATTGGCTCCAAGCCATGAGTATGAAGGCTACAAGCGATTTGCAAGCAATCCAGCGAGCTGTCTACCTTGGCATGATTGACGAGGAAAGCTGGATTCCTGACTTCTTCCTTGAGAAGGCAGTCAAGCGCCGCAACACATACATTTACCCGGAAGATGACAAGTCTCTTAAGATCCTAGACGTCAACAAGATTTACACTGAACACGACAATCTCTTTGGCAAGGTCCCAGTTATTGAGGCGTTCGCCGACTCTACCAAAGAGAACTGGGCGGTCCTGACTGTTGTCGGTGACTTTACTTCCGACGAGGGGACCAACCTTCTACTCGAAGCTTTGGCGTTCCGTCGGAACAACCCTGGGGTCCGCTTGGATATCGTCTACAACCCGTTAATATCTGCTTCGGCTTCCGCCGTGAACACAGTGATGAAGAACAGCGGCGAGAAACTTGCCGAGGTCGAATCTCTTTCTGACATCAAAGGCATTCTTGACAGTGCTGCTGGTGAATCGGATGGAATCTTCACATCAGCCCTCAACGAGTTTCTGTCTTCCGCTGCCATCAAGCCGGGCTCCAACATGCTCATCCTCAACGGACGGGTGGTTGGACCCTTCACCGAAGCCGAGCCTTTCCAGGGTGATGACTTCCAGTACCTTTTAGAGTTCGAACAGAAGGCCCGTATACTCCCCGTCTATGCAGCGGTGGATGAACTTGGTCTGACTGAGAAGATCTCCGGGCCACTGGCAGCTGCCAAAGTTACGTCTGTGACTGCAATTTCGACAATCTCTGATTTGCCTGCCGGCATATTCGAGTCTGCGCCGTCCTTGCGCGTCAGCGCCCATGATGCCTGGAACTCAACCTACACCGCGATTGAAATTGGAAACCCAGAGGCTTCGAGCATTCACATAGTCGGCGTTTTGAACCCTGCCAGTGAGCAGGCACAGCGATGGGCACCAATTCTGAAGGTTGTCTCCGAACTGGACGGAGTCTATCTGAAGCTCTTCCTCAACCCGAAGGAGAAGATTGACGAGTTGCCAGTCAAGAGATTCTTCCGATATGTCCTGGAGTCCGAGCCGAGCTTCGATGAGGCTGGTAAGGTGCAAGCACTCGAGGCATCTTTCAAGGGTCTGCCCTCCGAGGCCCTTCTCAATGCCGGCATGGACGTTCCGCCGTCTTGGCTCGTTGCACCCAAGGTTTCGGTTCACGACCCTGACAACATCAAGCTGAGCTCCATTAAGTCGAACGTCTACGCATCCTACGAGCTTGAGAGCATCCTCATTGAAGGACATTCCCGTGAGGGCGGGCAGTCGCAACCCCCACGCGGTGCCCAGCTTGTCTTGGGCACTGAAAAGGAGCCTCACTTTGCGGATACCATTATAATGGCCAACCTCGGGTATTTCCAATTCAAGGCTAACCCGGGTTTCTACAACATCCAGCTCAAGCAGGGAAGAAGCTCTGATATCTACACCATCGATAGTATCGGTGCGAAAGGATGGACACCCGTGCCAGGTGATGAAGGCACCGAGGTGGTACTGATGGACTTCCAAGGCACAACGCTGTATCCCCGTCTTTCGCGCAAACCAGGCCAGGAGGAAGCCGACGTTTTGGCTGAGCCTGAAGACAACAGCATTGTTGGCCGCGGTCTCAAGTTTGCTGAAGGCATTCTGGGCAAGAAAAAGTCTGCATCTGACGAGGAGCACGCCGAAATCAACATCTTCTCCGTCGCCAGTGGCCACCTCTACGAGCGTATGTTGAACATCATGATGGTCAGCGTCATGAAGAACACCAAGCACACGGTCAAGTTCTGGTTCATTGAGCAGTTCCTATCTCCCTCGTTCAAGGACTTCATCCCGCACATGGCCAAGGAATATGGTTTCAAGTACGAGATGGTGACCTACAAGTGGCCCCACTGGCTGCGCCAGCAAAAGGAGAAGCAGCGCGAGATCTGGGGCTACAAGATCCTCTTCCTCGACGTGCTCTTCCCGCTGTCCCTGGACAAGGTCATCTTTGTCGATGCCGATCAGATCGTCCGCACCGACATGATTACCCTTGTCAACCACGACCTCGAAGGCAAGCCGTACGGCTTTACGCCCATGTGCGATTCCCGCACCGAGATGGAGGGCTTCCGCTTCTGGAAGCAGGGCTACTGGGCTAACTATCTCCGTGGCAACCCGTACCACATTTCGGCGCTGTACGTCGTCGACCTCCGCCGCTTCCGTGAGCTCGCTGCCGGCGACCGCCTGCGCCAGACCTACCACTCTCTCAGCGCCGACCCCAATAGTCTGGCCAACCTCGACCAAGACCTGCCCAACCACATGCAGTTCCAGATCCCCATTCACAGCCTGCCGCAGGAGTGGCTGTGGTGCGAGACGTGGTGCTCTGACGAGAGCCAGAAGGATGCAAAGACTATTGATCTCTGCAACAACCCGCAGACCAAGGAGCCCAAGCTCGACCGCGCGCGTCGCCAGGTGCCTGAGTGGACCGTCTACGATGACGAGATCGCCGCTCTCGACAGCAAGCGCAAGGGCCTGCCCGTCGAGTCGCCCAAGAAGGAGGAGACCAAGGTCGGCAGTGGAGGTGAGGGCGAGCAGCAGAAGCCTGTCGTCGCCGAAGAGAAGAACACCAAGAGCCGCAACTGGGAGGAGCCGCCTGCGGAGAAGACGCATGTCATAGACGAGCTATAGACTTCTGGGTAGTGGCGGTAGACTAGCTTCTTGTGTAGTGATACAGCATTAGAGACAGGAAAGACAGGAAAGGAGATTTGGACTCGATAGATCTCTTTTTTATTTTTTCGTTTGATGGAACGTGAGACGCTCTCCACTATGCCAGCAGGCAGTGTGACATCTGTAGCTAACACCTCTATCTGTACGGACCTCTCATAACGTCCGGTCTTCAAAAGCAAAGTTGACGTCGTTGCGCCCCAACGCCATCGCCATCCGAATTCATCAACTCCAAACACGTTCTATGGCTCTTTGAACGAACCCCCATAAGTCATAATGCATGCAAACAAACGCTTCCCCGTCTAGTGCGAAATGTACTGGAACACCGCCGACACCTCCGGCTCCCCGCACTCCTGCCTTAGCAGCAGGTCCTGGATCGGCTTCAACCCCTCATTGACGAAATGGTTCCACGTGCTCGTGTCGCCGTACAGCATGGCGGGCGATTTGATATACTGCCTTCCATCGGGCTTGCACCGCTTACACTTGAACGTGTCGTGCGTGTCCGAGTTTGTACCGGGGCGGTACTGGAACAGCTCGCGCAAGCTGTCGAGAGAGAAATGGCGCTCGACGTCCTCGGCGGAGTCGACGACGCAACTGGAAAGCGACTGCTTGTGGGACTGGCGCTGAAAGATCTTCTCCTCGATCGTTCCGGTGGCGATGAAGCGGTAGACGAAACAGTCCTTCTTCTGGCCATCACGCCAGACACGAGCGAGAGCCTGTTGATCAGCGGCAGGGTTCCAGTCGGGATCGAACAGGACCAAACGGTTGGCGCCGATGAGGTTGAGGCCGCAACCACCAGCCTTGGAACTGAGGAGGAAGACGAACTCCTCTCCGTCAGGGTTGTTGAACTTATCGACCAGCTTCTGGCGCTTGTTGACGTTCATGGTGCCGTCGAGACGCAGGCAGCCGTACGCTCGGGAACGACACAGCTTCTCAAACAAGTCAAGGGTCTGTGTGTAGTTGCTGATGAGCACAATCTTGTCGTTCGTGTCTTGACGGATGCGTGCGAGCATGCGGTCTAGGACTTGCATCTTGCCCGAATACCAAGGCTTGATATCCCGATCTCGGCCACGCGATTCCTTGGGAACGTAGTCTTCAGGGTAGCAATTTTCTGAACCGGGCAAGTCATCTGCAATGTTGAGTAAATCCGGGTGGTTGCAGAGCTTCTTGAGGATGTTGATGGCCTTGAGGGGTTGACTGCCCTTGCCACGAAGAAGAGCCTGAATTTCCGGACTGGTGATGAAGTAGTTGTATAGATCGAGCTGGAATGGTGCCAGGTTGCAGAAGACGACATGCTCATACTTGACGGGCAGATACTTGGACAAGATGTCGTTGGTGCGGCGAATGATGAACTTATTGACAATGCCCAACAGTTCGGACAAGCACTCGTCGCCCCTCTTCCTGTCGGCCTCGGAGGCATCGGCGTCGCGTCCACGTAGAATAGGAAGCTCGAATCGCTTACGGAACTCCAGGCGGGTGCCGAGCAGATCCGGGTTGGCGAAGCTGATCAAGGAGAAGTACTCGGACAAATCATTCTGGATGGGCGTTCCGGACAGGATGACTCGCCGTGTGACATTGAGGTTGTTGAGCGCACTGAATGTTTGGCTGTCTCCGTTCTTGAGACGATGGCCTTCGTCGCAAAGCATCAAACCAATCTTGGTGTGCTTCAGCTCTTCAACATTGAGACGGAGTGTTTCGTAAGACACGATGATGACTGGACGAGTGACTGATCTGCCACTAGCAATAGCCCATTGTCTCAGCTGGCGCGTCAACTCCTCCTTTGATGCCTTTCCGTCGATCGCAAAGGGCGTGATGGCATCGGCGCCTAGCCATTTGACCAACTCGTTGGCCCAGTTGCGGACTAAACTGGAAGGACAGGCGACGATGGCCTTTTGAATGGTGCTCTTTCCAGCTTCCGGTGACTGCTTTAGCAGGGTCCAAAGCAGGGTGATGCATTGGAGCGTCTTGCCAAGACCCATCTCGTCGGCCATGATGCAGCCATTGGCCTTCTCCTCGATCATGCCAGTAACGCATCTGTACATGAACTTGACACCCTCGACTTGATGTGGTCTGAGAACCTTGGCCAGTCTCGGGTCGATTACAACGGGGACTCGGGGGTGTTCTCCTTCAACTTTCTTCTTGATTCCCAGAATCTCAGCCAGACTCTTGTGGACGAGAGGCGCGTCAATCTTGGTTTCGCCCTCAGTATCCTTCTTGTCTTCCTTCTTCTCGGGTTCCTTCGGTTTGTCATCTACGGTCGGATCGTAGAGCACAATCGAGAACTCGCCACTGGGATCATGCAATGGCTTCGCGATGAAGGTAGCACCGGTACGAAGGCCAAGAGTGGGAGGGGGTCGATTGGGGTTATAGGCTCCCGTGTTTTTGTTGATCAGCGGTACCGAAAACGCCTTGCGGAACACCGTTGACTTGTCTTTCGCCTGAAATACCGGGAACTTGTTCGCATCGCGGTTGGCAAGAGCAAGTCGATCGGCGTTGGTGTAAGGCTTGTCCGCCTCGTTCTCTCCATCGGCGCCCCTGTAATCCACCCTTCTTTTCTTCCGGGCCGGTCTGTCGGTTGAGATGGTTCTCAGTGCTGATCCGGGACACTTGAAGGGCTTGTGCAGCTTATCAACAGACTGAGGGGTCGAGTATCGCTTCACGGGGATGTTCTCCTTGTTGGCGATCGGGGTGGTGGCGACGTCGACAGTCCTATGGAGGGGTCAGTGAGATCTTGCGCGTCGAAAGAACTCAAGATGAGGAATGCGTACATGTTGGGCCACAATTGAAGCTTTTTCAAGCCTGCAAGTGCAGAATAGGCGGCAATTTGGTGGATCGTCGCAGTGAGCAGGTAAGTAGGTAGTGAATGAAGATGGAGGGGAGAGAAACGATTCCCAGTCCAAGTTGTTGATTTGGGGAATTGGGAAAGCGCGACTCGACCCGCGTCGCCACTCAAACACGGTGTCACATGGCATTGCACGTGCGCTAGGCACCAGCGCCCAATAAGATGTAGAGGGTAGTCACTTATAGTGGGGTAATCGGAATTCGCACCTCGTTTCCGGCCCCACTCATATCGCCTCCCGTCGCTTCGTTGCTCGCCAACTCGGGATGCAGACATCATTGACTAACTTCAGACAGCTTGTCAACCTGCAGGATTATGGGTGGCCGTGTGAGAGATCACTACCGCAAGTAAGCTATAATTGCACCCCATACCAAAAGTAACCCGGTTCTACAAGAGGGTCAAATGCAACGTTCTGTAGTAGGGAAGGTTTCAAGAATTGACCAATCGAACAATGCGACCAAACAGTGCGTGAGAACCAAAGTTGGCGCCGTCTTAGCTCCAGTCCTAAAGATGCAGCTGACGGTTCCCCAGTGATCATACGTGGCTTTCGCAGTCGTAATGTTCAACATGCTAATCTCCTCGTGTTTGAGAGCGCGGCTTTAAAGTCAGTGAGGATTCCTCTGCCCAGTGGCTAAGGACGGATCCTCATGGCATTCTCCTTGGGGGAAAAAAGAAAACATGCCGTCTGACCGAACGAAATTCCAGTATAATCACTCCATCGGCAAGGAGACTATTCGCCTTGTACGCATCCTAAGCCGCCGGGATACTGAGGATGATCCCTTGCGACTTGCACTCGAGGAACATGCCATCACCGACCTCCCAGCATACCGAGCTCTGTCTTACACCTGGGGGTCTCCTATATCTGACACGTCTTCAGAGAATGACTTGGTGACGATCCTCCTCGAGAATCATGACTTCGATGTATTCCCAAACTTGCATGATGCGTTGCTCTGGATCAGAGCCCACGGGTCATGCGACTTATACTGGATCGACGCCATCAGCATCAATCAGACCGACAATGTCGAGCGGAGTGTACAAGTCAGTATAATGGACCATATCTACAAATTGGCCGCCCAAGTCGACGTATGGCTTGGCACTGTGTCCGAAGAGCACCATCCGGTCGAGGTTTCCCAGTTGATTCGGAAAATGGCTGCCAACGCCCAGAAGAAAATCGGGTTCAAGCGAGGAAACCACGTTTTCGACCACGATGCCCTACGGCGATACGGTTTGCAAGACATACCTGATGCCGTATGGTATGCATTCGTCGCCTTCTTCGACCGCAAGTGGTTCAACCGCGTTTGGGTCGTCCAGGAAGTGGCCTTGTCCAAAGATGCGTGTGTGCTCTGGGGTGAAGATGTCATCCCTTGGCAGACGGTGGCTCTCTGCTCGGATTTTTTGTTTGACAGTCGTCTCTACGAACAGCTTTCCGAGATCTTATACGACAACAACCCCACAATCAAGGACGCCCACGTTGGCAGCAATTCCGCGGGAATCGTCGCGATCCAGAGATGTCGCCACGACACACTTGCCGGTTGGGAAAGCGTGACACTTGATCACATCACTGGCGCGTCAGGCAACTCGGCCGGGAGTGGCATACTTAAAACGGGAGGGGCACTGCTCTTTCTCATGCTCCGCCTCACCATCGGAGTCGAAGCGAGCGATCCCAGAGACCAGGTCTTCGGCCTTCTCGGTATTCTCAACCTGCTCCTTGATACCAGCGGCCGCCCGAGGACGGGCCTGGAGCCTGACTACTGCAAACACTCGACTGCCGTCACAGTGTACACCGAAACGGCCATGTTCATCATGGAAGAGTGCGGCAACCTTGCGTTGCTAACGGCAGTGGCCGACGATGCGGACAAGCAGCTTGAGGGGCTGCCATCATGGGTGCCAGATTTCTCGGCACACGGGCCCTCGATGTTTCTGGCGATGCGGTGGCCGGCCGGCGTGCGTTACTTTGACGCATGCCGCTCCGCCCGGGCGGACTACCGCATTGTCGACGACAAACTCCTCCACGTCAAAGGTTTCTGCGTGGGCACGGTTTCCCTACTGGGAACGGTGTACTCGGAGCTTGCTACAAAGGGGAGCTTCGCGCAGTGGGCTGACTTCATGCTGCAATGCGACCCGGTATACAAACCGACTGGGCAGTGCCGTGTGGAGGCGTTCTGGCGGACATTGATCGCCGACCGAGACGGATTCAAGCACCCGGCCCCGGAAACCTACAAAAGGCGTTCCACCATTGGATAACAGACCACCTCGTGTGGGAAGTGTACTGCGCCTTGAAACGGGGAGCCGACCTGGACGAGTATCTCAATCAGTTGGAGAGTATCAAGAGGCTCGCCATGTCGGACGTCAGCAAGACTTTGCCATCGTGCGACGACATCAAGGCCTACGTCAAGCAGCTCCAAGGGTGCAACAAGAAGGAGGAAGTGGAAAGCATGTTCGACAGCTTCAAGCACCGCTGCCAGGTCTACGTCAACCTCGTGTTCGAGACGCTCTGGGAGAGACGGCCATTTTTGACAGACAGCGGGTATCTCGGCCTCGGGGCCAGTCGGTAGAGGACGGTGATGCTGTCTGGATCTTGGCCGGGTGCCCATCGCCCGTCGTGCTTCGCGAGGTGCCGGTTTCATCCATCTCGGGGCCTTTTTGTTATCGGTTGATTGGAGAGGCATACTTGCATGGCATTATGCATGGGGAAGCCGTTGTTGAGGGTATACTGTGGGAGGATATCTGCATCCAATGAGGTGAGGTGCAGCGTGTACATCAGCATTGGCATTCTTGCGCGTGTAAACAATATTACTGTTCTCCTAATTCACGAATCACTATTAATCAATGACAATCAGATGTTTGTCGTAACCGTTCATCCTATCCCGCGAGCCTAACCTAGGAACCGAATGTGTGCTTCGGTGAGGCATCCACCGAGAATGGCTAATGCCGTGCAAGGTTACCCCGAACACACAGCAGCACCAGGGTCCCCCCCTCCCCTGGCATCAGGCAAGCTCCAATTGGGGGGAGGCACGAGGGTGAGCTCGGATGTTTTTCCCTGGCTCACACCTCAAAATTCTCACCAACAAGAATCGTTCGACATTGGCAACCTGATCAATTCCATATTCCAATTCCCTCGTCACTCTCGACTTTCCCTTAATCGCCATTCCACTGTCAATCGGCCCGCTCCCGAACTCAATTGGCTTCCTAGTCGCAAAGAGCAAAGAATTGAACCCCCTCCGGCGCCTAATCCACAACAGCATCTTCACATGCTCGTCCTTTGACTCTAACGCCGCCCGCAACAACTCAAACAGTGGACCCCGAACGGCCCCCCCGCAACTTTCCCCTCGGTCTCTGAACGCAACTCAACAACACCATGTCCTCCTCGTCCTCCCCCTCCCCCGGAACCCCGCTCCTCCGTCCACCCTCTGCCCACACCTTCTGGATCGCCGGCAACTGGACCTCCATACTCGGCGGCACCGTCTTCACCCACTTCGCCCACTACCAGTACCTCGCCCGCGTCCGCACCCCGAACCCGAACCCCCTCAAGAATGCCCGCTTCTGGGCTCTAGCCGGCGGCGGATGGATGCTCTCCTACCTCGGCATCATCACCGGAATCGCCGTCGCCCAGGCAAAGGTCAACCACTACCGCGACCCCGAGACCCATTCCCTCTACAGCGACGACCCTTGATCTCAGCACACTGCTGAACAACTACCCACAACTGCAACTGCTCCAATTCCTCGACGACACCACACCCGCCATGTCCGCCGACTTCTGGGCCGGCTACATCTCCGGCGCCGTGGGCATCATCATCGGCAACCCCCTCGACCTCCTCAAAGTCCGCCTCCAAGCACGAACCGCCCCTGTCGTCGCCGCCGCCACGACTCCGACCTCCCCGCTGCCGACCCCCGCCGTCGCCGCGACTTCATACCTCCGCCACTTCGAATCCCCCGCCTCCCTCGTCACCGGCTCCGCCGCCCCGATCCTCGGCTACGGCGCTCTCAATGCCCTCCTTTTCGTCTCCTACAACCGCACCGAGGCCGCCCTCAACCGCGCCCTCGATGTCCGCTCCAGCCTCTGGACCACCTGGCTCGCCGGTGCCGTTGGCGGCCTGGCCACCTGGGTCGTAAGCACCCCCACCGAGCTGATCAAGTGCCGCGCCCAGCTATCCTCACCGCCCGCCTCGAGTTGGACCATCACCAAGGACGCCTGGCGCGCTGAGGGGGTGCGGGGGTTGTACTTTGGAGGCGCGGTGACTGCGCTGCGGGACAGCATCGGGTACGGGTTCTATTTCTGGTCCTACGAGCTCAGCACGCGGTGGATGGGCGTCGGCGGCGATGGCGTCAAGGAGACAGATATGCGCGAGGAGGCGGCCAAAGTGCTCCTCTGCGGTGGCCTGGCCGGCATCGTGACGTGGGCGAGCATCTTCCCGCTCGACGTCATAAAGACCCGTGTACAGACGCAGGCGTTTGAGACTTGGACATCAGCAGAGACGTCGCCCTTACTCGGGGCACAAGGCTCACAGCAGCAGCAGCAACAGCCGCCGCCGCCGCCCAAACGTGCGGGCGCAATTCAGGTCGCCAGGGAAGCGTACCGCGAAGGGGGCATGCGGGTCTTCTTTAGGGGCCTTACAATCTGTAGCGTGCGGGCTTTCGTCGTCAACGCGGTCCAGTGGGCAGTGTATGAATGGGCCATGTATGAGATGGGCGAGGGCCGGAGACGGCCTGCTGCTGCTGTTGAGCCTGCGGCACAAATGCTTTGAATGTCATGGATTGATGAGAGCGTTGTTGAATAACGGTCCGCAGGCTTAGCGTCTACCCCGAGGGCTCTGAATGTCTCCGCGTGGTGGTCGCACGATACGCGCAGGTTGGGAATGTTGCCGAATACTCTCCGGCCACACAGACAGCCAGAAAGGGGTTAAGTGCACCGATCAAAGAAAAGATGCGGGCAGTTTACGTATAAAATACTAGACCCGCCAGGATAAGGATTGTATTCTCAAAGATATTAGACAAAACTAGAAGCTGTTGCAATCATAGCTTCACAACCCCAATCGCAGCCATGACTTCAACCGAGCCCCAAACCACGTCCCTCGCGGAACTCAACCGCGACTTCTGGGAGTTTGTCAAACCCCTTCCCATGCTCTCTAACGTTTTCCTACGTTCGTACTAATCTTCAAGCCAGTGCCAATGCCGATACCTTCTTTGAACAAGACTGGCTCAAGGCCTTCGCCGAGCAACTCACCCGCTTCCTCCGCACCCAGGGCCCGAATCTAGGTTTCCGACCACGTGACCTAGCCAACCCGGTTCGTCTTCTGGACTACGCATGCGCATATGGCGGTGCGTCCTGGGTACGTTCTACCATTCTCGACCACACTTCACTCACCGCATCCCTAACTTGTGCTTGTGAACACCCAGGCCCTCGCCCCCTTCGTCGATGAGATCTTGGGTATCGACATCGCCCCCGCCATTGTGGATCGCTTCAACAACTGCGCCGCCCAGCTGGGGTACTCGCCGGCCCAAGCCCACGCCGTCGCGGGGGATCTGACGACGGACGGCTCGCTAGCCGTCGAGGGAGGGTTTGATGTGGTCATCATATCCATGGCGTTGCATCACCTCGATGATCCGAGGGGGATGTTGGAGCTGCTTGCGCGGCGGGTAAAGCCTGGGGGTGTGCTGATTGCCGTGGAGGGTGTGAACGCCATCGAGACGGGGATGGGGGTGAGAGATGAGGACGTCCATCAGCAGTTTGCGCACGAGGTCCTTAAGACTACCAACCGGCACGTCGAGTTCAGCGAGGAGCTGTTTAGGGGGTGGTTCGAGGGGGTCGGGTGTGACGCGGAAAGATTCGTGTATATTGAGAACGAGGAGGTCAGTCACTTCCCGGAGAATATCGTTGGGAAACCCGGGGGGCTTAATAGGAGGATGGTCATTGCTGCTTCGGTGAGGAGGTTTTGGCCTCGTGCATAGTTCTTTATACTTGGGGTTTGTTACTTTCATTTCTTATTGGTTCTGTTCGAGGGTTGAGACTCGTCAGCGAATTCCTCTCAAGCACATAATCGAACCTCCGTTTACTTGTAGACTGGTGCATAGAAGATAGGTGCTATAACTCAACCCTCTGATTAACCTTACAAGATGATTGGCAGAGATAATAGTTCTTGTACAATGTGCTGGCGGCGATTACCCGACCAATTTGTCGTACAACCCTGGCCTGAACCATGACAAATGACGGAAATGAGCAGGTTTCCATAACTGCTTTTGATCTAGTGAACCTGTGTTACGTTGTGAATAAGAAAAATCAGTCTAGTTATAGTGCCGGGTTTCATACACGCTGGCATCCAAGTCTCCACGCGCACATATCGGCATCTTTTCTCGGAGACTTTTGCCTCACCGGCACGGCTAGCCCCACATCGGATCCGATTATCTCGGCAACTTTCTTCTACCCTCGGAGACATCCCATGCCTCCGCATGTCAAATCGCACGACGTTTTCGCTGTCGTTCTAAGAAGTATAAAGACAAAGGTTTGCTTTTGTTGAAGATCGCATCGTATTTTGCGGAACACAAGCAAATGTAGGCGGTATTACACCAGTCACACTTACATGCAATCCCTCTACAAAGCACTCCTTCCAACACTATCACTTTTCCAGATGGCACACAACACCACGGCCCCAATGTTCCACGACGCTCTCATTATCGGCGCGGGGCCCGCCGGTCTAGCTACGGCGACTGCCCTCTCCCGTCAGCTCTATACCTCGGTCCTCTTCGACTCGGGCCTGTACCGCAACGCCCGCGCGACGAATATGCACAACGTCCTCGGCTTTGACCACGTCTCGCCCGCCGTCTTCCGCGCCAAGGCCAGGGACGACATCATGTCTCGGTACGCGGAGAGCGTGACCTTTGCCGATGTCGAGGTCCTGAAGACGTCCAAGGTCAGGGAGGGACTCTTCAAGGTGGAGGACGCACAGGGAAAGACGTGGTTTGGCAGGCGGCTGGTGCTGGCTACCGGCGTGACTGATATAATGCCGGATATCCAGGGTTATGGGGATTGCTGGGGTCGCGGGATCTTTCACTGTCTCTTCTGCCACGGCTTCGAAGAGCGCGGGGCGGAGAGGGTTGGCGTTCTGGCGTTCGGTATGACGGGGAACCTGAAGATGGCGACGCACATCGCATACATGGCGCGTCCCTTGGGGAAACAAGTCACAATCTACACAAGTGGCAACTCGTCTCTGGCCTCAGATATTGCTGCACTAGCCAACAACCCCTTTAAACTCGACGTCCGCAAGATCACAAAGATGCGCATGGCTCGCGGCGACGACGGGCACCACGCAAGCGTCACGCTTACCATGGATGACGACGAGGAAGTCACGGAGGGATTCCTAGCTCACGCGCCATTCACAAAGGTCAACGGTCCTTTTGCGGAGCAGCTGGGACTGGAGATGGCGGAGAACGGGGACATCAAGACGACGCCGCCGTTTGGCGAAACAAGCGTTGGCGGGGTGTATGCAGTCGGAGATTGCGGAAACATGATCAAGGCTGTCGCACCTGCAATGACAAGCGGAGCGCTTTGTGCGGGTGGGATGGTTGTGCCGTTGCAGTCAGAGCCGAGAGCCGAGCTGGATGTCGAGGCGACGGAGAAGGTCATTGGGTGATGGGGGTTGGGTCACTTGTCTCCTTGACTCGGTGTTTGTACAACACGAACAGGCAGCCAGATAGGATCTCAGAAGTCTCTGCTAGATTTGAATATAATTAGATAGACGACACACACATACCTTAGTGCTTTGGGAGGCTTGTATCCAGGCATCACGCACCATTTTCAACTCGAGCATCAACAGTGCGCAGGCATCTTCGAGCCAAGATGCCAATTTCCACCTAGCTCTTATTTCATTTTGCTACGTTTGATTTGAGTGACATTCCCAAAACGGGTCTACAGTATCGATCAACTCCGTCGACAGTTCCTCCCATGTGAGAGCAGGATCACCAACCATGCCCAAACGCCTTCAGTGACAGACAATGCAACGAGCTTAGTTGTCCAAAATTAAACATTGGATCAATTCTCTGAAGGATCAACAATCCGGCTCGAGTACATCTCCATTAGGGCCGAATCCCTTCCCACATACACTAGGGTCCAAACAACCCCGTTACAACACGTACCCGCCTCCAGGCAGCAGAATTAAAATGCAGCTCCCCCTCCCTTCATGCGCGACCACACCCCTTTTCCCCAAGAAGTTGACATCCGACGAATGATTCCACCTGTGAATAAGGGATTGACGCGCATCTTAAGGGCTGAATTGAGCCGGGATCCAGATTGGCTCTGAAATGGCAGGCCTGAGTTGTTGGAGCGGGTTAATGGTCGACCCATCAAGGCTCAATTAACCACCCGCGGCCAGACAAATGCCTCCTCTGCGATCTTTTGCGGCTATTATATGCATCAATGGAGCAGTTTGACCGCTCGGGCCGTTACCTCTTCGCAGAAGCGGTCAAGGGTCTACGGCCGAGCTTTATGGCGTGTGCTTGATTAGGAGGAACTTTACCTCCGAGGGCCAATACACCACGGGGGTGTGGAGTACCTTGCAAGGCTTCCATTTCTGTTTTTAACTTTACGTATACCCAAATTCTGTCAGATTGACGGCATTTGAAGGGACCGCCGGATGTTGCAGCTGTTTTCAGCTGAACAAGCTTGATCCGACGTCGATCAGTATCAACGAGATGCTTGGTCTCCAGTGCGCTACTACTGAGACGTCTCCATGACCAGCTACGTAACAAGAACGGCAGTTATTGGGCTCGAATTAGACATAACCTCTATGACATCGAGTTTTAGTATGCTATGGATGTGTGCATCTTCACTTGACTGGGCGGTATTGGAAAAGAAAAATGCGCTCTAAGGAACTCTTACCCATGCCCGCTACTTGGAAAATGTTTCCCATGGCCGATACTGGGAGAGGTAATAGGGAATAGGAATATTTTTCCTAGCCCCAGGCACGCGCTTTGGACCTCGGTGGCTGAAGAGATCCAAAGGGATGGTTTCCGAGATCTACTCATCCGTGGCATTCGTCTTGCTGTGGTTTCCGTTGAGATTCCCCAGCAGGTACAAGAAGAACCTTGGTGTTCTTAACCTCTTTGCCGGTAAAGCAGCTCAGTAGGATCCACTGCATGATTTGGTAGTCGTCCTCCTTGACAATCGTCAAAGATAAGTGAGTAGGAGACGTAGCATTGGCTGAAGGGCAAGTCGGCGTCATGAAGCCCCTCCATCTTTGCGTCGATGAAATCCTGCCCAGATTGGGCTACCCACATAGTGATGAGCCGGGATGGCTTCTGGCCTTTCGGTGTCTTCTTGATCTTCAAACTTGGCGTGTCTCGGCCCTCTGTGTCCGCCTCCACTGACAGTTGAGCATGTAATTCGGTGAAGCAGTCGTCCCTTCACATCTGAGTCAACCTTTGATATGATATGTAAGTCTATAGTTCGACAAAGACGCTGAAGTCAGCTACTTTCAGTCGTGTATGAATACACTTTTTGTCTCATGAGTTCAATGGGTGTAGCAGCGTCTTGGGTCGATATTGGACAGGCACTTGGGTGACAGGGAATCGTCGACAGACGTTCGCCAAACGAGTGCGATCGTTAGGACACTCACGCAAATCAATATAGACTACGTGGATATAGGTTCCATCTGTCTCTTGCGGTCTTCTGTGGCTCGTACACTTAAGAATCCGGTCTATGGAAAATCCCCCCAAAAAGGTCGACGACAGGCTAACTTCGGAGAGTACGCTCCTTGGCCACGGAGCAAATATGCCGCCTCCGTCATCCCTGTTCCTACCACATACATGTCCTGCTATCGCTTGTCTTGGTGTTCGAATCCCTTTCCTGAAGCGTATCCATTACGTACGGAGAATTCGAAGAGAATCATGTACCAATTACAATCGCTCACAAGATGTTCTTCGTATGTAAATTCTAATGCTCGGACTTGTGGTTTCGTCTAGTAGTGAGCATCAACACGAAGGTGGGATCTAAGATGTCGAGCAGTTGTGTTCGTTCCTCACTGAAGCAGAATACCACTGTCTAGCACACGTTATGGACTGACACCATCTCACCTACGTTGTGTCCACTTCACACCGCCGTTCGTCCCCCAAGTGTTCAGAGAAGGATTCTCAAGAAGTGACGGTCAACTTAGGCCGAACACCCTTGTCTCCTATCATGGGTAGGCCCACCTTGTGGCCACCGCAAAGACACCATCACCTGCCTTTCTCTGTGAAATCCATCTTCGCTAGAAGGTGAAATGGCTTCTGCAGGATGATCGGGTTCATCGTTGTGTAGCATCGACACCCACCTTACCGCCATGGACTCTACACATACTCCTCCTCCGAGATCAGCGAGTATCCAGATCTGCGTAAGGCACCGTCTAGACTAGGCAGCTGAGTTCAGCGCACAGTGGCGTGTGACATCGTGCTGTCGGCCCTGGTGTAGGAAGGAGGATACATCGGCCACCCCGAAGACAATCTTCCAACAATCTGACTTGCGAACGGCGCGGCTTGGAGCCGAGACTACGGATTTACCGTCTTCTCTTCCCGTCACCAGCCCCTTGTCTGGGCTTGATTACTCGATGAGTGATGGAAGCCTCCAGAACATGGTCCGCTTGAGAAGCCACCATGTTATTACGAGAAAGGCTTGATCATACCAGGTAGGTAGCCGTTCTGAAGCCCAGAGCTCAGAGAGAGACGAGGGATTCGATCCTTGACGCAACCGACCATCTCGACCTACATTGAAACAGCGGAATCTTACCATTCCGTCGTGTCATTAGTTCGTGTTGTAGGAAAGTCGACATACGCATAGTCTCTTAGTGGGCCGCCTACCTGTCTTCCCATCAACCTCGCCCAGCCCCGATCCCGCTCTCCGCGGCCTGGAGTCTCCCAGCTCCGTCTCCGAGTCAGAGAGGCTACATGAAACAAGACGTTTGGCATCATTACAATGCAACAGGAGCAAAAAGAAACTCTTCCAAAGCAAGAAATGGATTCACGCCCGCCCGAGCCAAGGATCGTGGATCGACCTGGACAAGGAGACAGAGACCAGAACTTGAAACGTGAAACCACAACAGCCTACCGCACCGGAGCACTCCAGCATCCAATCGAGTTCTTTGACGCGGGCCTTGTGTCGCAACCTGGCCAGAGAGAACCGCCTGGCCGACCTTGGTGTTTCGATATTATGCTCTCCGAGTCCATTGCAATGCGACCCTGTGAGCGCCGAATAGGGGATACCTTCTATGAATGTGACACTAAACCCTATACGCGAAATCGACGCCTTCTCCATCCACCGCGGTTACACAGCCTTTCCAACGACGTAGCCCGAGAGCGGGCCTTGTTACGTCCTCGAATAGCAATATCAGTCTAGCCAAAGGTCCCCCTATCCAGAGCCGGCTTCCACGACAAACCCGTGAAAAGGAGCCTTCGACCCGACCTGGCACCTACTCCTCTCCAGGACACCGCTGCTTGTCTGGCCGTCGGTCCCACCGCGGGGTATCAAGAAGACAAGACATGGCCGTGGGAGAAAGAGGCCGTTTCTTCTGAATTGAAGAACAATAAGCTTTAGACGTTCACATAGACCCGAGGATCATGCGCAGATCCAAAGAGGGTTTCGAATCATGGAATGGCAAGGATTTCCAGGACGGTTCTGCTCTAGAGGGTCGTACCGATGGGTGTCATCCCATGAGATCCCCCGCGCTTCATGGGGTGAAACAAGCGAGCCGGCCGGGTTGCCCCGGCGTGTTTGTGGTTGACAGTCGTCCCCGTTTCAAAATGCCCTTGTCACTCGTCTTCTTTAAACAGCTTCCATATCGACAAACACGCTACTCTGGAACCACAACTGCCGCCTAACATCACTCGGAATTGGTACGAAAAACTTTGTCGAGAGTCTCAGAAACATTGACACACCGTTTCAACCAAAGGTCTGGCCCCGTCTTCTGGGCCGATCGATGGCCCAGTCGATGTAGCAACCAAGTAATGACTCCCCATGTCAGCTCTGAGAGACGAGCTATAGGCCACGAAATGTGGCCTCAGCGCGCGGCGGGAGAGATGTAGGAGGATGAGGTAAATAGAGGAGCGCCGTAGCCGCCACGCAAGCCGTTCAATATGGAAACCGTCTTCCTGCACAAGCGAGTGAGCCGACATTAGCACCGAGTTCGGTGTCCGGAGACGCTTGTGGCCACTTGATCCGGATTGTCGGGGGCATTTCCCAAACCTTGACCCCGGTACATGAGCTCGAGTGGTATTAGTCCTGTCGGTGTGTCACGGTTCTAGAGGCCTTGCCAGGTTAGAGAGACTCCCACTCTTGACGGGGGACGAAGTATCCAATGGAAGGTGACATCAATATCAATAGGCTGCCACGCATCTCCGGTTTTCTCTGACGTCCAACAGCCCATCCAGCTGAAAATGGCCGAGGCATCTTGTACAACGCAGCGTCCTTAGTGAGCCCCATGAGCCCGCGCCGCAGGTGATGGAGGTTAGCGTCGCTGGACACAGAGGAGAAAAGGCCAGGGCGATATGTTTCAAGGCGGTGCGGGATTCTGCGACATACAAGTCACAACGGTCGTACATGGCGCAACGGCGTGGCGTGCAATTTCTTTGATCTCAACCGCTTCGTCGAGCAAGAAGCTGTCATCCTAGGGTAGCGGTCAGCAGCACGGCCCTGTTCACTGTGACGGTTGCCGAAGCCAGTTCATAGTGCATAGTGCCTTTCTACATCTGGCGATGATGTGAGGCAGTCGTGTCGATTTGGGCAGACTTTGAAGTCTTGTCAATCCGTTAGTCACGCAACCCATGTTTGGCTGGTGTTGTTGCTCCCCACATCAGCAGAGTCCATCGCATAATGGTTGCATGCGAGGTATCGGTCGTTTTCCTTATTGGCCGACCAGGATCAGCTCAGCCAGGACTTATTGCTGTAATAAGTTGCTCCACCGAATCGACTGCCTTTCTCGGACGCTATGTATGTCTGGTCCGCTTCGTTGCCTCCCTGATGAGATTCTGCTGATGGCGTGGTTCATGCGTTGGACAATGTGTCCCAGGGCGGAAGAAACCAGAGCTTTGTAGATGTAGAAATATTATTTTGGGCGGCAGTGGAGAGCTGTAGTCTTCCTCTGTCCGCCAAGCCAAGCTTGATACCTAAGACTTGGCTTTATGGGATATATCCTCCTCCGCGACATGGGCCAAAATTCCACGTCCGTAACCAGGCAGTGCTACTCTCCAGACTCTGCCGTGGCGAATGTGCTACGCCTTGCAATCTCCATGATTCAACCCATTGAATGATAACCGGACGCCGTGCTTAATTTCCAATATCCATATCCTTCTCTCAAACGTCCTTTAGTTATACAGGAACAGCTCCTCAGATCTAGTAGTCATCGAGCGGTGGATGCGCGGGCTTGCATACTCCGACATGGGCGAGACCAGAACACTCGGGTCATACACGGAAGCACTCACCCTGCTAACGTGAGGGTCATCCGGGACGGTTGCCCATCCCATAGACTCTCTGCTGTCGTAGCTGGGTTGCTGTACAGGTGTTTGTGGTACGGCTTCCGCACTCGCCGTTGCGGTAGCATATGCCGCGGATGTGAGCAGGTCTCCCGCCAGCGGAGTCGTCTGTTGCCGCTCCCCCTGGTACCACCATTGGTTCTCAAACCCATTGTCCACCGTCATCATTGCTGCAGACAGCGCTTCCAGCTCTTGTCTCCGTCTTAGGTCGTCCCTGTCTTTGGGGTTTGGCGCGGCGCTGGTCAGGGAGACGTCACGAAACTTCATGGACAACTCGGAAGAATAGTCGTCAACGTCGAAATCGTCCGGCACACCAAACTCGCCCGGCCACGCTGATGCTGACCAAGGCAACTCGTCTTCCCCAAGTCGGAAGCGTGAGGGAACTTCAGGCAGTGCTTTCCAGAAATCAGGGGCGTTCTGGGCGCGTGGTTTTTGGTGCGGTAGTGCTGAGCTACCAAGAGCGTCTGGCTCGGCATCCCATGGGCTCTCGTTCCAGGGTGGAGGAGCAGAGCTGCCTCTCTCGTGTGATGAAGTCGAGCGACTTCCCTGTCGAGACTGCCTGCTGGGTTCGTACTGTGGCAGCATTGGTTGGGGCTGAGGTTGATAGTACTCTTGGATAGGAGGCGAAGATCGTGTTTGTTGAAACGGTTGGTGGGCGGGTTCTGCCAGATAGTTTGTATTCGGCGGGGGAACTTGTCTGGGGAAATGTTGAGCTCGATCGCGAAAGCCACGAGAGACGTAGGTGACGGAGTGTTGGTTGGGAGCATGCCTAGGTGAAAAGGAGACCCCAAACTCGAAGTGTACAAAGATTTGGGGCCGACGGCTCGAATTTGACGCCATATCGTGGTGTGACTGAGACGGGATAGGTTCTGTCCTCCAGAGAGCGCTCATTGCAAAAGGGGGGACGTCCGTGGTTGATATCTGGGACGGGAGGCAGATGAGGAGGGGGGTGCCTTGATTCGACGGCGGTCTGAGCTAGCGTAGAATTGGGACCAAGCGGAGATGCAATCGGATGGATGGAAAGGTGATGCCAGTATCGGTACGTACGGGGCCGAGCTTGGGCTTGGACGCTAGTGTCAAAGGTATGCGTGATGTGGTGCAACAAACGGGCAGCCAGTAGATCAAGTGAGACTCTAAGTGTAGTTTTGTTACTGGTTGTGCCTGGTGATGGGGAGAGAGGCAAGGTCAGATTGGGGTGCTGCGGTCCATCCCTCTGATGTAAGCGGATGTTCTCTCCTCAAGAACTCTGGGAATGCCAAAGGCCGAAGCAACCCAGCTAGACTGGAATGGGGGAAAGGAGTGTGTTGAGTTTGGGCAGGTGAGTAGCGGCCCCAAGAGGAATTCGAAGGAAGGGGAGAGAGGTTTGTGGCGGAACAAGTCAAGACACCGCCCCGGCAAAGATCTGGACAGGACTCAGGAGGAGGGCCTCAAGCCAGCAGAACCGGCGCAGGGTGTCCGAGAGATGGGGGACAAGGACGCCAGGAGGGGCCCGGGGGAACAAGGATTGGTCGGGTCAGGTCCTGACGCGAGGCGATGGGCAAGGCGGGAGTCGGGGAGGGGAGGTGTGGGAAACGGGAAGAGGTGTAAAGAATGTGGAGGGCGGCTGAGGCAGCAGAATAAAAAAAAAACCCCGTGTGAGTGACCCGTATCTGTGGGTAATGAATGGCAAGTCGGAAGCGGTAAAGTGAGATGAGGTAGTTTGATGCAGAGCACGTCCCAAACGCCGGGTCCCGTCCATCAAGTAGCTTTGGACGTTGTCGACTGACTGTCTGGGGCTTGAGCAGAGCAAAGCAGAGCAGAGCAAGGACTGCAATGCGGCAAAAGTACAGCCCCTCGGCGCCTCGCTCGTCAGGCGATGGTACCAGCTTCAGATGGAATGCCGTAGGCGAAGCAGGGGAAGAGACCCAGCAGACCTCTGATCAAGGATCCGTCTCCTTCGCCTTCTTTCTCTCTCACGAGATGAAGGTTTAGTGAAATGACGATGCCTCGGGTTGCGGATGGAGCGACATGGGGCACTACAAGACGAAAGGGGAGCCCGAATACGGCGAGAAGCGAGAAATGACACGCCAAGGTCAAGGGCGAAGACGAGGAACGCGCAGCCTGGGGTGCTCGAATCGAGGTCACGATGGCGGCGGTCTGGCCGTGTCCGTGTTGTGATGTGATGTGTTGTGGTGTCGTCTGGTTGGTGTCTGTCAAGGCAAGGCCAGGCAAGGTGGGATGGCCCCGCGCGGGTTGCCCTTCCAGAACGAACTCAAGATTGTCGGCTGGTGAGATTTGGTGGAATGAGCGGGCAGCAGCGGACTGCATACGTACAGGTCGTAGGTGCATAGCAACTTGGAAAGCCAAAGGGCGGAATGGCGAGGGAGGCTTGGCCCAGCTTGGCTTGGGATGTTGGAAGGATGAGAACCCCTGCATGGACGCGGGCCATGGCTGGAGTGCAGTGTAAGTCGGGAGACCGGTGGAAAGGTACGTATCTTTTCCCTCCGTCTTCCAGGGGGTGGATGGGTCGTCGGTCCCATGAATCCTGTACCTGTACCATAGGACGTACGATGTGGTGGATTGCGGTGAGTTGCCAACATCCCAGAGATAGACCGGTACCGCAGCCAAACGTTTCGATGCACTTTTTCCCAAACAAGGTAGAAACTCAGGGCTGGCGATACCGTGAATAACAATAACAACATGCCCCATGCTAGACCGGTGGACTTCCGTTGCGGCGGCAGTGCTGACTGAGGAAGACGCCGTCCAAACTGCCACTATTGTAGTGTTGCACCGATATCCTTCGGAACATTGGGGGGGGGGGGAGCCCTGCGGGAGAGTCGAGACAGGGTACAGGCCCCTCTCAAACAACCCTGAACCATCTCGTCACCCCCTACGTATAGTATACAGAGGACGGCTATCTATGTACCTTGGTTGACATGAATCCCCCGGCCCCTTGGCCATTGAGATGCAGCCGCTTCCTTGTGCGGGCATCAGCGGCGATGTCCCCTATCAGTGTTTGAAGAGGCGGCTCGAGTATCATACATAGCAGCCTGAAGCAGCCGTGTGACATGAATGATGAGGTACACTCCAGTATTGCCGTAGAGCTGTCTCCGCTATTCACTCATCTTTGCCACTCGCAAATACGAGAGCCAGAGGCAAATCCACCAAATCCACCGTTTCGTAAGCATCCAGCAGCTTGTACGATGTATATTGTAGGCCTACTTAAACTACTATGTAGGATGACAAGACCGCCGCACTGATACCGTACCTAGGGAGCAGACTCGCTTCGTCTCAGCTCAGCTGCCGCAGTCGGGTACCGGCTAGTGATTTGCGGGTGATCTCACCCTCTTCCGTCCACGCTCTCTCGTCGCATCAGATCTGGCATCACTGATCCGCGGTTTGACAAGACGGGTGCGTGCCGCGCCACTAGTAGACGAGCGAGGCAAATACCTACCGCAGTACATAAGAGGAGTAGGTAGAGGTCGCGCATCCGGCCCATGGTGGCCCGACTTGTCGGGCGTCCTGGTGGTGACATTCGCCCCACGACGTCTCCCCCGTCCGTCCGTCCGTCCCATTGAGTCTGCAGATCAGTCCCGGCAACTGCCAATCAACGGGGCCAAGTCTGTCGTCCCCCCGACCCTCACGATGGACTTGATTGGAGGGCCGAGGGCAATAGTCTCCGGAGGCCGAACCAACCCTCGTCCGTGGCTGCGTGGGGCCGCGTCTCGTTCGTGGTTCAACAATCAGGCAGCCATATAAGAAAGAAAAAATTCTTTTGCATGCCGCTCATGTCACTCGCCCGCGAAGGATGAGATGCTCCTCCCTCAGCAAATGCCTCAACCTACAGCCAAAGTGGCACCGGCAGTACAACTAGCGTAGGTATGCCGAGGTTCCCTGACAGTCAGATTACACAGATGCCGTCGGATCAGCATAACCGGGAGGGGGGGCTTGGACGAGGGAACAACAACACATGATGGAATCTTCGAATCTGACTTCCATGGGTGGGGGGCCCGTCAGCACCCAAACAACCCAGCCACCCAAGACACTGCTGCTGCACGGCATTCATAGCTCCGTCCCTTGACATACTGCCGTATGTGCAATGTACCCAGGCCACAGTCACTGGGCTAACTCCAAAACAGCATTGGGCGGCCTTTGGATTCGGGGCTTCGCCGGTGTCGGTTAAACGCTGTGAGCCAGAGGCAGGGTACCGATCCGAAGGATGCAAATTGCCATCTCGATAGTGAACAAGCGGGCCCCCCGTCATGACGGAATGAGTGAAATGAGCCCCTGGAAAAAGCCGTTTGAACTCTGGATGAATGCCGACGTATGTCAAATTACAATATTGCCCAAGCCAAACTGCTCCCGCTTGCTTCACTGCTTCGTCTTAACTCGGTTTGTCTTCCACCGCCAAGGTCACGCACCGGTGGCATCGCAGCTATCAGTCATGTTACGATACCCGGTACTCGCCACTTTCCATGGGTACTATGTACTATCCTGTAGTACTTACTACTCGGGCAAAGCTGGCTTGAGCCTCTCTATTTTTATCCCAGGCGGGCACAGTCCAGTCGATCTCCACCAGAAACGCCCCACTTGTTCCGCCTCAACCATCCCCCATCTTCCTCCGGTCCCCGAACCATCCACCTCCCGAGCCCGCCCTCGGCGTCGTGCCTCTTCTGTTTTTGAACTTCATTCACCGGAATCCCGGATCCTTGCGTGGCATCCGCGTCCTTGTAGCCCCAAGAACACTCTTCGGCGCGGTGTCGTAAGCGCGCTTCCATCAGACAGACGCCGCAAGCGCGGCCCTGAGGCGCTGCCGCCCGTTCAGGAACTAGGATTCAGGAAGAGGCCCTACGAGCACCGCCTCTCCGCTTCTATATTTCGAGCTCGCCGGCCCATTTTCGAGTCCCCCAGGAATCCGGCGGCTCCTTACCGCAGTTAAGATTCAATCGATATCCCGCCGCCTTTGGTTGTCGTCCTTCTGCCTCACCACCGCCCGGGCATCGAGCGGCAGCGTCGTGATCATCGCACTTGGATATCGACCTCACTCCACCCCCATGTCCCGGACTCCATCGCCTCGAGCACCACTACCACACATGGACGACTTCCTTTTGCCCAAAACCATACCTTCGCTCTCCCCGGCCCTGACGATGCACGGGGCTGCCGACCTCGAGCATTTTCGTCGCTGTGCCAGCGTCACTGTACCCCTACGCCTCCTCCGCCTCGCTCGGGGCTCGAGCATGGTTCGGATGGTTTCTCCGTAGCCTTCGGAGCCCTCGTCGTCTCAAGTCTGGTCAGATGGTTCGTCAGCCAAGCCACCTCAGCCCTGCTCGGGAACGAAGGCTACCGGCATCGTCAGTGCTGTGGGCTCACGTCGCTCGGGATTCTCGCAACAGCATCCTGGAAGAAAAGAAAGAAAAAGTCTCGATGGCTCTTCTATGGGATACCGGTAATACCATGTAACCACCAAGGTACGCAAAGAGCGGATACGGACGGAGGCTGCGCGGCCACACCAGACATTCCGAACCAGCGGAACCGCAGAAATATTTCAAACAAGCACGCACGCACGCACGCACAAACAAACTCCCATGCACGTACTCTCACACGGCATCGCTCCCCTTGCTTGCCTTGCGCCCCGCCTCCCCTCCTCCCGCCTCGCCAACGTCCGCCTCCCAAAACCGGTCCAACTTGCGATCCCGCCCGCGCGCCACACCAACCAGATCGAACGGATCCACCACCGTCACCCAAAACGGCCGCGGGTCCTTCCACCCCGGCCCGTCCACCTCCGTGACCCCGTCCTTGGCGAGGTACACCGTGTACTTGGCCGGCAGGTACCTGCGCGGGTGCCGCACGTTGAACATGACGACGTTGGCCAGCATGAGGCTCGCCTCGAACACGTAAAAGAACCACTCGTACCGGATCGCCGGCGACACCTTGGCGACGTCCACGTCCGCGTCCCAGCGCAGATCCGCGACGCCAAAGTACTCGACGATCCGGTACGTCGTCCGCGTCAGGATCAGCACGACGCTGACGTACAGCGTGACCAGCGGGCCCTGGACCCCGCGCCGGCCCGCGACGCCGGCCCGCGCGCAGCGCCGCTGGAACGTGACGGCCAGGACGACGAAGCAAGCAATCACAAAGATCTGCAACAGCAGGCTCGCCTTGACGAGCGCGTGGCCCGTCGCCATCTCCCCGTCCGAGAGGGACTGGTTCGCGCTGTAGCTCGCGCCCCACCCGTTCAGGCTCTCGACGATGGCCGAGAAGAAGGCAAAGGTGCTCAGCACGCGGCCCGGGTGGAGTGGCGAGCAGTAGGGCACGTAGTAGAGCACGCGGCCGAGGATGTGGTAGTTTGCCAGCTCGAGGAGGGGTCTGTCGCATGGTGTGTACTAGTGAGTCGACGGTCTTTCTCATGGAATGCTCACACATGGCGCGCGGGGCTGGTGGGAAGTCTACTCACGGGGCTGCATACACCAGGCAAACCGTCACGATGAAGGTGTTCAGGTTATCGTAGTTCCACGCGCCATATATCCGGAAGGCAAAGCCCACCGTGAAGAGCAGGCAGCAGAACGAAAACAGACCCGTGACCTTGAAGAACTTGTAGCGGCTGTGTATACAACACACGTCAGCGAGGCGGGCCACACCGGGATTTGGCGAGCTACCAAACGACAAAGCAATCATCTCGCCGCGAGCACTTACTAGCATTGCCAAAAGTGCAGGATGCCAGACGCGGCAAACGCTATCGCGAAGAAAAAGGGCGCGCCCTTATTGGGGGCGTAGAAGAAGTAGCTCCCGTCGACTGCGTTTCCATTCGTTAAATGGGGTGACATGGAGGAAGAACCTGGTTCTGCCGACTTACCGTAGCTGCCGTCCGCCATGCTGTCTGTCGACTAACCAATCTCTTCCACTATGGTCGCTACTCTTTTTTAACGTCTCAAAAAGTCCACCAGGTAAAGCCGAAGACCATGCAGAGGCTAGCAGTAAAAGTGCAGTCTCGCGAGCACTCGTATAAATCGTTCCCGGGACCACCACCATGGAGACGAGAGTCGCCCGTGATATATATCCTCCACGAAACCCCAACGTCCTCTCCCATATTCCGCTGCCCTTCCCTTTGAGGGGGGGGGGATCCCGTCATAGGCTCTGACGATCCTCTTCATTTTGCAAAAGTGCATGAGCTATCCTGAACCCGACGAATACGCAAGGTTCAGCCTCACGAGGCGTCTCTCCCCTATCGGCCAATCGCATCCCTCGCTCGAATACGACGGCTGGCTAGAGATGACCCGACTGACGGGGGAATGTTGGCTCGAAACATTCTCACCCTGATTCGTCCCGCAACGAGCAAGTGTACAGCGACGATCGCCCTCCATGTGTATTTCTCTCATACCCGGCAGAGGGAAAACTTGCCCGGGAGACAGCCCTATGTCGACGTGTGGCGTTCGTCGTATCTCGCATCGGCCTGAGCTGCACCACAATCAAATCACGACGAGGCACCAGACTGTTCGGGTCCCGTACCCGGTTGGAACGTGTAATCTCTATCGGAGTGTCCGCCTGTTTTCGGTGAGCGTGCAGCATACTAGCTGCGATGATGACCCGCGTTGATATTCGTGGCTTCAAGAAATTGGTTCCCCATACGTTGAGACGCATGTGGCCGTTCACGCCCTCCCCGTTACAAGACCAGCACAAAATGCCACAAGTTGAAGAGACGTGCCAAGTATCTTTAAAATTCGTGAATTGAATTCATCCTTGAATGGTACCCGAGAAAACCGGTGTACTGACTAAATGCCTCGTAATGCAAAAAGGTAGAAAGTGTCACAATGCCCATCCCTACCGTTTCCGTATTTGTACATCAGAAGGAGAAAAAGAAAAGACCAACGTCTGCCCAGGTGTTGTTACTGGGCACGAGTTGTCGACTTCCCGAACATGAGACCCAGGGCCTCCCGCAATATCCAAAGCCCGCCCGCGCGGAGCCTCGTTTGCTCAAAAACGCCACAAAAAGAAAACCTTCCATCCTAGATGCAGTTCCTGGGGGTAAAACGTACAGTGGTCATACATGGACTCATTACAGGCCATCGCTTGTTGGCTTCAGTCAACCTCCCAACCGCGGCCGGTTCCATTCGCGTTGTCAGTGGCCGCATCACTATCGCCGTCATCACCGCCGATGACGCTACTCGCGCGTGACGACTCGACCTGGCTGAGGTAAAAGTCGTCGTTCTCTCCCCAGCTATCGTACTCGTCGTCGGAATAATCCCATTGCACGGGAATGGTCTCTCCACCCTCACCAAAACCGAACATCATACCGCGCCACTGTCCGGCAGCGATCTTAGCAGCCACCTGCAGCATTAGCGCAATGAGATGGCTCGGCGGACCTAGCAAGACCTCGCAAGTTTTGGACACAATGACCATGGGGATCCTGCGAACAAGCTCCAAGCGACTGCGTAGGGGATGGTGCCTGGCCTGGCTGTTTGTAGTAGCAAACAAGTTGGCCGCTGTAGGAAGAGGCGAAAGAGTCCTGTGGCTGACCGAGATGCTGCTCGTTGTTGACCGATGGCGAATGTACGGGCGACGTGCAACCGCCGACGTGGCAGCTTCATCCTCCGAGAGGGCAACCTTGTCGGGCTGTTCCACCACCTCAGAAGCCATATCCGGTGCAGTAGCCGCGCTTTCCTGAGAGCTGTCGTCGGTAAGAGAAGACGTGGCATCCCACGTACGCCGTGTCTCCGGGGTAACAGTCAAATCCGATACATCGCGGTAGTGCCAGGGCTTCTTCGGGATCAGGATGTTGTCGTGAGGATAGGGGAACCTCGTGGGCGAGACATCCGAAGCAGGAGATCGCGGAACCGGCGTGACCGGCGAGTGCCACGAGCGGGAGCTATGGAACGAATCTGTAGATCCTGTAGGCGAAGCCGCATCGTCTAGGATCGGTGTCGATCTCATGGCCGACTTGGATGGTGGCGAGGTCACGAGCGTCAGCTGAGGGACAAGAGCCCGGCCGGCCCTGAACCCGCGGAGCTTCTTGCGTCTGCCACCCACGACTCCGCTGCCCTCTAGAACTGATTCTTCGTCGGTCGTTGAAGTTGATTCGGTGCTCGAGCCACCCTCATTAGCGCTGCCGGCCTCGGCTTGGGGTGCCTCGGGAACAGCCGCATGCTCATTGGCGGCCGGGGTAGGCTCTGGTGCAGCAGCGGCCATCTTGTGCTCGTAGTTGCGAATAACGTCGTAAATGTTCGTGGGCGTTGGCGTGCTAGTTCCAGCTGACAAAGGCGTGTTGGGGGATATATCCGTGGTGATAAGCTGCTCCTTGATTTCGTCTGGCGGAGGGCAAGGTTCTGCTGGTTGCTCACCAACCGCGATAGTTTCCGTGTGAACATCTGGTTTGCTGTCCTTGGAAGTGATTGCTGCTGCCAAACCCTGGAGAGTCTCTGCTGACGCTCTGGGGTTTTGGATACTTTCTTGGCGACCAGACGTCTCCATCATGGGCGCTAATACTGATGTTGACGGCGAGCTGGGTTGGGGCTTTGGTAACTGAGCATCCTCGTCCGTAGCAGTTTCAGTACCATCCAGCTCTGCCTCGTCACGCTGTACTTCTTCAACGGCCAGAGGCTCTGTTGGTTGGCTCGTAACATCACCAATCAAGCCTGCTTCTGGCTCGTCCTCAGTCTCCACTTCCTCGGCAATTGATTCTTCAGCTGTGGAAAGATGATGGATCTCCTCAGTCGCGGTCGTTTGCGTGCCAGCTACATCAGTGGTCTCGAAATCCCGTTCGACTGCCACTCGGGGCACCGTCTCGACGTCATGGGCACGATCATCCTCCACTGCCTGTTCTGGTACTGGTTGCGATTTGGGTATGGGAGAGGTTGTCTCGATCGTCTCAGTGGTGGAGTTTTGCTCTTTCTCCTTTGACTCGGCAAGCACTGATATCTCGGCGCTAGGCTCTCGCGACCGGGAGCTGGACTGGACGTCACTGCCGATGACCGATAGACGACGGCCACGGAGGGATGTTGTTGAGGCTCTCCTGCCAGTACTGGGGGTCAAAGCCTTCGGAATCGGCGATGCCTCAACCTCATGGGCCGGCGTGGAAAGAACAGGCAGTGCTCCCTTCACAGGAGGTGTCCATGGTCGCTTCTTGACTGGTGTCTTTGGCTTCTCGGGAAGGACGATGGTGAATGATCGCTTGAAGGGGCATTCCGTCTTCTCGAACTGGAGGATCTGATCCCAGACGCCCTTCAGTGCGACGGCGAGCTCCTGTTCATCGGCATTGGTGACGGGGATCTCTATCCTCCAATAGTTGGGTCGACGAATCTGCAGGACAAATTTGCTCGAGTCCTCTGCCAGGGCCCAACATTGGCTCTTCGGTAACATTGGCTGGAGGGCGGAACCGCAATTCAGAAAGGCCACGGAGCCTGTGCGATAGATCCGGAAGGGGCCTAGGTACGCAGACTCCGGTCAACAACGTTTTCACAGAGAGGGACCGCGCGACTTACCAATTGCAATGGTTCTTTCCAGTTGCGAGTAGGGGGACAAGGAGCCAGGCTCGTCGGCAGGACCACGACCTGGGCTCCGGGCTCGGCCTCTGGAGGCGGCAGTAAAGGCCACGATTTTGACATTAGGGTGGTTGTAGAGTGTCTCGATGAGACCGCCGGCCGAGGAGGAAGGGCGGGACGTCTGCGTCGGCACGGGTGCAGTCACGACGCGCCGAGGAGCCGGATAAGTAGGACGGAGAGACTCCATCGTGGTATCCCTGAGGAGGGAGGCGGAGGGATGTCAGCCGCGGGGGTAGTATCGTCACGTAAGGGCGGGAGCGGTCAGCTGATGGTCGAGGATTACGAGTCGGATTTGGGTCATGTCGAAGCCGAGATCGAGGACATTGCAGGTTTGGAGAAGGAAGAGAGTGTCGACGTGTCGGGAAATGATGCTCTCAATTTCCGTTGCGTTCGTTGGCGCGCCCGCCTTCGTTCAAGGAGCAATGCAGGCCGGAGGAGGCAAAGGCAGAGGATGTATAGCAAGGGGTGGGATTGTGGACGGGAGGAATCCAATGGATAGACGGGTCCAGCGGCGCGGACGTGGAAGTGGATGGATGATGGGCGTGGGCCCCCTTTTGAGCCGAGCGAAAATGGGGAAGAAAATGTCTTGGTCCCGGTCTCAGCGCGCTTCAGATGAAGAAGAGACACTTGGTGCCACACAAGACACACACCCACAAGAGGAGCCGTCGAAGGAGCGAAGGAGGAGTAGGAGGGAAAGAAAGGTTCTGAAAATTGAATTTCAGTGAGAAGAGAGAGCGGGCGGTTTGAAGGGAGGGGGACAATAAAGAGAAAGCAAGGTTAACTATGCCCGGGATGTTAGGTACAGTGTAGGAAAAAGAAGCTTGGGCGGGATTTACTCATGGTTCGACCAGGGGTCAGCTATGTCACGGCTTTTTGGGGACTCGTTCGAGGAAACACGCGCAGACGGGGGGTTTCTTGGGGGTTCTGACGCTGCCGGTCTCCTGTCCTCCGCGTCGCCCGTTTGATGGCAAAGGACCCCCGCGCCCCTCTCTCCCACCTTTTGCTCCTTTCCTCGTGCCTTTCTCCCTTTGGATGCTTACTTAAGTCCACACTTTCCACGGCACAGTTAGGGACCTAGCCAGCATCTATCTGTGGGACGCGAAATCAGGTGGAATTGGTTTCGACTCGGCCATGCAGTGCCACTTGGTAATTATAGAAGAGTCACTCCATTCCAGCATTGCGGGAACTCGAGACATACCTACGCACCCTGCGGGCTTTCACATGCTGTTTCTCAGTCGTCGAGTTTGAAGCTGTGCCTGTCCTGTCTCTCCTCGTCGCCACAACTCATCCAGCGTTATTATCCCTCCGCTATGGGCTCTTGCCTAAGGTACTAGAACAGTTGCGGGAGAATGGGTAGGCTAGGAAGACTAGGTCCCCTCGAAGCGCGCCCTCGTGATGTGCCCGGCCCCGTTTAGAGCTGGGCTGGAGATTACACGACGTCGTCTTTTTTTCCGCTACGGATACCAATTACGCTGCAGTACCATTGGCGCTGCAACGGCGGGGCGGCCGATGCATCCCAGCCGAATTGCATGCACCCTTAAAAAAACCCTTAAGCCGTGATGAGCATGGGGGGAATAGCTATGGGGAAGCAAGGGCGACGCAGATGAGATGGGGCGCCCTCAACACAATTCCATTGGCAACCTCGCACTGGGAAATATCGTTTCTTTGATTTCAGCTCCGCCTGGTTAGGCGTCAATTGAGCCCGTGTTGCCTCGTCATTGGGTCCCTCACCGCATTCTCCAACAGAAACTAGTTTCCGAGGCGAGGGGCAAAGATTCGAGAGCTCCGGGTTCCCCATGACAACTGTCGCCTTCCTCGGGGGCTCCTGAAATCGAGTGGCCTTGTGCTTAAGAATATTAAGAACAATGTTATCAAAAATAAAAATAAAAAAGACGGTGGTCAGGAACGTGCTCCAAGCTCCAAGCTACCATGAGCTCTCTTAGCAATGCATGCAGGGGTTGCAGCTCTTGGCCAGTGAACGCGTTCTGGGATGCAAGTTCGACGCGTGCGCAATGCATCCTGCCGCAGCACTCAACATGAACCGGGGCCGCATATCTAGATGGCCTTTATCCACTTAGCATACGGGTACCGGTACTGTCATCCGAGCAGAGCTAGGCTAGGTGCTGCACCATGTCCAGCATACCGGTAGCACCATCAGCCTGCCTTAGCCTGCCTGCTGGACGGGCTTCGACAAACGTACCTAGGTACATCGCCTGCGAATTGCTGCTCGCCCAGTGCTAGTGCAGTGACTTGCGTGGCCAACTGTCGGACAGTGCCAATACGATAAGATAAGCATCACCAGCCGTCAGCACCCCGAGGCATCGGCCATTATTGCTTCCGACTATCCCGCCAAGGCCACACAAAAAAAAAGTTACGTATCCTACCTGCCGTGGGCCGCTGTTCCCGGAAGGGTGTCGTCATCGTCTCTGCCCGCCCCAGTCAGTCAGCCAGCCAGCTCGAGCTCCAGCAGCAGGCTCAGCTCGGCTCAGCTCAGCAATGAGCGCCAAGCAGCCCTGTTCTGACGTGGACTGAGAGCTCGCGTGCCCCTCCATCCTTCAACCACTTGCTTCAACCCTCTCTTCAAACCCAGCAACTTCCCGCGGTGATCGGCACACACTGCAATCGGCCAAGCAATCCCAAAACAATTATGGCGACCGTCGAGAAGCGCGAACCGCGCGAGAAGCTCGACAAGCAGCTCGACAAGCAGCTTGACAAGCTCCCACTTGAGAAGCTCCCCTTCGACAAAGAAAAACTGAAGCAGGAGTTTGATCTGTCCCACTTCGACTTGAACCAGATCTTGCGCGGCATCCAGCTTACACTGGTCGGAGGTCAGTCCAACTGATTCACAGCCTCGAATTCCGAACAAAAGTACTGACTCCTGTCCAAGCCCACCGAGCTCTCCAGAACCCTGCTTTGTTCACCTCGGATCACTACCGTCAAGCCGGCATCGCCGTGCTGAGTGGCCTCGCCATCCGCCTCGTCATCTCCATTCCCGTAAGCCCAGTCCTCGACTCAAGCACAAGTAACGAGCAACATGACGGTCAATGTGCTCCTGTTGCACGGAGTCATTCCTAACACCGCTTTTTTTTTTTTTAGATCATTGGCGTCAGGGTTCTTCTTTGGATTCTCTCGCTGTTCATGAGTCTGGATCATGTTACCTGGGACGATCAGATTGTCGGGGGCCTCAACTTCATTGAGGAATATGTCTTGCAGGTCCCCTTCTTTCTGATGGCCCTGATGCGCTACGTCACGCCAACCCTTGACAACATGTGGGTACACCGACTTGCATGCTCTTGACTCTCGCTGACCACCAACTAGGTTCATGGACTCGTTGAACTGGGTCGACAAGACGTATGTCCAAAAGCACAAGAACGAGGACCCCGATAAACTACGAGACATGTACTATCCCAACCTGAGGATGTACAAGGTCAGTGACGGCAGCACCCACACGACAAGCACGGCAGAGGCCATCAGCATGTTCTTGTACCGCTTCGCTCGGAAAGGCGCCATCTCCCTTGCCGTCTTCGCTCTGTCCTACCTCCCCGTCGTCGGTCGTTTCGTGCTGCCTGCAGCCAGTTTCTATACATTCAACAACGCAGTTGGTCTCGGCCCGGCTTCCCTCATCTTTGGGGCGGGCATTTTCTTGCCCAAGCGCTACATTGTCATCTTCCTGCAGAGCTATTTCGCCTCGAGGAGTCTGATGAGAGAGCTGTTGGAGCCCTACTTCTCCCGCGTTCACTTCACCAAGGCGCAGAAGAAGAACTGGTTCCGCAACCGCGAGGGGCTCCTGTTCGGCTTTGCCATTGGCTTCTACACCATGATCAAGATCCCCCTTGTCGGAGTCTTGATTTACGGCATTGCGGAGGCCTCAACGGCGTACCTGATCACCAAGATCACGGATCCTCCCCCGCCTCCCGCCGAGAGGGCTGCCTTTGCCGAGAGCCAGCAGGAGTGGACCAACAAGCATGAATTCCTCAACCTGTCGCTCAGCGATCTGGATGCCATCCATCTCAAGTCTCGCCCAGCGAATCCCACAGGAGATGCCCAGAAACATCAGTAAGAGCTTCGACAAACATCCAATGCGCCATTGGGTAGGTAAATCACTTGCCTGGTTCGGTAGCTAGTAACGGCGCACAATGGCAACGGCCTAATGTTGCTGAGACTGGAGGAACATGGTGCATGCATGCTATTACTAGATTAGAACAGCAAACCCAGTTACGCAGGTGAAGAAAAGAAGGACACCTCCCAGGATCATGCACGTCAGGCCATCCCTCCCGTTGCCTGTTATTCTCTCATCCCCTTGATCCCTGTCACCTCCGGCTGGTGTTCCTACTATTTTCAAGCTGCATATGCTCCAAGTGCAAGGACGATAACATAAGGACGGTGACGACAAAGACAGGCAGGCTCACGACGAGAAACGATGTTAACTGATGTCCGCCTAATTTCTTCAATTGCTTGCCCACATTCAAAAAAGCAGATGCCGAGATAACCAACCCCGGACCTGCAATTCAATTACGTTTCGTGATAGGAGGCCATGCGGCATGAGATCACCATACTGTCTTATCGATTGGGTTGGAGTCGGCCGGCGGGCGGAGCCAATGCGGGGGTTGTCAGATGCACGCCTCTTACGGTATCGGGGCAGCTCCCTCTTATCAAGCTCCAACATACAGCTCCGCACTCTGCTGCTACCGGCAGCGGCACAACTTTGCCAGCAGCCACCCTGGGTATCGTCTCTTAGCCCAATTGATAGCCAACTTTGGAATGTGAGGCGTCTCATTTGCTGGGAAAGCCAATCCCGAGGAGGTCAAGGCGGGGTAGCCCGGAGCGACTAGGTAGTTTGGATGCGTGTATATCTAGGAGGGCGAGCTGTTTCGACTTGACTGGCACTTTCATCCACGAGAGAGAACTGTTTATTTCTAGGTCTGGGGATCCAAGCACTCATCAAACCAATTTTATTCTGCATATTACTCCAAGATGGGCAAGACTGGTATTCGTGCCGCTAACAAGGTCAGCTTTGACAAGCCGGCTTCTGAGCAACCCGGGCTGCATGTGAGTTCATACCCTACCACATCGGACGGACGGACCAAAGTGCTCACAAGCAACTCAGAACAGATGGCACCCAGATAGTAAGAAGGAGTGAATGCTCAAGTACATGAATCCGTGAGACTGACTCTCACAAGTCCCCTTCGCCGGCACCATCAAGAATGGCGAGACGGTCAAGATTGAATGTGTAGACTGGTACCTAGCCCTTCCTCGTGTCTTGTCATGGATGGTGATTCTCACTCCCCTCGCACTAGGACCGGCGGCCAGATCGGCAACAACGACTCGGCCGACGACATGCTCAATGTCGACCTGACCAAGATCCACTACCTCAGCGGGCCCTTTGAGGTTGAGGAGGCCCAGCCGGGGGACCTGCTGTGCGTCGAGATCATGGACGTCCAGCCGTTCGAGGACCAGCCGTGGGGGTTCACGGGCGTGTTCGACAAGAACAACGGCGGCGGCTTCTTGGATGAGATTTATCCCACCGCGTACGTCTTTCCGTTTCCCCCCTCTCCACCTCCCTTCCTACCGTCTCCCGGCGGAGGAAGACCATCAAGCAGCTTGGCTAACCCAACGCCCGCCCGGCTCGCCCGCACAGCGCCAAGGCCATCTGGGACTTTGAGGGCATCTACTGCACCTCGCGCCACATCCCGCACGTCAAGTTCGCGGGACTCATCCACCCGGGCATCCTGGGCTGCGCGCCCTCGGCCGAGGTGCTCGACACGTGGAACACGCGCGAGGGCGAGCTCATCGCCGCCAACAAGCTCGAGCGCGACGTCGCGAAGCCGCCCGAGCCCATCAACGTCCACGCCGGCGGGGCCGACGACGCGGTCAAGGAGAAGGTCGGAAAGGAAGGGGCCCGGACGATTCCCGGACGGCCTGAGCATGGCGGCAACTGCGAGTGAGTGAAGAAGAGATGCCCTCCTCCTGTGTGTTCGCGTGAGGTGGAGCGAGGCTGACGCTGTTGCGCAGTATCAAGAACCTGAGCAGGGGCAGCAAGGTCTACCTCCCGGTCCACGTCCCCGGCGCCAAGTTCAGCGTCGGCGACCTGCACTTCTCCCGTAAGTCACCCGTCCAACGCGTTCAACATCCCACCGACCCCATCCTGGATCTCTGTGCTAAAGACGCTGTTCGTATACAGAGGGCGACGGAGAAATCTCCTTTTGCGGCGCCATCGAGATGGCGGGCGTCATCACCATCAACTTCAAGGTCATCAAGAACGGCGTCGCCGACCTGGGCCTCAAGTCGCCCATCTACATCCCCGGCCCCGTCGAGCCGCAGTTCGGCCCCGGCCGGCACATCTACTTTGAGGGCTTCTCTGTCGACGAGCACGGCAAGCAACATTACATGGACGTCACTGTGGCGTACAGACAAACCAGTCTCCGTAAGTTTTTTGCTTTTTTTCGTCTTTTGTCTCGGGGCCGCAACTCTGTTCGTCGTCGAGACTTTCCACTTTCGTGTACGCCTGGCAAAGACGGCCGAGAAACGGATGCGGAGACGGGGGCCCTCAGAGACGAAACCTCGTGCGCATGCTAATCGACACGCGCAGGCGTCATCGAGTACCTCCGCCGCTTCGGCTACAGCGACTACCAGGCCTACCTCCTCATGTCGTGCGCCCCGATCCAGGGCCACGTCGCCGGCATCGTCGACATCCCCAACGCGTGCACGACCATTGGCCTGCCGATGGACATTTTCGACTTTGACATCTCGCCCGCCCTCGGCAAGGTCGAGAAGCGCGACATGGGCAGCTGCGCGTTCGCGACGGGCGTCACCGAGGGTAAGATCGAGTCGGGCGGGGAGAATAGCGAACACAGCTTTGGTGGCGGGTTGACGTACAAGAAGAGCTCGTAGAGGCCAGCTTTTCGACGGGGTCCCCCGAGTTTGGAGCACGTCTCTCGTGTGAGGGAGAGAGGATGAAATCAGGTTTTTTTTGTTTTGGGTCGGAGTTAGTTGGATGAGGCTGGGATCAGCGTGGTGACGAGACTTCATTGTGTTCATCATTTTGTCTGCATACGAGCAATACCAACAAAGGGCTATTTTGAGCCGTGAGAACCGTCTGCTCCCCGTTTATCCCCATGAGCCATAGCCAGACGCACCAGTCCTTGCCAAAACGTCCCGGTAATCCCAACTCCGCGCCGCCATGCACCGTAACTTTCCCAAGACATCATCTCATCAAAAGTCGGGAATCTCAGTCATCGAGGTGTGTCCCGTCTCGCTCGTGTGAACGCTGGCCTCGGCGAGACTAGTGCCCAGCCAGTCACAACCAGGAGCGTTGCATTTGCGAAGGGCATTGTCACCGAAGCTGGCCGCAGCGCCAGCAGCAGCAGCAGCAGAACCACCACCGCCAGAAGGCTCGTCCTTGATCTCACTAAAACCAGAGTGACCACTCGCTTTGGCGTGCTTGTTGGCCTCCTTCTGACCGTTGCCGAGCCAATCGCAACCGGGGACGGTGCAGCGCAGCAGGAAGTCGGAGGTGTCGGTGAAGTAGTGCATCTCGTGCAGCTTGCGGATGAGCGCCCGCGTCTTGTCGAGGATCTCGTCGTCCGAGGTGCTCCAGTTGGTGCGGTCGAGTTCGGGGGGCAGGTCGGAGTGGGTGTAGGGCGGCTCCGAGGGGCTGCAGGCGATGCGGTCGTAGTGGATGCCCGAGTAAACAAGAATGCAGCGCGAGTCCTTATTCTCGCCGAAGCGGAGCGGGTTCTGAGACTTCACGTCAAAGGCGACGACCTCGAGGTCGAAGAGGTCTGAGAAAATGCCCAACTCGATGGCGCCGCCCCAGCGCTCCGGGTCCTGAATTGTGCGGATGTACTTCTCCACCGGCATGTCGAGGACCGCCTCAGGGTAGTCGTCGGGGTGCTGGCGGATGTAGTCTGCGACCATCTTGCGGAGCTCCTTGGCCTCGAGCTGCTTGCCCGGTATGGCGCCGCCGAAGGCTGTGAAAAGGCAGCTGTTGTCATCAGGCATGACGCGAAGGACTGGAGGTGGTTAGATGAACCCTGGAAAAACGAGGGACAGTACGACTTACGCAAAGTTGACTCACGCTCCGGCCAGGGGATGCTGATCTCGGATGGGGTCGCTTCGGCATCTGAGTCGAGGCGAGCCCTTTTGGCCGCCGGACCGCCGGCTTCCGGACCCCGCGAGGCGGTGGGAGGAGCAGCAGGTGGAGGGGTAATGGCCCGGGGCTGAGCTGGCTCAATGCTGAAAGACTGTCCGTTGAGACCCAGGTCCTTGGCGTTGGCGTCCTTATGTTCGAGGGTCAGGGTTTGGAGAGGCCAGCCGTATTTGAGGCTGAAGTCTGCGATTCCCGTCTTGTCCTTGATCTCTTTGAAAAGGTCGCCAACGGTGGCGGTATCTTCGAGGGAGACGACACCGGTGCCCCCCGGACCCTTGTACCTGGCTCTCATGGTGTAGCTGTGTAGTGGTTGGAGGAGGCTGAGATGAGAGCCTGAAGGTGCGAAATGTGAGTTTGAGAGTGGAGGGGTAAACGGTTAAGAAGTGGAAGGCTAGAGAGTTTCGAGAAACAGCTTTTGTCTTGAATGTAAGAGGGTGTGGACGGTCGAGCTCAGCCGGGGACGGATCCGGGAGGGCAGCCGATGGGCACCGAGTGACCGTGGTTGGAACGGTGGGGTTGAGCCGAGGGGTTATCTTATCGCAAGGCGATACCAGGGTCTTTCAAGGCCGTAGGATGAATGAGTTAGAAGCAGCGCACTCTGAGTTGAGACAATGAAGCCGACACCTCGAGACAAAGCGCTTGGCTCTCGCACAAGCCCAATTCGAACGAGAACAGTCGATGAAGTGAGAGTGCCGTTGGGCAGCTGGACCGAATCCCAAAGCAACGTGACACGCAACGATGGCGAATGCGCAGTCAGGGACTGGAGTGTCGCCGAGAGTCAAGACGCACTAGAAGCTTCCCCGCTTATTAAGTAGGTCCAGAGAGCGTCCCTGGTGTGGCTGCGCGTGTGATGTTGTAGCTGAGACGATGGAAACAGAGATGTCTGAGCGTCGACAGTGCAGTGGGATGGTTTGAACCTGCAGCTGGGACAGATTTGGTGTTCCCTCCGGTAGCGCAACGGTTCGTCCAACGTGACAATCAAAGAATGCCGCCGTATCTGTGCTGGGATTGAAGTTGTGGTATCCTTTCATTCGTTATTGTCGGGTGGAGAACTACTCCAATAAACGCTGCTTGCTCAATTGCTACGTCCAGTCCTGGAGCTCCAGTGACAACGACTTCCTGGTTCCGTATCGATATCGTTACATGCTACATGGCTTGGTTCCTCTCCTGTGCCTATGAGGCGAATGGAGATACCTCAGGGTTGAATTGCATGATGTCGAAGCTTGTGGGCAGAGGAGCACAGCACATTTTAAAAGATGCGATGCTGTCAAATGAATGCTTGCCAAAAGGCAGGGCAGGGGAGGGTGTCGTGATCGAAGGGTTTCCAGCATAGCGAGCTATCTTCTGAAGTTCAACAATCAGGGATCTACCTATGAGACTCTACATCTTAAGGGCGCCTGCGCCTGGAGATTGCCTGCAGGACGAATCAACAACCTCTTTCGTGACTTCCTTCTGAATGTCACCTGCACAGACACTTCGAAGACAGCGCGTACTTGATGCTGTCGGCTTTTGCCCTCCGAGTCCAACGTACGTGAGGTAGCTTCACCTCGATGCAGGCACTCGCTCGGCCAATCGGCCGCCCACAATGTATCAGTTAGCCGAGGTGGGCCCGGACACCAGCGTGACCAGCCCCGGGCCCCTTCCTTGCTAACATCCCCTCCAAGCACCACTTGTACCCGTCGCACCCCGGCCAGCTCACGCCTCACTGTCTTCGCAAACCTACAATTCCTCAGCTCCAAAGGAAATCGTCCTCGAAAATTCGACCTTTGCGACACAAGCCCTCTGCCTCGTCTTCCACCCGGGCTTGCCGTAACAAAGGGTGCAGTGCCTCTCTTGACCCATTGTGCCACCAATTGTCCCTCGAGAACCAGAGCTCACCCGCCACGTGTGTTGCGATTCGAAGTGGTGGAGGAAACCATGGCGACGCGCAGCGACGCGCCCGAGGTGCGCGAGTCCATCGAGGCCAAAGTTACCAACGACGTCGAGATGACCGACGCCCCGGATGCCAACCCCGTCGGCGCGAACCGAACCGAACCGACAGTCACCGCGAAAATGGACGGTCCTGAGAAAATGGACGTCGACCCTGACGCAGACGCGGATGCTGACGGAGAAGCGGACGTAGATGCAGACGCGGACGCGGATGCCGATGCCGATGCAGAAGCTGATGCCGATGCCGATGCTGATGCCGATGGAGACCCCGATGACGGTGCTGCATCACCCGTAGAATCCGAGCCGGGCGACCTTTTGGACGTCATTCAGACCCTCAACACTACCCTCAGCAACTGCAAGGACGAAGAGTATGTCTTGACTAGCTGCAGTGTTTTGCGCATCACCTCGCTGACAATAACGGTTGTAGTGGAGAATGGTTGGCGGCTAGTTTCCAGCGCATCCCGAACAAGCGCCAGTTGCCCGACTATTTCGAAATCATCGAGAACCCCATTGCCTTTAGCACGATTCGCGTATGTGAAAGCCGTCCTGGAAGCACCGAGACAGTTCCAAATGGCTAACATCTTGCAGCACAAGATTCAGAAAAAGCAGTACACAGATTTCCCCGAGTTCGTTCGTGATGTCGCCCAGATCTGCCACAACGCGCAGGTGTACAACCGCCCTTCTTCGGCCATCTTCAAAAGCGCCACTGTAATCCGAGATCTGCTCAAGCGGGAGCTTCAGAAACTTGTCACCAAAGGCACTATCAAACCAGAGGAGGCCGAGCTGCCGGACCTAGGCGAGCTTCCACCTGCTGAAGACTCTTCTCCAGAAGCCGAGTCCGAGGAGGACGAGGAGGAGGAAGAGGAGGAAGAAGAGGAAGAGGAAGAAGACGACGACGACTCTGATGAAGACGGAAAGCGACGCCGAAGTAGGAGGCGCGGCCGGACTTCGCTCACCAAGCGGCAGCTCGAAGAGGCCAGGGAGGAGGACGAGCATAAGAAGCGCGGTCGTCCCCCCAAGGTCTTGACTCCTCTCGAGGCTCGTATCCACAATGTCATCAAGGGTCTGCGCAAGGTCCAGTCGGACGACGGCGACTTGCTCATTGGCCCCTTTGAAAAGCTGCCTGACAAGATCGCAAACCCGGACTACTACCAGGTCATCACCAACCCGATTGCGCTGGACAACATCAAGAGAAAGGCCAAGAGGAAGAAGTATGCGACTGTAGACGACCTCCTTACGGACATCGACCTCATGTTTAACAACGCCAAGGAATACAACGAGGAGGGCAGCGACATCTACGAAGCTGCCGTCGAGTTGCAAAAGCAAGCGCACGAGCTGGCCAGACAAGAGAAGGCGAGACCTGATGATGAATTCCGTGATGAGGACGGAAAGCTGCCCTTGTCAGAGATCCAGCACAACGGCCAGATATGGCGAGTGGGTGAGTTTTTTGGGTTCAAACATGGAGGCGGCTAAGACGACAAGTGGCTGACAACTTTCCCCGTAGGTGACTGGGTGCATATCCGCAACGTCAACGACATGGCCAAACCCATCGTCGCCCAGATCTTCCGCACGTGGCAGGACCGTGCCGGCCAGCGGTGGATCAACGCTTGCTGGTACTATCGTCCGGAGCAGACGGTGCACAGATACGAGAAGCACTTTTTTGAGAACGAGGTGGCCAAGACGGGTCAGTACCGCGACCACCAGATCGAGGAGGTGCTCGATCGATGTTTTGTCATGTTTGTGACGCGCTTCAACAAGGGCCGGCCGCGCGGGCTACCGGCGGACAAGGAGGTGTACGTGTGCGAGTCTCGATACAACGAGGCGACATGCCGGTTCAACAAGATCAAGACGTGGACCAGCTGCGTGCCGGACGAGGTGCGCGAAAGAGACTACCAAATGGATCTGTTTGACCAACCGCGGCGGCTTAAGAAGGTCCCGAGCCCGATCAAACATTTGCTGCAGGCGGACGCGAGGGAAACGGACGAGCTGCCCAAGCCAACCTGGGGTGCCGCAAACGCGCCGCCCATTATCGGTGCCGTGCATCGGCGGCCTCGAGAAGCAAACGTAAGTCGCCATGAGATTCCAGTTTGCCCGTTTTCTGCTTTTCTATCCTTGACGGACGACGCGTCGCTGCCCGGCGCCACCGTCTTTCCCATATCTTCCCACATCATGCACCGCCTTGCCGTGCCGCCTCCTGAGCGTAGGCTGCGGATGGGCACCTGTCTTCCGCCCAGCGGCACCACACCCTCACATTCCCTCTCTCGGTTATCCAGTACAGGTAGATAAAGGGAGCGACGGGCAGGGGATAACAGCACCCTGCAGCCCGTCTCAAACACCCCCAAACAATTTCCCGCTTCTCTCATTCTCGCCCTCACTTCACCCTCGCTTTACACTCGCTTGGTCTCCTTCCGGGGTGGTTTCTTGTCTACTCACCTCTTTTGTTTCCTGGCTCTCGCGATACATAGCCTGCTCTCCGTCCGACATCGCTGACAGACCACTCCGCTGGTACAGGAAACGCCCCCTCCCGAGCCGACACCGTCGCCGCCGCCTCTGGCTCAAGAACCCGCACGGCGCCCTTCGGTCCTCCAGGCGATGCGGCAGACGCCCAGCGACATGTCGATGGGAAACCCTCCCACGCCTTACGGACACGGGATGGGAGCCGCGCCGTCGCCATCGCCAGCCATGTACGCGCAGCAGTACACACCTCAGCATGCGTCGGCATCACCAGTCGCGGTCGGCCATCAAACGCCGGTGCCTCTACCCCAAATTCCTCACCAGGCGTCTCACTCTCCGCAACAGCCCATGCGTCCATGTTCCAGCAGCAGGGGTTCGCGGGCAGCCCGTTCCAACAGCACCAGCAGCACCCGCACCAGCACCACGCGCACCCACAGCACCCACACCAGCATCCCCACCCGCAACAGCACCAGCAGCAACAGCACCACCACCAGCCCCCACGGCGGTGGCGCCCCCGTACCAGCAGCAGCACCACCCGCAGCACCACCATCAGGCCCAAGCGCCCGTCCCACAGCACCAACACCACCAACCGCACCACCAGATGCATCCACAAATGATGCCAGCAAATCCTTTGGGCCCGACCTACAATCACCATCCGATGCAGCCTCACCCGTCTGCAGCCCGCACCCCCATGGCCGCGACGCCGAATGCCATGCAGCCCAACAACGCCTACAACCCGCCACGGCCGCCCGAGGTTTTCACGCTGCCCGACGCCGTCAACGACCAGATCCCCGAGGAGGTGCGCAGCCGGTACAACAGGGACGAGGGCGGCAGAATCATTTTCTTCACCACACCGCCCGTCGCCCGCCCCGAACACGGCCTTGCACCGGACAACGCCAACTCGGGCCACAGCCTCGCCTACCTTGCCAAGAGCAACCCGGCATGGCTGTCGGAACGCACCGCCCGCGCCAAGGCCTTTTCCGCCGCCAAGCAGAAGGAGCTGAAGACCAAGATGGCCATTGACGAGATCACCAAGGGCAAGACCCAGGAGGAGCTGCGCGAATGGGCCAGCGACTCGTGGGCTCTGTATTGGAAGAGCCACGCTCAGGAGACGAACCGCATGCGCGACGAGGGCGACCTGGACGAGCACGAGCGGCTCATGGCCGAGCAGCGCCGTGCCCGAGTCAAGTCCCGAAGAGCACGTGAGGAGGAGGCTGAGCGGGCCGAGGAGGCCAAGAAGGCCAACTACCTCGACGAGATTTACCACGCCCATTCCAGCCTGCGGTTGTCCAAGCCTCGCGTCGGATGAGCCACTTGCCTTCACGGCGCGAATGATGAAAAGCCACGGTCATCCTGCACCGCTGTCGGTGGAGGCCTTCGGGGTAGACGCAAGAGGAGTTTTGGCGGATCGGAACTGCTGTGATACCTTTTTTTTATTTTAAACCAGGCTTTGGGAGTTGACGGGAACGAATGGCTCGCTGTGCCAACCACCTTGGACGTTCAAGGGGGTTCATGATTCATTGTACAACAATAATACACTCAAAATTGGACGGACAGTCGACCATCGGTGCTCTCTTTTGTTCATGATGTGTTTGCCGCAAAATCGCGCAGCCTGGTACCGCGGCATCTGTCCCTCTCCTCGGTCATTAGCTTTGTGTCTTGGTGGTGCTGGCGCGCGCAGCAAGTGTCTTTCATCGACAGAGCGTCTTATGTCGACGTTTGTTCTTTGATACGGCGGCAGCTTCTTTGTCTACCTGGAACATGAAAGCGCCAATTGAGTTTCATCGAGGTGGCGACTCGGATTGGAGCTCATGCAATGTCTCATTCCACTCATCAGATCCATCGTCCAAGCCGTCGTGGTTCTGACGACTCAACCAGAGATTTGCAAATGAATGAATAACAAATGTATGAATAAAAACACGTTGGATCCCATTGTTCAGGATAGAATGGCCGGACGAGAGACGACAGCAGGCACCCGTACCTGAGACTGAGTGAGTGAGTGAGTGAGTGAGACTAAGGTAGCCTACGTACATTGATTTGAGTGACTCCCGTCCGATGAGGATTTGCCTCAGGACCCTTGCCCCACCCGCTCTCGCTCATGCGCAGCGCTAAGCACCATAGGTACACAGTATCATGTATCTGTAGGTAGTATTCGTAAGAGAAACAGCCAGCCCCGGGCAGGCTAGCGCAGATCTGATTCGCTCCTCCCGAGCCCAACCCGGGCCCAAAGAGCGTGTGGCCCGCCCGCCGGACGTTCCTGCCCGTGCTTGCCCACATTTGACACTATGAGGCCTCTGGGGTCACAGCAGCTCGGTTTCTGGGGGGGCAAACTTCTCTACTACGCCTTCACCTCATGCAGTCCGACACGCTAAATGAGCCTCAGCGCGGCTAATTGATTCGCTGACGTTCTCGACTTGCCGACCTCAACCTCTCAATCTCTCTCTCTCTCTCTCACCTCCGCCCGCCTCCTCATCCCCTTCACCTCCTCACCTCACCTTTTTGCCTCTTACCGCAAACTGCTGCTCACCCTCATAAACCCCCTCGGAGGAAACCGACCACCTTTCACGACCTTTCTTCTTGACTTTCGTTTTCTGGTTTACTGTCCTTCCGGGTTCACGTTCGTCGCAACTTCGCCGCCCTCATTTTTGGTACCACATCGGATCAACCACAGTCTGCGTGCTTTTGGGCCACAACTTCTCTGTCTCTTTCCTTCCGGGTCCTCTATTTGACGCTGGTTTGGCACGAGCAAGGACTATCTCTTATTCGGAGCGATTTACGGTTCTCGATCTATACTTTCGGCTCTGCTGGTGCTCTCGATATTTACAGCTGCATCTTCCCGCGGACGCGGTGCTGAGCCAACGCCACCCAAAGCTGACGGTTGACCGGGACCTCGACAAGAGCCATCCGTCACACGCCCGATCTTCGACATATCGCCCTGTTAGACTTTGATCCTGCCAACGGTCTCAACGGGCGTGCCACCCGAACACCATACTTAATCTACACTTCCCTCGATCCCACCGCAGACCGTCCAATGAGTACACGTGCTTTGAGCATCAAAGTTTGACTTCACGATAGTTGCCCTCGAACAGCCCGGTACACAACCTGAACGTCCTCGAGACTTTCCAACGTTCCCCGGTCTCGTGTTCCATGGAACTGCACTCTGGCACAAATCACCCAAGATCTTACGCCCCTTTTCTATGCCATAAATTCATATAAATCGGACAAGATGGCCTCCTCTCTCTTCTCTCGAAGAAAGCCCCGCCACAGACATCGACCTTCTAGTCCCGTCATCAAGACACCGACAATACAGAATCTTTCCAGCGCTTCACCCACACCTATATCCACATCCACAACGCTTGGAGACTTTTCAAGGATCTTTGATTCTTTTCATTCTGACAAGCCTTCATCTATCTCTTTTACCACCCCTACCTCCACCGAAGACGCTCATCAGCCGCTCTTCTCCTCGTCTGAGCCTCATCATCTGACTCAGAGCCACTCCCCGAGCTCGCGTGTCCTCTTCTTCATTCCCGATCACATCATCAGAGAAACGATGCCATCTCAAGAGTCGAAGGTGCCGAAGTTGAAGTCGGCCAAGACGGCCACTGCTACCACCTCAAAGCCTGAGGTCATGACTACTAGCACCAAGCCTCGCTCTTGTGCCGTGGCTAAGGCCGTCCTCCCTCCGTCCCCACCTCTTTCTACCACTTCGGATGATTCTTTCCACCATTCGGAAGCGGCATCATCCACGGGTGGCTTTGATCGCGCCAACGTCGTTCGCAACGGCGGTGCTGCGTTGTCTGACATCACTACGCCTCCCACCACTCCTCCTTGTCAGCAGACCACCTCTCCGGCTTCGTCGGATGGCCTGGACCTTGCTGGCGAACGACTTTTGAAGAGACAACTTTTCAACAGGTCTCGGGTGGTTGTCAATGAGACCTTGAGTGCTCGTCTCATCCATCACTTCGGGGCCCACGACCAACGGCTTAAGGAGAAATTCCCAGAGCAATATGCCAACGGTATCCATGAGTTTTATGACGGCTCCAACATTACCGTTAGCTTCTACAATGCTGAGAAGAAGCGACGTGGCATGGATAAGAAGGACTATTTGCCTGCCTTCTTCAGTCTTCCCGCCTTTCGGGACGTGCTGGAACGCGATAGGCTGGTCAAGCGGCGTTACATTGCTGGCTCAAAAAATAAGATGGGCGTCGAGCCTCAATACCTGTTACAGGCACGATGCCTCGGCTTCGAGACCCATGTTTTCGATCGAGTGCGCAAGTTTCCTGCGTCTTCTGACTCCGAGGACGAGTTCCGGGGACCGCAGATGCGCGAGCAGGGTGTCGATGAGCTAGTCCATCTCGGCATGGCGGAAAGCATGTTGGACGTGAAGCCCAGCATCATGATTCTTGCTACTGGAGACGGCAACGTCGGCGAATTCTCGAAGGGTTTCCCCGAGTTCGTCAAGAAAGCTCTGAAAAGAGGCTGGATTGTCGAGGTCTACTCGTTCGCCGAGAGCGCCCATTCTGTCTGGAAAGACCCTTCCTTCATCAACGACCCGGAGTGGGACGGCCGCTTGAGCTTCCATCCATTGGACAGCTTCATCCACGACTTTGTCGACCCGAGCAGGGATCAGGTCTCTCACCCTGCCGAGTCTGCCGCGGCCTCGCGCTCTTACAACAAGAAGAGCAAGGCGGTAAAAACGATGAAGACCATCACCATTCCGGTTGACTCTCCGGCTTCCAACTCTGTACCTCAGCAGACTGCCGCCGTCTTCCAATCACGAACCTGTACCCCGGTTGCTTGGTCTGTTCAGGCTTCGCCCGTCAATCTACCATCATCCGTTCACAGCCCGCAGGGGGTCTTCGCCGACGGTGCAACGGGCTACTTTGCTACGCACACGCAGCAATTTGCCCACAGCTACACGGCGTCCTATCCTCAGTACCAAGCCTCTTCGCAGTCTTATCACTCGTATTACCAGCAGATTCTGGGAGGCTATGACTACACTGCCGCTCTGGCGAGGAACCCTGCCATGCCCGTCACCTCACCCTCTTGGGTGTAGGTAGGCTGGCGCTTTTACTTGACACACCATTGCGCCCAATGTTCGCCGAAAGGTAGCACTGGCGTCTTTGATGGTTTTTTCATTTTTTTTCATTACATCATGTTCATCGAAATGGGTAGCCTGCTTGACCTCGTGCGTCTCGCAGGGAGGATATACTGGTGAGGGAATACGGCCTGGAAGATGGCTTGACCCGGAAGAGGAAAGAAGAGGGGCTCCTTGCCTGCTCCAGTCCAAGGCATAGTTACTGGCAGGCGTCTGCTTGGGCATGAGACAAGGCCTTCGCACTCATTTGACGCTCGCCACACACTCCTTTTACTTTGGCCTTGTTCGACTTGGCATTGGAAAACACATGATCGTCATCTCACCCTCTACTCTACTCTACTCTACTCCTTTGGCATTTACGATAGGTGCTCCTTGAGAGACTTTTGGCTCGCTTGTTCGATTACAAGCTGAGCGTTGGGTCTTGTTTCTGGGCGGTTGTTCCAACGGAGTCGGGTTTGATTTGCAGAGTCGGTTGTTTATCTCCCTACTTTCCCACTGGGCTGTTTTGCATGGTAGCGGGGAAATGAACATGAAGTGTCTTTTTTCCCCCAGGAGAGGCAGAACGACGGACGTTACGAGAGCCTTTTTTTCTTTCTTGTCTTTCGTTTCCTCGTCCACGCGAGGAGACACGGATGATGATGACTTGAGATACCCACCTCTTACACAAAACGGCGTTTGGATCATGCGAGAGGCAGGTTGTTTAGCAGGGGATGGCTCCGGAAGAGGAGAGACGAATGCAACATGAGTTTACTAGAGAGAGAGAGAGAGAGAGAGAGAGAGAGAGAGACGTCGATAAAATCAAGAGGCATAAGCTGCCTGTTCCCATCAACCACCCGTCCTGCTCGTGATGACCCCCATGAGGCCTTCTTCTCCGGTACATGCCCGTACAATCGCGCAAGGCACTGCCGCTGCTCAATCGGCCGGCTCCCAGGACTCGCTCACATACATCCTCGTCAGCCGTGAGGTGGCGCGTACTGTTCCCTTCCGAAAAATCACCTCCCAGCAACAAAGGCCGCTATTAATACACTTCACGGGGGGAGGGTCAGCCATACGGAGCGGTCACGTCGCGACGACCGGACAGCACCGTCGAGGGCCGGCATTGGCAAGTCATGGGGTATGTTCATTCAGCTACGTCTCGTTCGTTTGTAAATGGCCAAAGACCCAGGCCGACGACCGCAACCCCCCACCCCCTGCCCTTGCCCCCTCCTCTCAAGTCGTCGTTTCCAGAAGCCCGTCTCTCTCACGGATGAGGAGACCTTTCCATGACGACTCGGCAAGAAATGGGGATACAGAGAACAGGCGTAAGGGAGGGTTGAGAGAATAAAAAGACAGATGTGGTGTTTAAGTAAAAAAAAAAAAAGCCGCTTCCAACCAGCCTCTCATAAAAAAATTTGTTCGCTTCCTTTTCTAGACCCAAACAGCATTATGGAGTCGCCCCTTCGCCAGCCCCCAAGACAGGAACGGCTTCCATCCAGACGTCCTCGACATGATCTTTCCGCAATAATAAAAGAAAGACTGCTTTTCTCCCTCTCCTCCTGTGACGGGGAGAGCCCAAAATATGCCTATCCACCCGAAATGATGTCGACATGGTATTGAAAGCTTGTCATCCGGCCGTAAACCAGTGGCCTCAGGCCACCGACAAAGGTGCTCCGAAATTCCACCCGATCCGAGAGCGCCTCGTATATGTTTTGTTTAGATAATAACTGAAGAAGAACAAAAAGTCGCTGGTCAAGCCCGCTTCTTTGTTGACATCGGCTCCAAGCAGTGGCAGGGAGCTAAGCGTGGCCATTAAGATCGTAGAGAAGCAAAAGAGTAGTGGTATCTCGAGGGGGGGGAACGCAATCGAACTGAGCATATGGGAGAAAAAGCCCCAATATGATGCAGAGCACCTCGGTCAGCACCGGTCGGTACCGGTCGGCCTCTGATTACTCCCGTATGGAAGTCATACCACCGCCGCTGCCACCCTCGAGGAGAGGTTGACTCGGAGGGGGCATGTTATTGTGACTTTTGGAAACGGAAACCGAAGTCGCGGGTGTTGCGTTGCCAGACGATCCCTCGCTGGGTCGAGCAGGCGTGCTGCTGCTGGCCTTGACTTCGTTCTGGAGCTGAGACGAGTGTATGGGCGAGTTCGACTTCTTGCTTTGCGCATCGGCATTGGTGTTCCCACCTCCCCGGGACGAATTACGCGGCGAAACCCGACCAACCTATTCCTCATTAATATCGTGATCCTCCGGGCCATCTACCAAAGAGGGCTCGGTGCTTCTCACCTGCTTTGCCCAGCGGAGGCCACAGCTGTTGCACAGGTCTCTTTGACCACTAGGCCCTCTTCGCCATTCAGGCGTGTTACGCGTATGGCAGTTGGCGCAGTCGCGGACGACATTGCCGACTCCCTTTCTTCTCTTTCTCTTCTTCTTATTCGATAGTAAGCCGCCCAGTTCTTCGGCAAGGATCCTATTAACCTTCTCCATCTGGCGCAACTCAAACTGCCAGCTGGAGCACTTGGTCGTCCGGAGCTCGTCAAAGATGTTGTCGTCTGAAGCCAAAGCTGCCTCCTGCGAGCCCGGAATCGTCTTGCCGCCTGGTACGGACATCGGCCCAGTCTTTGTTAGATCGGTGTTCTGAGTGGGCTGCGCGTTCGGAATGACTTGAGAAGTGGATTTGACGCTGCCAGGCGGTGTAGCTGCCGGTGCAATGGCCCTTGAAGAAGCCTTTAGGAGCTTGGTCTGTGCCAGCAAAAAAGTCGGTTTCTGGCCATCTGCGGCGTCCCCGGGGTACAGTATTGTTTGTGCTTGAAGGACCTGTCCTCTCCTGTTGTGAACTTCGTGTTTGCAAGTAACAATCTTACCCCTTCTTGCCTTCTCAATCGCTCGACCAAATTCAGCACGACTCTCTCTGCGCATCAGCTCCTGCATGCTGGTGCCTATCAGGGAGTCTGGCTGTAAGTCGAGCAGAGAGCGAATATTGGAGGAGACGAACAGGAACATGCCAGATACCGAGATCTTTGTCCATAATTCGCTGTCGCCGATGCCTCCGTGTGCTTCCAAGTCTCGCCGGCTCAATGCAAAGACAGGTCGTTTTCTTCCTACCAGAATGATGCACTTCCTGCCCTTGCCGTGTTCGAAGAACAGCGAGCCATGGCTTTCGAACCACGTGTAGCCACTCTGTTTCCGTCTAATGCGGAAAACGATGTTGACTGAGTTGCCAGCAGTGGCGTCCTTCAACTCTCGGGTTACGGGTACAATGTCGGACGGATGGCAGACGGTTGACAGCGAGTTGCCAACCAACTCAGTCGCATCGTACTCCAACACTCTCTTGCAAGATGGTGAAAGATAAAGAAACAGCCCTTGAGAGAAAGGACGTGCACCACGTCATCAGTATTCTCCAGCAGCATCTTGTCCCACGACTGTTTGTGCCAGTCAGACACCACGCCCTTCGGATTGAACTGCTGCAGTAGTGTGGACACATCGTCAACACCAAGCGTCTGTCCATTCTCGGGCTCGACTGTGTTCACAGTCGGAGGTGTCCAGATATACTGGCCAATGTCGCTATGCTTGTAGTTAACTTTGACGCCGCCAGCTTCCTGGCCTTGAGCAATGGCATCCGGACACTCTACCAGATCGATCTGAAAGCCGACGAAGAAACGTACTTCGTTGGGATCGTCCCACGGAATGGGAATCATGGTCAAGAGGTTGAGGAAAGGCTTTCCGCCCTTGCGGTAGTTGATCAAGCTTTGCTGGACCTCGCGACCCTCGGCGATCTTCTTCTTCAAGTTGTAGACAGATGCGTCGTCTACAAACTCGCGCTTGGAGCCGGCTTCCACCTTGCCATCCGGTGCCTGAAGAAAGCGACAGTTTTGACCGACAATCTCATGGCGGCTGTAGCCCGTCAAATTCTGAAAGTTGTCCGAGACGTAGATGATGGGACAGTCGTTCAATGAGACGTCGCAAACGACGAATGCGCAGGACATGTCCACGGCGCCCAAGTGGATTTCGGGATCTTTTCGTGTCGCCACGTACCATAACGCTCGGAGCATGTCGAAGCCGCTCTTGGAGTAGACGTTCTTCTCCTTGGACTCGGCGCGAGGAGTCTGGGGTCCTCCGGCAGGAGTAGTTTCTGCAGTAGGCGGCGCGGCCGCGACCTGGCTTGCTGCCATTGAAGAAGATCGGTTGTTAGGGGATTGTGATGAAGTCTGGCCCGAGTTGCTCGACATCTCGCGTGATAACGAGGTTGGAGTTGTCTGCGTAGGGCCGTTCGAGTTCGGACCGTAGTTCACGGCCTGGCCGTTAACCCGAGACGAGTTGTCTCCCGACGGCTGATACTGCTGGTTCATGCTCATGGGATCGTTGTCCCCGTTATTCATGTCCAGTGGGGTGTTGAGAGCACTCTGTGATGTTGCCCCGGGTGTTTCATCGGCGCCCAAGTCCATGGTCATGTCGGCAGCGTTTGTGTTTAGGGGGCTCGGGAACGCGTTGGCCATTGAGGTCTGAGCATACATGTTCATACTTGATGTTGTAGGCATCGTAGGAACCGACATGCTGGAGTAGTTTGGAGGCATCATCGAGCTCATCATGTCGGGTGAAAAGGTGGTGAAGGCATTCGTCGGCGACATCTGCAGTGCGTCCTGAGCGGAGTACGCATCCATGGGACCCGGAACGGATATGTTCCCAGGCACGTGGTTCCCCATGGCTCCGACGTTGTTGGACATGGAACTGTCCATGCCGTTGCCTATTGGGCTGGCCATAGTGAACTCGCCGTTCATTGACGCCGGGTTCTGGAAAGGGTAGTTGAGCATCTGGTTGTCGTCGGCGCCGAATTCCATCATGGACACTCTTCTGTTGCGGGCGCCGTTCTGACCGCTCTGGTTCGAGGGCATATATGACTGGGTTATGCTGCGACGGCGTTGAAGTTCGTGGTGGTTGTCCCGAATGATGTCGTCGAGAGAGTCGCCGGTGCCGCCGCCGCCGTTGCCACCGCCGCCGCCCATCATGGACATGCCATGACCTTGGTTCATATGCTGGTAGCCGTGGCCGCCGGCCTGTCCTGTGCCCTGCATCTGGCGTTGCTGAGACTGTTGCGACATCTGTCGCTGTAGCTCCTGGGGAGTGAGCTGTGGGTAGAAGGCCTCCATGGCGAGCGCATCTGTCTCGAAGAGACTTTCTCGTCAAATGGGGGGCCCAAGGCTGTCGGACGATTTTTGGTGGGGGGTTAAAAGTCGTCTAGGCGGTTTTGACGGTTCTGTCGTCCACCTTGTACTTTTCTCTCCCAAGACGCCGGCTTAAGTGGTGCCACCTGTGCATCCGGTCGGGGATGCGTTGTCGCGTTGCGGCCCTCGGTTTTCCAGTTTCAAATCTATACAATTGTCGAATAGTATGGATGTGAGGGTGGCCGGAGGGAGGGAAACGTCGTTGGCTGCGTCAGAAGCAGGCTGCAGCGATTGAATATCGTCCAGTTAGGATGTCGCGGCGCGGCAGGAACTCCGGTTCAGTTCAGCGCGGAATGGAGCGGCGCGGTCGTCGAATCGAGGCAGCGAGGAAGAAATGATGGCTTCGTCGGATGATGTTGCGGGATCGTATCGAGTACTGGCGATGAGTTTATCGGGACTCGGAGGTGGTGGAAGGTCGTGGTAGGTCCCAGATGGGGATTGCTGCGGGGGGGAGAAGATGGAGATGTTGGTGGTTCGGTGATTGTAGTCGGTCGTATTTGCAGGCGCAGGCGGCAAGGAGGGGAGGGGAAGAATTGGGGGCGGCACAAATGTCTATGGACCGCCCGTTGTAATAGCACCCCAAAGGTTCCTGAGGCGTGGGTGTGTGTGTGTCTGTCCAAGGGGAGGAGAGCGTGTGTCGGTGGGTGTGTGCGCGTGTGTGCGTGTGTGCCGTAGTGCCTTCGCCTTGGCCTGATGTACCTCCTAATAGGTGGCGAGTCGTTTCCCTGGGAGTGAATGTTTCTGGCGTTAGGTACCGCTGTCTCGCAGTTGCGGTCGCTGGCTTCTGGCTTTGGCACTGACCCGAGGGATGGGGAAGAGCGGCGGGCGGGACTGGGATTGAGAGACACGAGAGCAACGGAGGAAGCCAGAGAGAGAAAGAGACGGGGGGAAGACAAGAGACCCGAAAGAGGAGCTTGGGCTGTAACGTGCCGTGCTATGCAATCCAGCAGTCGGGCAGTGGGAGTGTTGCAGGGACATGGAAGGACGGAAAGACAAGGCATGCCCGGTGTGTTTTCCCCGGCATCCAAAATCAAGAGTATTCTTTTTTTTTCCTTTCCTTTTTTCTCTCCGATTCTTTATTTCCTGTCCCTGTTGCTTTCGAACCCCGGTTTTCCGGCTGTTTCAATCGAGGGATGTGCCCATTGGACCAGGCACCACACGTATTCGAGTATGCACCTTATGCATCGCTTGATAATCCCAGGGTTCAGGAGGGGTGCAGTGTACACTACTAGTTAGTACTGACTGTCTCGCCGCACAGGATAGGCATAGGCCGAAGACTGGAGTCGGGTCGAAGGCCAATTGCCTAGGTAATTCTCTCGCAAAGTGGCAACGCACCACCGCTTTTTCAGAAGCCGGGTTTGGGTTTTCACCTTCGGCCGGGAGAGATTAGGCTCAAGCAAGACCGAGCAACCCGTGAAAGGCGCGGCTATCATCAGAGCCAGGCTAAGTGAGGATCCTACTTCGAGGCTCTATTTGGGTTCTCAAACTCAACGGGCACCAAAGATGCAGACTGTGTATGAGCAGTGGCATCCTAACAGGGCACTGGATGAGTATAATGCGGCAAAGTATGGTTGCACACTCCATCGGCAGAGCAGCGCGGCGGACGGGTAGCTGCATGTATCTCTACCGTCGTCTTGGTCTGCCTAGTCTCGCCACGCCGCCGACATTTGCTAGTACATAGATCCAAATGCCCAAGACCCAAGACCCAGATGGGCCCAAATAGTTGGAATGATGTACCCGGTACTGTCTACGCGGTACGTACGAGATTCCACACGAGGCTGCGAAAAGTATCCGCAATGGTGGGCTTGGAGCAACTGCAGACAAGTAACATGTACCCGTGGAGGGCCCTGTGCGCTCTGTCGCGAGCGGGAAGGGTGGGTGGGATGAGCTGGGATGAAGAAGCAAGACTTGAGCGCCTGGGAGGTTTCTCGGCCGTGACACTTGTGGTGGTGGCATCGTCCGGTACAGAGTTGCGTCGAGAGTCGGCGCTGCCAGGCGTGCGAGGTGAGATGGAAACGGACCTGGCGTGACGAGAGGTCAGCACATGTCTATCAGCCCAGGCCAGGAATGTCCAAGATTGTAGTTTATCCTCATGCAAGGCGGTATGTTAGACGTCGCTTTGCTATCAAAAAGCTCGAAATAGTGCGTGTACGCGTGCTTCGCTTTAGCCTGATATATGCCGGTTGCAAGGCGTGCGGGATGCACACAAGCGTTTCTGAAGAATGCGTGCGGCAAATGGCATGCAACCGCTGTGGAATGATGGTGTTCCGAGGCCAAATGGCGTATCGCAGGAGACTGGCAAAGCAGGCAAATGAGGTGTACGTGCTGAGGAGGGCACCTGTCTGTACGTACATGTCTAACAGGGGGGCGCGAGGATGACGGCATTGGCTTCGAGTACTTGACAAGACCTGGGGCTCCGTAGCATGCTAGGGACATCCAAAAGTATTGACAAGTACCGTAAACTGGGGTCTGCTTACCCAGGCAGGCCCAATGCTCCACACTGACGTGCATCTGGATTCTAAGTGGAGGAACTTGCGACCCATCATATGCCAATGAACTGGCAGCCGCCCACACCACATGGCGCTCACACCTGTAGACATTATGGGCTTTGCTATGCCCGCCCGCGTCTGGCGAGAAACGCTGTTTGCCGGTAATCCAGCACCAACCCACTCAGTGGCACAGCTGTCGGTGGTTGAGGAATCATTCGACCCCTCTAAAGATCAGAGACGAGTACTCTCTGCAAATGTGCCCGGCTTAGCCTGTGCCTGGAGCTTGTCTGAGGAAGGCAAGCTAAAGTCGTAAAGCCCAGGCGAGTCGAGAGTAAGATGACCGGCATAATCCGCCGCAGTAGGGGGATATGGTAGGTATCTTGAACATGCATTCTAACCCGAGTCCAGGTTTCGGCCCCAGGAGGAGCGGCGCCGGTGCGGATGCGGACGTGGTCCGGGTCTCAGTACCTTTATCCGTGTTAACCGATCCCCGGCGTCTACGTCTAACCAGACCGGCCGCCCAGTGTCCTAATGGATAGGTAGTCGAGCAGGCAATATCTCTCAAAGAAGCAGTGATGGACCCTCGTCGAGACCTAGGCCTAGACGTCAAGCTCAGCACCTTCGTGCCCCTGGGAAGCTGTAGATCTAGCACTACCGCCCTGATAGGTATCACAAAGGTGAGCAAGTGGACGGGCCGAGACCGCTGCTCGTAAGGATGTCCCTTTGCGTTAGACGCCGCAGCAAGACGACGGCTCTATAAACAGAGCACGGCTTTCGCATCCTCACCAGTACTTTCCCCCCCTGACAGCTCCGTTTGGGTACTCTCAGCACGGTCAGTGTTGCTTACTTAATACAGGGACAGGGGGGTCATGGACAAGCAAAGTTAACTTTAGCCCAACAGAATCAATGTCGTCATACCTCCTAAACTCCAGACGGCCCAAACCGTCCGACACCGAGTGTGCAGACGAGACCAAAGGAGCTCCGGCACCACTCCTACTGACTCTCCCTCCAACGCCGCAAACACAACCATCATTGCACCCAAGCTCGAGCAGGAGAACGAACCGTTGGTCTCATCCCACATCTCACCGACTCGTCTCCTCGTGCTATCTAGCGCTAACAGACGGGGCTTGCTTCATGGGACGTGTATTCCACTAACATTCCCTCCCATCGTCCACCCGCGCCCCCTTTTCTCCTCCCTTCATCTCTCAGTAGGGGACAGGCCGGGCATCGCAGATGTTTACAATGGCTGGATATGGATACAACGCGATCGCGACCCCTCAATTCGATTCTCATCGGTGATCGAATTCTGCCACGTCCACATTACACCCCCTTGGCTGCAAGCTCCGGTGTTCCCTCCCCAATCTCCATGGTAGGTAGTAGGACAAATAACCAAGCGGCCCGAACCTCAGCGTGACTCTGCAAATGACCATCAGTGTGGCATGGCCGTCAACTGTTCAGTGCCCCTCCGCACAAACCATCCCTATGCGTGGTCGTCGTAATTACCCGTTGTTCGCGATCTGTCCGTCGTCGTCCTGTTGGACTGATCGCTAACCGTCTGACTCGTAGCAGCCTCGACAGCCTTTCGTCTCAGCCGCCTTGCCTTTCTCTAAGCCCATACCATTTCCGTCTTCCGCTACGCTTTTACCCTCTCTAACTTTGGTATTTCCGCCTCGACGGAGCCAACCGCGATGAGCAAAAAGCACCTAATGCCTTGCCCGCACACACACACATACAACACCACCACCACCACCACACACGCTTGTACAAAGAAAAGTGCCCTGCAGTGCGTGGCCCTGCGCCTTTCAAGGCGCCAGCCAGACCAGCAGCTCTCCGCCGCCATGTGACGAGCCATCGACGACCCGGAAGAAGTAAAGATCATCGAAGCATAACCCGCCAAGTGCGTTGTCCAACAGACGGTTGGTTCCCTTGCACCGTTCCTGGTCATCGAGATATGTCTCTCTATCTCTCCAAGAAAAAAAAAAAGGCCAGATAGCCAATCCTATTGTCGGTCATGTGCGAAATAGCTTCAATCCCTCGCATATGTTAGCAGGTGTTGTTGCCCCAGCCCAAGGATAACAACCCGGTGGTTGTATGCCTCGCATCGCCTTCGCTTGCCCTCCCTCTATCAAGCAAGGGCGAGAGGGGAACGGAACAGAAGCGGTTCCAGTTTGTGTCGGTCGGCGCACAAACGGACGTGCATCAATAGCGCCAGAGCCATGAAAAACCGCAACTAGTCGTCCAATTCACAGCTGTCCTGGTTTCCCGCGGTCCGTCAACAGCGGCATTTTCAGACCAGAGACAGGGAAAGTGTGCCCCCCGCGTAGCCGTCGCGCGTGACCCTTGAGCCCATAAAGGCCTCGCGATGCAAGGATCCGAGAAGTCGATGGTGCTTTTCTGTATGACAGCCGGTATCTATCGATAGCGGAGCAATGCAAT